CGGAGGTGTTGGCTCAGATGTGGCATCCTCTGCGTCGTCGTCCTCTTGAGGTTGAGCTTTACGCTTTCCAGCCGCCTTGCTCTTCGTCTTCTTCGGCTGCTCCTCAGGCTCAGGAGATAGACTCGAACCAGGTGACGAAGTCCGGTCTCGAGGCTCCGTTTTGCGCTTCTTCGTCGCCGGTCCGCCAGGGCTTGTCTCCTTCTTCCTCTTCTCCTTCACAGGTTCTTGGGCCTTCTGCTCCTTCGTATCCGAGGTAGATGATGGACCTGAGTCGGGTTCAGACGAGGGCCGATGAATGCTGTCTACGGGTTTCGGCAGTGCGGACTTGCTTGAGAGCTCGAAAACGACATGCTTGTCATCGGCGTTGTCCGTTTCCCCAGAAGGAATAGCATTGCTGTCCACCTCCATAGCGTCATCCTTGCCAGCAGGGGTGCTTTCCTTCTGGACAAACGAAGCGGCGATCACATCGGAATCCATTGCGACATCCTGAGGAGCCTTCCAATCCAATGGAAGAATATTCGCGTCGTGATGGTCTTCGCTCAGGGTGGATGTCGATGGCGGAATAGGGATGGAGTCAATTGCAAACGGATAAGGTTTGGCTTCACTGGGTGGGACATCTTGCGATGTCGAACTGGATTTGGCATGGAGAGTGGTTCCCCATGGTGCTTCGGGCGCAGGTCGCACGGAACTTTCATGAGTTGGCACAGTTTGTTCCGATGTCGATGCGGGCGCAGAGCTAGGCTTTGGCTTCCGCGTGGAGACATCCTGAAGACATTAAGAACACCAGGACGCCATACGAATTCTGGGTCAAAACTCACATCATCATCAACCGGATTCAGCAGCTTGAACACATTTGAAACTGTTACGGGAGCGGGCGCAGGCGCAGGTGCAGGAACATCAACAGGCTGAGGTTCATCCTCTTCGTCATCCGATAGTTCCGAGAGCGGTGACGAACTCCGCATAGCCGGGGATTCGGGAGCGAATGAGAGAGGAGACACCGATCTTGACATAATGGATACTGAGAAGCTCATGGGCGAGAGTGGAGGGGATGATGGAGGTAGAGGGGACGCAGGCATCTCGTGGTCGTCCGCATCTGTGCTGCTCTCGCGATCGCTGGACAAAGAGGGCATGGCGTTCGGCGAATCGAGTTGGTTCTCTGCCGTCGACGGGGTTGGGTCAGGGATGGTTTCAGGAAGCGTCGTCTTCGTCGGAGGATCAGGTTGATCTGGTGGAGTTGTTGTTGTCGATGGGTCGAATGCATTCTCTGCTGACGTCGAAGGGGCAGGTTCGGAAATGGGTCGGGTGAGATTGGCAAGAGTAGGCGTGGGTACTCTGGACAGAGTCGGTACCGATTTCCTTGTTCGCAGAAGGGAAGGGACGGATTGGGGCTTGAAGGGAATGGGATCGTACTTCCACTGCCCACGCTCGGCGGATGTACGGAAGAAAGTCGAACGATAAGAGTCGCTGCTGAAGCTGTACAGTTTGGTGTCTTCATCGTCATCCTGACCCTCTGCATTCTCGCCCTCGCTGTCTGAGACTGTCCCTGCGCTCTGACCTGGTGCACTGTCGTTGGCAGGTTCCGAGTCTACATCAGGGAGGTCGTGATCTGAGCACTCGGATAGGTCAAAATCTGAGGTGGGTGGATAATCGCCGGCGGTGGAAATCGATGTTCTCCGAGGGAAAGGATCCTTTGCGCGGGAATTTTTTGAAGTTCCCTTGGAGGAGTAGCGGTAGTCCCAAGACGAGCTCTCCAAATACCCGCCAACAGAGCTGTAACTGTAATCTGGTTCAATTTCCGGACTCGAGCGTATGTATGCGTAGCTGTGGGCATGTCTGGAAGTATACGGGGTGCTGGGTGGTGATGAGGATCGCAGGGGCGAGCTCGAGAAAGATGATGATGCCCCGTAGCGTCCAGACCATGTCGCCTGAGATTTGTGGTATATATCTTGCGTGTATGGGTGCTTTCGCGTATGCCCCGTCGAGGGAGTACGGGGCGGGAGGTGGTAGGACATGAGTGTTGAAGTGATAAGAAGAACGTCACGTGCGTATACCGTTGGTTGCGGTAAACGCGTTTTCGACCGGAGATCGAAATGAATAGGCTCCGCCCGTGGTCAAATGACGCGTAGGTCACGCACCGCAAGCCCCTATCCAATCATGTTCGCAGGAGAGGACCGAGATGAGAGCGAGAACATACCACGAGACCATATCTTATGGAGGAAAACCGTCTTCTTCGTCTGCCTGACAGCCTTAGTCAGTATCCAAGCCACACGGGAACAGAAGGGGCACTCACCCACAAAAGATATGAAGACATCCATTGGGCGAGAGCACATCTATCGGTGCAGGATTGCCGACCAATGATGACAGGAAATAGAGCGGCCGTCTGAAAATGTCGACCTCCCGCCAAGTATCGGAAGTACGGGCCTGGATCTGGATGACGACAAGATAGAGCAGAGAATGACGCATTCATGCAGTAGATGCAGGCCGGCTGCACCCCGACGGACTCCTCTATGAAACCTTGAGTAGTGTGAAGGCCACAAGGACCTCAGAAACTCCAGGACACTATATTTGATGTTATCCGGCGCATTTCTGGAGAGGTCAGAGATTTGCAGGACAAGAGATGCTTAATCGCTCGAGATCTCGTATGCATTTTCGACTTGTTCCGCCGTCGTGGAGGGTTTGCTGATGAGATAACGGTAGTTGGCGCGCAGCGCCTCGTGTAGGGATCGCGTCCGCTGCGATGCTGTGCAATCGTTGCATAAATAGAAACCACTCGGCCTGCCAACCATGAGGATGTCAGTAGGCTTAATGAAGGCAGAGAAGGAGAGAGTGAAGAAGGAAGGAGGCAACGAACCTCGGTAGATAGAGGACAGGAGGACAGAAGGTAGAGGGACATGGACGGATATAGGCTCAAGGAGCCATTCGTCAGCCGGTCCAAGATTGCCGACATCGCCAATAACACTACAAGCGCTCAGTATGAGTTAAGTCGAAAGGAACAAGAAGCTTACGTTGCTTAACGGTCACCCACAGTCAAGTGCTGATTTGTGCGAGCCTTGTTGTGGGCAGATGGATGCGTCATTCCAAATGTAAGTCGATGCTATCCGCATCTACTTCCAGACCCAATTCCCGCAATGATGGAGATGTAGTTGGAGTCAATGCAAGTGACGTTCATGAGAGCAACGGACCACGAGGAAGGGACCAGATAGGCAGTAAGCACATTCTAATCCCCCCAGAGATGTGCTGATGTAAAAGAACCCTTACCCCGACTTCGACGACCAGGCCACAAACTCCGATCCCCTACAACTTCAAATCGAATGAGCTTCAACGGGCAGTCGAGAATATATTACAGCTTACTTATTCTAACAAGGAGGCCCAGAAGCCTTTATCCCAAGCAGCTCGGCCGATTCGCGATGCTTCAACCAGCCAGCAAGCTCATATCGTCCCGCAGGCGCCGTAACCTCGGCCACGCAACTCATCTGCAGCTGAAGATAATACGAAATCGAGCCACTTTTGAGAGGGAATTTGTCGAGTCCTTCCATTGTCGCGGTTCGGGGAGCGTAGTGGGTGAGTGGCGGTGGGTTCAGAAGCTCAATGGGAGGAGGAAGCAAAGATAATTCCGTCCAAATGCGGAAGTGGCTGTCCAAATCGACATCACGTGTTTCCGGGCCGGGTTCGGGTCCTCTATTCCTATTTCTCAGAAAATTCTCAGCTCTCCTCGACTCCTCGACAGCTGATTCGTGTTTGTATATGGCGTCGTAATGTCTCAACCGTTCCGTTAGATTTTATTACAATATGGATTTCTCATCGAGATGAACGAAATACTAACGTGACAAGCTTTATTTATGAAATCGATGGCGTCATCATCGGAATGTTCTGGCTATCGCGGGCATAAATATCTCGTCTTCTGACAAAACATCCACCAAAGCCTTCTTCTTTGCAACATCGTTCTCACCATGCCTCGCACGACGGAGACCGCAAGCTTCAAGGTGCGTCGAGGACGCTCTGAGATTCAGCGAGGGCGATGTTAACGAATGAGGACGTTATCAGTTTAACCACACGATGATCCGCGTCAAGGATCCCAAGGTGTCTTTGGCTTTCTACCAAGACGTACGTGCTCAGGATGTCCTTGAGCTGTCAAATACCGAAGTTACCACCCTAGATTCTTGGAATGGATCTTCTCTCTGGTACAGAACCTTGTGTTTACTCTGCTGATTAGCTCTGACATCGTGATGTGATTTTAGTAAAGGAATTCAGCGACTTCACGCTCTACTTCCTCGCGTTCAACCACGAAGGAAGGGAGCTAACCGCAGAGGAGAAAGAAAAATCCCGCTTCGCACGTGAAGGTGCGTAACATCAGCCTCTTGAGCAATAGAACATGCCTGATCTCCGTTTTATCCAGGCGTGCTGGAGCTCACGCACAACCACGGCACTGAGTCCGACGCCAACTTCCAAGGATACGCAAGCGGGAACACCGAACCCGGTAAGGGATTTGGGCACATTGCCATCACCGTCGACGATGTCGAGAAAGCCTGCGAGCGCTTCGAGAAACTTGGCGTGCAGTTCAAGAAGAAGCCGAGCGATGGGAAGATGAGGCACATCGCGTTCATTTTGGATCCTGATGGGTAAGTTCTTTCCTTTGAGGATTGAGTGGGTAGCTGATTGTGAGGTGCTGTAGGTATTGGATCGAAGTCGTGCCTGGTGTCCTCGACCTGTGATCCTGAAGAGCGATTGTGAAAACATGAAGAAAGATGTAGCGATAGTTGTCATGTAGCCGGTTTTGATTGCAAATGTTCAGCGAAATGGAATGGAAAGCAAAAGTGGAGTCTAATGAGCGATTTGGATACCTATACAGATGGATTGTCTCTAAATCGTCGGAAGATCCTTGAAGGGAGAGGTCATTCCAATGCACTATGCTATAACGATCAACATCATAAACTTACCGGCTCCCTGTCTCTATTTCGGTGTCCACTCTCCTCTCACCAAACTAAGAAAAACGCTCCCTTGAGGTCCTGCTTGGAAGAATCCCCGACGAGCCTTAATGTCGATCACGATTGGTAGAGTGTTCGAGAACCAGAGGAATGCCCACAGAAGTCCGAGCATCTTCACGGTTGTCGAATTTCCGGAGATGCTCATCCTTCTCCCAAGGCTCATCACCATCTCCTCTAATGCGATGGCGAAAGGTTGGAGGGCGAAGAAAAGGAACGAGCCTCCTTGTCGCCAGTTCGTGAGCATCATAGCGTCGCCTGCACCATGGATGACGGCTGAGATGAAGAATGCGAGGAAGAGACAGAAGAATTCCGTGATTCTGTTCCGCCGAGGCAAGCCCAGTGTTTTTGACACCAAATCGACATTTTTCGAGAGGAGCTGGTGAAGCGAAGAAAAAAATAAGCGACAGACACTCTTGCGAAACAGAGACTGACTCGTCTCATCATCTGGTGCCAGACACGCCTTAAAACGCGTCAGTATCAGCCAACACCCTCTCTATCCAAAGCAACGCGTGTACTCACCCCCAGAAACGGCGGACAGTGTGGGCATCCCAAAGCCTTCCAAACAATGGCGTCCACTCCTGCGGTTCCGTTGAACCGAGGCCCACAGACAACAGACTGTATAGTATATGCAGCACGTTGATGTTAATCCACGCTGCGACCGTATACGACAGCCCCGCTGCCCTCCACATCCACATCCACCCGTTCCCCGTGTGCCAGAACGACGGTCCATCAACTTTCATACATGGGTTGGCTCGGATGACGAAGCCGTTCAGATCGTACAACAGGACATTTGCCGCTAGCTCCGAGAGGCGAGAGACGATGAACTGCCGACGTGTCGTTGAAGGCTTCGAAGGAGTTGGAAGGATCGATGTCGGCGCGTACGTCCATCCGATGCCTCTCGGGCTGCCGAGGAGCTTTAAGCCCCACACCAGACGCGTCTTCAGCGGCTTATCCGCCACACCGTCCTTCTGACCGACGAGCTTCAGCTCCTTCTGCACGTCAGTGAGGATTAGGAAGTCCAATGCAGTGAAGAACTGCGTCATGAGGTACGCCCCCATGCCATAGTCGCCTACGGGGTCACGCAGGGACGTGTAGTAAGTGAGGTATGTGCAGATACTGCCGAAGGGGATAAACAAAAGCCATCGGTAGGGAGAGGGCTTGACGCTGACGCCCAGGAGGTAGATGGTGTGTGCGAGGAGAAAGAGGATCCAAGAAAAGTCGAATTTGCCTTTTGTGGCATCCATCGCCGCGTCGCTTATTCTATGTAGTTGGGCTGGGCGCAGGCGCCAAACTTTACGATTGGAGGGGAAACAGGAGGAAACGTTGAAACGATCGACGTGGTTCGGGATAAAGCTGGTCGAGCGTGAAGGAATATACTTGACAGGGCACCCCGTAATGGCCGGTCAGGGTTGCATTTCAAACGCGCTGCACGCTCGGCTCGAACAAAAAATGGATTCCAAAATCAAAGCTGCAGTTTGGATATATAGTACATACATCGTTTTCATGAAATTCGCATTCAGATAAGTCGTACACCTAAATTTACATGAAGCCCAGAGGAGGATAAGAAAAATCGTACGAGCGTTAAAAAGTAAAAGAAGCCTGCATCACCGTGGACGACCGCGGAACGACCGCCTCTACAGAGGGCTGGTGGTCCAGATTTGGTTGGGGTTGTTGTAATAGCACAGATACATCTGTATCGGATTACTGTTGGCAGTCGAACCATAGGTCAAGTCGAGGCAGAGAAAATTGCTGTTGACTGTTGAAACACATTGGCGTCAGAATCAGGGAGTGAGAAAAAGAGATGATGCAGACCAGTGCGCTTGAGCACGATTTCATTGTCCTCATTGTACATCCATGTTTGTGCGGGCAATTTATTGTGACAGCGCCAGATCTTCGTCTTAACTGCGTTCTTGGGATCTATCCAAATTGTTAGAGCTGTTGGAGAAAGCATAAAAGTATAATACAGACCAGAGCTAGCGTCTAAGCAATATGGTGTCCCTGCTAGGCGGATCTGAGTTGAAGCACCGCGCTCCACGACCCATCGTTGCGCAGCCGTTCCGTTGCAGTCATATCTAGAGGATATTCCGAAGACCTCAGAGTCGAGATAGCGACGAAAAGAGCGGGATACATACATTTGCACTGGTGTCCCGCTCCTAAAATGGGCGCCACGAACATCTAGACATTTGTTGGTGTTGTTGTTCGGGTGGATGTTGACGGCGTTGGAGGGAGGAGGAAAGGCGCCGCTCGGACAAAATCTAGGGGTATAAAATGGATATTACTAGAAAACAATCAAAGATTAGAGCTACTTACGTCACTGTATAATCAACCAATATTCCAGGACAAGCAAATAAAGGTGATGTCGGAGGATTGGAAGACGGAACCGGGAACCGAGTCGGTGGGGTGGTGAAGGCAGAGCAGGTGGCGCTATCGCACTGGTGGCTGGTGCAGAAGTCCTTCGTCTATGTGGAATCTAAGTCAAATTGTAAGCGTCGAGTTCAAAAAGACTACGTACTATGATCTTCGGGGCGATCGTGACGCCTGTATTGAAATGCTCCTCGTCCCTCACAACGTAGTAATAACCTGTCTACCGGAACCATGAGCCCAACTTCAGGTTAACGGGGGTCAAAAAAACTTACCAGCCCAAAGAAACCAGCCCTGGTAGTCCCAACTCCATTTGGGTTCCCGCCGTTCGAGCTGGTGTAGATGAGTCCACTCCAGTTATCCGCGAGCACTTTTGTGACGACATGGCCAGACGGAACGATTCCGTGCGATTTCCCGCTGATGTAGAGCTTGATGGACTCTGGGCAGCGATTCCGGATGGTATAGCGCCGCTCTGCGTTAGCGCCGAGAAACGCGAAGAGCGGCAGAAAGGCTTGGAGGATTTTGATGGGAGAGAACACCATTGGGCGTCAGGACAAGAAGGATGTTGCTGAAGTGAAGGCTAGTTAGGATGTCGAAGATTGGAGGAACAGCCGACCCGAAAGCTGCGTTGAAGACCAGAGTCAGGAACGAACGGGCATGAATGAGCACGGCCGGCGTCTGAGTTGCATTGGAAAAGCCCAGTGTCCCGAGGTCGTCCAAGAATGCATGCCCGTGGTCATTCCCGAGGACGTTGCTTTTGCATGTTTCACCCCCAACTCGACCGTAAGATCGGCCTTCATTGACTCTCTGGTGAGGGTACCAGGGCATGTCTCCAACAGACAATCGTTTCTAAGGGGACGATTCATTTCCGGAGGGAGATTCAAACCTCAAGTGTCGTCAAATCGTCGCCTTGCGCAGCGTTGGCGTTTCTAAGGGTGCAAAACTCATTGTGAACAAAGCCCCTTGCGCTACGTATCCCGGCTGGCTTTGAGGAGACCCGGGACTTCGAGAAAAATAAAATGTGTCGCGACAAAATTAAAAGGCTGTTTTTACTCGCAGATTCAGGTTGAGCGGGATGATGGGTGACGGTCTTGATACGAGACTAGGAACATGAACATGGGAGGATGGGAGGATGGGAAGAACAGAGGGGTGTCACGACAGCGTCACACAGGATTACCTTTCCCGATAAGATAAGGACCTCCTCACACGTGACTGACCTAGATCAAGTGTGGCCCACTCAAGAGTCCAATAAAAGTCGCGTTCGCTGTTGACTTAGACTAGTGACTGTCGTTCATTCACATCGTCTTCACCGCCAGTACAACAACCACCCGAGTGGGCTTTGGAAATTGGTTATCAATGTCGATTGACATGAATACACCATTAAAGAGCTACCAGAAGCCGTCCGTCCAGGCAGCTGCGCCTAAGCCGACAGCGGCCACAGTGAAGCAGGTTAGCGGAGGGAAACGCAAGGCCGGAGAATCTGGGGTAGAGGGTCAATCAAAGAGGAACAAAAAACAGGGAAATAATGGCCATGAACGTCTGGATCTGACGAGTATGCCGTTGGATATTCTTTTTGAGGTTTGTGGCTTGACCAATTGGATACATGGACTCTCGCTGACGGCAATCACTGGCGCGTCTACCCGTAGATATTTGCTCGAGTCAATCTCGCGGATCTCCTCACCCTTGCGCGCACGTCAAATGAATTGCGGAAGACTCTAATGGGCCGGTCATCTGTGACCGTTTGGACACGCGTTCGCGCAACCATGCCTGGACTCCCCGAATGCCCAGACGACTTGAGTGAGCCACAATATGCGGAACTGCTCACCGGAAATCAGTGCAACGTATGCCTTTAAAGTGAATCCCTTGGTTACTTTCTGACGAGCTTTCTTTATCATCCTGTTTTCCAGGGTTGTGGAAAGGTTGAAACTCAAGTTCGCGTCATTTGGGCCATTCGTGTTAAATACTGCTACGAATGTCTGCATAAATCGTAGGTCTTGGTCGATCACATCATTCTCTTTATCTGACCTACTATATCGCCTGACAGTTTTAAGCATACTCTTGTGGGGGAGTATTCTCAGGAGTTAAAGGACTTGGTTCCCATCGTCATGCTAACACCAAAGAAAAACCCGCCGTGTCATCCATTACAGGGCCGACAAAGTGGGGCTGCTAACGATGAGTTAGGGAAAAAATTCGACTTGTACTTAGCGCACTATCACTGCGGCACTGACCGAGCTTTGTCGAACGCCTTTAGAACCTTTAAAACCATAAAGGAGAGAAACACTTGGGAGAAGGCTATAGTTATGGAACAGAGGGCCAGAAACGCTGTAGGTATCCTGTTACATTGCGCGCTTTATATTGTGCTTAGTCGTGTTCATGTAGCATGGTGACGCGTGCGCTATGTGGGCCGCATACAACAAGTTTCGCACCCACCAAGCGCTAACTATGGCTGATCGTCAAGCGCTGTAAGCCTCCTATCTAGTTCCACTTCATCTTTCCTAATGGGCTATAGTATTATCAAATATGTCCGGCACATTGGCTGGGCTGAAGAATACGCCAGGATACCAAGCATCCTTGCTCAGCCACAATACACTGAAACATGCCTCATTGCATGCCAGACGGCGACATTTAACGCCAAAAGTGAGAGCCTTTCTTGACCATTCTCAATTGACGCTTTCTTATGTCCTTGTAATCAGCGCTCCTTAACCTTAAGACTCATCTCAAGGAGGTCATGAAATATCACAAAGCGATGCGCATTGCTAAAGAGAAAGCAGAGGTATATAAACAACGTCTCGCTTTCCTGATGACTGCCTATGCTTCCTTCGTCAACGCCCTTCCATACAAAGCAGTCTACCCGAGCACTTTGGAGATCTACCAATTCTCATCCGTCAAACGACTCATCAAGGACACACCCACTACCTCAGAATTCACAAAGGACACTGTTTTATGTGCTCTCAACTTCAACGAAATACTCAACAACTGGAAGAACAAAGTCAGGAACCAGCTCGTTGACCTCATCAGGCGCTCTCGCAGAGACCAGTTCGAAGAAGCCACAGTCCTCGATCTCGCCACAACCTTCTACCAGTGCACTAACTGCTCGCATGACGACGACATGCGATATGGTCTCCACTACATAGATGCTATGACACACAAGTGTGCCAAGTCCACCAAGCACAACTCGACTGTTGACAATTTAGACGCGGAGGCGATAGCGCTGAAGTGCCGGCTGAACGAGCAAGTCTGGAATGCAAATCACGTAATTGTGTTTGACGAACGCGCACGCATAATCATGACGGAGGTCGTCAAGGCGTGTGGATTAGACCCGATGACGACTACCGCGAAGGAGATGCAGGCGCTCGACCCTATTATTGAGTGCCTTGAATGCAACCACAAGTCAAAAGGTAGAGCGGTGATGAGATGGTCATTCGTGGTAAGTTATCCATGCCCCCAAACATGTAAACCTTGAGCGCTTACTCAGATGACATCTCACCTTTCCTTCCAGCCTGCCCACCATCACACCAGCTTAAAGCGCGGCAAATATAAATCCCTTGAAGGCAAGGTACCTAGGTTTGTTGTTGTCAAAGGCAAAGATGCCGACCGCGCCAGGTCACGAATGAATGAACAATATGAGCGCACTAAAGCACAACTCGCAGGTTCAAGAGAGACGATGTCACGGTTGTAAGGCAGCATACCATAGACGTGTAAGGTTTCCATTTTATTATGTTTGCATTAACTGACATTTCTTGCCAGGCATCGGAAATGGCTGCCATTGCTTGGGGCCGATTATGATTTTAGGCCTAAGGAGTTAGTGCAGGCATTGTCATTCCATATGCTATGTCCACCTCGCAAAGACACTGAAGGAAAGAAATAGGGGGTAATCCATCGGTGCCACAAATGTTATCCTATGGGTTGTATAGGATACCAGACGTTCTTTTCCTTGTCTTTGTGAAGGTCCATCCTGAAAGCAGATATTAGTGTCATGTAAATAATCAATCGAGAATTACGAAGCTGCCTACCTTGGTTTGAGGAACCTCACTGCGCTGTCTGCAGACTGTTGGGTGATTTGGCTGCCCTTTCTGGTAGCTTGATGAGGAGCGAATGCATCATAAAAGAAGCGGTCGAGGTCGTAGAAAGGCTAGTAGAAGAATATGCTCGACATTGTGGTTGGGAGGGTTTATGGCAGTGGTCGTTTGTCGGTGTGCTTTCGAAGAACTTGAGGGACGATGAGGACGACCTACGAGTTATAAGCGTTCAGATCAACGCCCGGGACGGCGAACTCACGGCCTCAGTGGAAGCGAAGCAGACAATGGAGAAGGCGGAGGGGGCTTACAGGCTCTACCGATTGACTCTAGGAAGAAATCAAAGACTCGATGGAACATGGAGTCCTGTGACATTCCCGTTGACTCATGAACTTGCGCCAGTGCGTATAGCAGTTGCCTGAACGCTAGCTCCACATTTCCGCCTTACTTGACCTGTATCATGCATACCCTCTCTTTTATAGCATAGCCTTTTAATTTCTGCGGTAGCTTCAATTTCGTAATACATATGCCGATGTATTTACCATTCATATGACGGGACCATCCGCCTCTATGATTATAGGACGTGGACCCGATACCGTGCTAATCCTCACTGTCCTTCAGTCCAACTTCTCTGGCCTTGGTGGCCAAAGATTGTGGCTGCCCAATCGCCACTCACATGCTTCAGGCTGATACCCTAAGTCAGCCCCAATGATTGGGATCCGTTTTGCATGCCTACGCAAAAAGGTTCGAATTATAAGTATATACAAGAAATCTCACGAAGACGCATCTGCTTACTTTTTCTTTGCGTGCTTCCTCAGGGAAGCAATGTCACCCCGTTCACTGCAACGGTAGCACAACATGTTGTTTCCCGCATAGCGCGCTTTGACACGTTCGGAGTCCTCGTTGATGCGCAGCCTAGCACGGTTGGCGTCCTCCCCGTGCAGAAGAAGCAACTCGATCGGTTCTTTCATCCCATACACTCGGTGATAATTAGAATGATTGGCCTTCAAGAGCATTAATAATGGACACCTTTATGGAGAAATGGGGCTCATGAACATACCACGTACGACCACTTCATTGTACGCCGTCCCAGATGCTGGCTATTACAGGCGAGACACTCAATGACATGGTCTGCGTTGTCCATATCTTGAGCACTAGTCGTCGTCGGGTCTCGTCCGTACACCTTCACAAGGCTAGTCAACGTTTCGAATGCACGAACGTCGAAGTAAATCATCCCGTTCCAATTCCACGGTTTCTCTTCCTTCAGTACGTGTTTGAGAGCCTTTGCTTCTGGATCGGTCGGCTCTGGGGCCGCGGGGTCTAGCCAGCGGGAGTCGCCCCTACAACGGTGCGTATAGATGTCCTCCTTTCGCAAGGGTACCGTGTCGCAGCGCTTGCAGTGGAAATAAGTCGTTGCAAGGTTTAGTACCGTGCTTTCGTCGAATATCGCATCTGGAAGACCCTGCCGGATGAGGCGAATAAGAGCCGCATCGAGACTATTCTTCCAGAAGCTGATGATTTCAGAAAAATCTAGGGCTTCGCGTATGGCGTTCTCTGTCAATTCGATCGTAGCAGGGGTGTTCTTGATCAGTCGTTCGACAACAGGAAATTTAAAGAGCTCCACTGTGTTTGGGTAGATCGAGTCGAGTGGAAGCGTCTCCACGTAGGCAGCATAAACCTCCACCAACAAGCTCAAACGGTCTTTGTACATTTCTTCAACGTCCTCGGATAGACGCCGCTTCTTGAGCTCCTTCATTATGTCGTTAAGCCGTCCATCAAGACCGAGGAGCGCTAAAATTTACAAGGCGTCAGAAGACAGCTTTTGAATTATGTACAGTGAAGATTCTCACTTCTTTCCGTGAAGTTAGGCTTCTGGCAGATCTGGAAGATATCCCTCTTGCATTGTGGCTTGGTGAATGAGTAACGTATCCTGGCGTACTCGTCACCCCATCCTAGTTGCTTGACGCGGTCGACAATGCTATTGACGAAAACTCGACGGAGATTGAGAAGCCAAGAACCAAAAGACACTCACAGCGCATGACGGTCTTGCAGAGTGAGCACCCGTTTCGAATGAAGTTTACTGCGGGCAGCCCAGGCATCGCAAGCCTCTCCGTGCTTCCGCAAAATGTTAGAGCAGTGCCGGCCTGGGCCTGATATTATGCGAGACGTACCGCATTAATAGGGCGTTGAATCGCTATTTTTTCCTGCACCCACTCCTTCCTCTCCTCGATCGTCGATAGAGCCTTGTATTCCTTTTCCCAAGACAGATCGGTATACCTGTGGTACCTGTCACAGATATGAAAACTCCGTTCTATTCCCGGCAATATCTGAGAACAGATCTCCTTAAAGAAGAAAAACATGACTCACGATATTTTTCTTTGACGAAGATGCTGGGCATTAGGCTTGCCAAGTTGGCAGGGTATGACTGGCTGTCTATCCAATAATAATCCTTCTTATAGGGGAAACTTGTATGTAAAAGTGAACTCGGGGATCGAGGGTAACGTATAATGAAGACTAACGCGGAGATGAAGCACTCATTGCAGTATTTGGCGCGCACCGACCAAATGACATTTGTGGCGGATCTCTTATCGCAGTCCTGTAAAAGACGTCATAAGACTCTAAATCGGCGTTTCCGTGAGACGGAAGACCGAGCACGTACGAAGCACCTGTTTCCTGTGATTAGCTCCGCGTACTGTGGTTCGCTCAAGTCGTCTGGACAATCTGGGTGTCCAGGCATCGTCGTCGAGCGTACGCGCATCCAGACGGACTTGGAAGAGCGACTCATGAGTGTCTTTCGCAGCAGCTTTGTCGTCCGAGATAGCGCTAACAGGTCCGCAAGCTTCACTCGCACGAATATCTATACACCAGAATGGTCAGTCCGATTGGTGTCCCGTCGTCGAGTCTTGGCAGATTGCGCACTTCGAGAAGGATATCCATAGGCATCTCCATGAGATCCTTCAGCACGAGATCCGCAACAGGATGATTCCGTTTCATCCTTTTCGTCTTCGGCCCTGACAACTCAATAAGCTCGCTCCGGAGTGTGACCTTGCGCTGGCCTGTAGAAAACGACCCTTCGGCTGGGTCGCCATCGATATCTTCTTCCTCAGCCAGCCTCTTCGAGGTCCTTGAGCGTGTATTCATCCCGAACGATGTCGAAGGTACGAATGTAATGTTGTGGTTGAAGCCAAGTGTTGCGACAGACAATGGACGCGACTTTCATAGTTTTGATCTCCGACGACCTGACAGTCATGTGATGATGCCACTGACCCATGTGATGTGACTCTGCGTGACCAAACGCGTTTCATTACACAAATTGAAAGAGCAGACAGGCGCGGGGGATTGTCATTGTCTGCGTGGCAAGGCAGTCGTCGACCTCTGCTGCGTGTGTGCAACAGCGAGGTGGCGAAGGGCCAGCGCACCCGCAGGGCGTGTGATGTGTTGCCAGCAAGGCTGAGGGACGGGGACGTGGCGGGGGCATCTATTGGGGGGATCTATTGGGGGCGGGAGTGAACGTGAAGGGCTTGACGAATGTACGTACTCAGGGTAGTCACAACTCACCTATCACCCAACCCCAGAGCAACCCGTGGGTCTACCCGTGCCATTCCCTATGATTATCGATCAAGGGCGAACATTCGAATCACTGTACCTACTGCCCCAGAGGTGGTCGGGCATGCACAGGGCAACAAGTGAAGCCAGATAGGACCAGTGCAACGAGTCGAAAGACATGCTACGTCACCAGCCGTCTAGTAGTGGCAGATCCCTAAAACAGCGGAGCGGTGCTCCAGTTGGGCCTTCGGACCGGGGTGCGCAGCCAGGCGGAAATTGGCACAGGGGGCCAAGAAAGTAACGTAGCAGTCCATTAGTAAAAGGCCACTATGGGGTACGGACAGGGCCGCCAACACGCCCATAAATCCTGTTCCCACAGTAGTGAGTCCACTCAGGCAGTAAGTATTCACGTCATCCCAATTGCGAAGTTCGAGGTCATCACTCCCACGAGTCGAATTCGCGGACCGGATAAGAGGGATCGGTAATTGATAGCTGAATAATACGAACGTAGGGGAAGAAGGACGAGGGGAATACACGGTTCGCTCAGGTGCGTATAAAGGAGAAGCATCTTGCTGGGCGAACCTTCAATTCTACCAGCTTCGAACTTACTGGATATCAGAAATGAACGGGGCGGAGCTCAAAGTTAAGCTGAACACGGGTGCGTACATCCCTATGGTTGGTGAGTTCACCCTTGTCTTTCTAGTGACCTCTGAAGAGATACTCATTTCCTTCGGATTGTTGGCAGGGACCGGCTCGAACCCCACATCGCGTGAAAATGGATATGAAGCAAAGACAAAGGAGTGGCTCTTGACTGCTCTCAAGGTACCCATACGATTCGTGTTCCTTGGAAGGTGTCTATTAATATCGAGAACGGCCAGAACGGGTATCGACACATCGACACCGCCTTTGCGTATGGTAAGTCACTTTGGTTTGTACCTTGACCGGATGAATTTACCCCTCTTTGTCAGGCTCGGAGAAGGCGGTCGGCCAGGCTATACGCGAGTCCGGAATTCCGAGAGAGGAGATTTTTGTCACAACCAAGTTTCCGTGCGCCAATTTATCTCTCCTTCGTCGAATGTTATTCAGAAGCTATGCGTTAGAGTGACCCATCACGGGAGAGTTAAAGAATCCTTTGAAGAGAGCTTTGCCAACTTGGACATCGGATACATTGACTTGGCGCGCCTATTTATGTCCTCTCTCATTTGCACAACTTGACGGGTTCATTGGCGTCCTCCTATAGTATCTGACGCATTGGCCAGGTGCTCTAGAATACGTCGAAGGGGTTCTCATGCCCAAGAACGCGGACGGTACCTTCAGAACCACGGAGAGCGTGAATTTCAACCAGTCCTGGGCCGAAATGGAGAAGCTCCTCGAAACGGGCAAAGTGAAAGCGATTGGTGTTAGTAACTTCTCCATCAAGACGTAAGCCCTCTTTTACATCGTTCCAATTCAAAACACACCATCCTGCTCTCTTCCCAATTCTAGTCTCGAAGAGCTCTTCAAGACGGCAAAAATCACGCCGGCGGTTAATCAGGTCGAGTATGTGCCATTTTTCTCCTAGTTTAAGCTACACTTCTTGTCAAAATTTCCGCAGAATGCATCCCTACCTGGCTAGGAACGAACTCAGGAACTACTGTGCCAAGCACGATATTGTCATAGAAGCCTACACGCCAAGCGGTGAGAGAATAAGCGCCGAGTCGCCTCGCCAACACAACGTGAACTGACTTGTTTATCTTATCCCCAGGTCGCTCGGTCGTTCGAGAGGATCCTCTGATTGTGAGCCTCGCGAAGAAGTACGGGGTGACTCCAACACAAATCATCCTCGCCTGGCACATCTCTCGCGGCAATGTCTTTGTCGCCAAGAGTGAGAACGACGAGAGGCAGAAAGAGAACATCGCAGTATGTTTTTTGTTGGCCCAATTCCACGGCACTGTAGGTAAACTGTTGGTTGATTGAATAGATTCCGGTAATCTCGGAGGAAGACTTGGGTAAAATCTGGCATCTCGACCGTGGGATGGGGGTTTGCCCCGTTCCGACCTCGAAGCCGGGGGAGGCTCTTGGGTGGACATATGAGCGCCTTGGATGGGAGGATTTTCACCCCAAGGTGGCGAATATCTGAGAGTATCATTACAGATTCGAACAAGAAACTATTTCCATCTGAATGAAGCATTGGTGATTTCATGCTGTTACGCTGGCAGGGATGCCGTCAACGAGACGACGACGCGGTCCAGAAATGTGACGGCGGTAGATTTTGATTGAAAGAGGAAATTCTCCAGCGACGAAACCACTTCTTTATGAACTCCGCGTATGCCTTCAAGAGGGTATTGCAAGTCAGAAAATAGGACAGAACCACAGGAGTTTACACTTACTTCTCGTCGCAATTCCGAGAGTTTTGTCAAGAGCCCGCGAGTCGGAGAGTAGAGTGAAGGATCATTTCATGGAGTACATTGGACGTCGAAAACAGGAAATCCTTAGAGCGTGTACACGACATGGGGAGAGTGCAACTATCGATACTGGTAATGAGACAAAACGGCCTGCGCCTGACAGTCGTGGATGACGGATGGTCTGTTCGAACCTGTAAATAGTGTGCAAACGGAAGGGGTGTCTAATACTGGTCTAGAGCCCCGATTAGAATATGGTGAGTTAAAGCGCGAACAGAGAGCTGGAGTGATTGCACCGTCTGATGGAATGCGATGGGATGGGATGAGTCGTAATGAAAGAGAAAAGCGAGAGCAAAGAAAAACCGGAGCTAAGGTGATTAGGATATAGACAAAGTCGTGCTTAGATTGCAACCTCTTCAGGATCGTCAAAGCCTTCCACAACGGTGTTCCACCTCCATCGACCTTCCAGGAATCCATTCGCGGTGTCCTCCAGTACGATTTCATTACGCTTCTGGACGTAGACCTGCGAAAGGAGGAGGGCAGATCAGCATGTATCCAAGGAGAGCCATAAAAATTGCGGCACCGTCTTGTTCGTGACATTCTGCCTCAGCGTGGGGATGTTCTCAGCCTCGATCGGCGACTCTAAGAGTTCCGACAAGTCCTCAACGGCCCTCTCCAGATCCCTCTGGTTGTCCTCAAACAGCTCCTTCTCGTTGCCCTTCGCAAGATAATACGCCATCGCATACGTCCACTTGAGGGTCTGCCGGCACTTGTCGACCTCCTCCACCGCTTTCTTCATGAACTGCACCTCGATCCAGGTCAGCGCCGATGTGATCTGCATTTCCTCCATCTTCTTCTCGGTCTTGGCGTACAGATCGAGCGAAAGTTTGGCGGATTGCTCGTGATTGGCCCAGCGGTTGTAGTAGTGGAGGTAGCGCTCGAGAGATGCTCGGCTCCGACTCTGTGCATCGCGGGCTTCGACACCAGTCTTCTCGTCGTATCGGTTGCAGGAATACCATGCCGTTCCGTGCTCGCTCCAGGGGCCCATGCAAACCCAGCAGAACTCGTGCTTGCACTTCTTGCATGTCATATGGCTGCAGAAAGAATAAGAACATGAAGGAAGACGACACGAAGGCAACAAAGCACTTACTTGCAACCCCCGTTCTTCTCGATCGTACTCTGACAATTGCTACACTCCTTTGTGTTGCTCTTGATCCAGTTCGCCGTCTCGCTGTCGTCCCGGCACTTCTTGAGCCACATCTTCGCGACGCCACACACCACCGGCCTATGATCGCTCTCGATCGGACATCCAAAGCAGAACTTGTGCTCCTTGCCTTGTAAGCCCAGCCCGAGCTGCTGGCTCTGGCTCACCTCCTGCGCCTCCGACCCGATCCCCCTCGCGCCACACGATACCGTCGGCACGATCGTCGTCAGACTCGATTTTGATGACGCAGATGGACAGGATACGGTGTTTGTGCACGACGGGTAAGGGCAGAACTTGAGGTTCGAGTTGCATCCGACGAAGTGGCGCACCAGAAGCTCCTGGAACCGTAGCCACGCCTTCTCGTTCTGCGCCTCTTTGTCCGCATCACCCACTGGCGCACCCGGGGCTGGCACCAGCAGGTCGTGGATAAACGGGTCGGGGCAAACGAGCGCACAGCCCTCCGCCATGCACCGGATGGCGTGCTCGCTCTCATCCTTGATCTTCGACACCACATAGTCCGTCCAGCAGTCGGAGCAGAATGTATGCTCACAGTCGAGGGCGAGAGTCTGCATGTCAGGGGCATCATTGAAGCAGATCTGGCATACGAACGGCTCGTCGGACTTTCTCGACGTCGTCCGTTGGAGCGCCTTCGGAGTCGTATAGGCGAGCGTGGGTGATTTGCTCGACTTGGTGGGTTTCGTCAAGCCACGTGTTGTGGGTCGGCGGGAGGAGGGTTTGACGGCCAGTGGAACAGCCTCGGGCACGGTGACTCCTGCTGCGACGAGCACGGCCGTCGCGTTGTCCATGTACTTCTCGATGAGCTTCTCTTTGTTCCACTTCAGGTGTCGCAGTAGCAGACTCGCAACGCTCGCCTTTTCACTGTATCAGCACGCCATCGATGAACACGATTCACGAACGTACATCCACCCCGAATATCCCGCATATGTGGTCGACGTCTCGCTGCATCAGCCGCTCGACCGAGTGCTGACTGAGCGACTCGTACTCGACCTCGTACGGCTTCCGCTTGCCCTTGGGCACCACCTTGAAGTCGTCTCCGAAGTTGTCCATCTCCATCTCGTCCTGTGAATCGTCTATGCTGCTCTTGAGGACAAAGCGACAGATAAGAGGCAAATGCACGCACCTTCCTCGTCCTGGGTGCCGTCGATCATCTCCTCATCGTCAGAGTATGCCTCCTCGCCGTCTGAGAACTCGTAATCGGAGGACATTGTGCGTGAATCTGTGGTTGCAGATGGAGATCTTCTGTGGTTGAGTCAACCTGCTCCGGGAGCCTATGAGTCTTTAAGGTGAGGCCGTAATCCACGTGATCTTTGCCACGCTTTAGGGGCTTGCTTCCTCCAACAGAAGAAACAAAGATAACCAAAGGTAACCAGGGCTGGACAAGGACTTCATTCCAATCTCAAAGAAATATTTGTTCTTGTCGTTATCGTTAACGCCGCGAGAATACTGACAATGTAATTACAGCGGTTCGTGGATGCGGCATTTTCCGTTTATTAACAGGCGCTAATTATCGCGTGTTAGAGGTTCTTCGTTCTTCGAGAACATCGGTATTGAAAACATTTACTGAAGCAAACTTTCTGCAAAAGCACCTAGCGCAAATCAAGTAAGCCTAATTTAATTGAGGTGGATATACCTATCACCGGTTTCCTAAGGTGCCATATTTTCGGCGCTCAGAGTGGACAAGTAATGCGAGCGCTAACTTTTTGTCCGACCCGTAGCAAGGAAGATATTTCCTAAGCCAGTTTTTTGACTGAACGTCCCTCGAAATTAATAAAAACGAACGGATAAAATTATGGCGGTGAAATACGATACGTGAGTCAAGAGCATCCAAAACCTCAACGCAATTCACAAAACACTAGTCGATCAAGTTTCCCCTCGAATCCCTCTCAAACAACAAAATCGTGGGTCCAGCAATAATCGTATCATCCGTCGTCTCCTCTCCACTCCTCGTCGCAACCGCGTACACCGTGCCCGACAGACCCTCCGGCACAAGAACTTGCCCATTTGTAATCGGAACGAAGATCTTGTCGAGACCGGTGAAGAAAGAGATATAAGTCGCAGGGGCGTTAGCGGGGGTTCGCTCGACAGTGGTGGTATGCCCGGGGACGGGCTTGTTGGTGAATGCGAGGGATGGGAAGGCTTTTACTGGAAGGGGTGGATTGGTGGACGGGCAGGAGGTAATGAACGGCGCAGCGAGGGTGTAGACTTCGTTTAAGCCGAGGGGTACCTACATAAATACGAGTCAGGGCTGTATATGCGAGAGAATTGGAAAGGAGGACTGACGTCGAATGCGCCGCTCCACCCAGCAAACTTATTGACTGCGGATGCAACCCAGCTGGCGTGGCGAGCCTCTGTGGCGAGGACGCTCGCTGCGGCGGTCAAGTAATCCTTGTTGGAGATGAAACGAGCGGCTCCAGTGTATGCGGAAGTCCCTGAACGACCTTATCGTAAGCCTTGATATTCAAATCACGCAGCTATGAAATCACTTACCGACACCTTCAAGAATCTGACTGAGAGCTGCAAAGCTCTTCGGGTCGGTGTGCGGGCTAGCACCCGAGGGTCCGAGTCATCAAGAATCCTCCCATCGGAAGATGTTAACTACTTACAAGCTATATTGACACGGCTTAGTAGCGCTCTCGCCCAACGCCGCCGTTAAAAACTTGACATGGGTCTTCTCGTGCGCGGCGATCTCGGCGAAGCGATCTCGGGTATGACGCGGAAATCCCGCCTTCTTGAATGCTTTAGCGTCGTACTTAGCTAATGCGTCGTGGTAGAAGGCGTTTTCGAGGTGCTCGAGTGTAAGGGCGAAATTCAAGACGGTCGCGTCTGCCGAGAGAATAAGTGAAAGTTCTCAAGGGCGAAGGGGATAATCCAACGACTCACCGTCCACGTTCTGTCGCCTCTCGATGCTCGCCAGAGGCGAAGCAACGCACAGAGAAATGAACGCCAGGGAAACGAGGGTGGTGCGCATTTTGAGATATGAAGGAAGAAAGAGAGGGTGGGGTCCTATTTCTCCCCGCTTTCAAATCGTTCTATTTTATACCTTTTCGCTGCTCGCTTCCCCATCGAAAAAGGCTGTCAACGTCCACGGGCATCTCGGGCGACATATGATAGGAACTCCGCCATGAAGCTCTCGTTCCTCGATTGTGACGCGCCCTTTCATGATCTATGGTGCGTTGAACAGGGTCTAAAAATAGGAACCATGCAAAGTTTGCTTGTTCTGAGCGCCCAAATGAAAGCAAGCGAGAGTGCCATCTTGCATTACAAGTGCGTCTCAGTCTGTATAATGATTTACATTCGAGTAAATGAAGAATAGAATGGAAGAGTAGTTCAGGAAGCGGTGCCCGACGTAGCCGATTTAATTGGCTACCCAAGATGTGCGCCACTCAGATTTGATGGGCATCTCGGGCTTTCTTTATTAGTCTCCTGTCAACATTTGGGGCTTCCCGTCTTTACCACATGAGCAGTTATGATACAGCATCCACTGCCAATTGGAGGCATGAAGCCCACTATTGACGCGTCTACTTATGAGTGGACTCAGGGGCTTCTACCTCATAAGAAATATCCATCCACCCTAGGGAGGGTTGGGAATTCTGTACGAGTACTCGTGGGTCACGGGTACACCGGCCCGCCTCGGAAAGTGCCGGCACTGCCATGATCGCAGCTTCGTTTCTGCTTGACCGTCAGCATCGACTACCTCTCGCCCATTACATCGAGTACTTATTGTCCTCGACGTGCACCACTTTATTGCTCGTGGCCTGTGAAGCCACGGGAAACAGCCAAACAGGCAAGTAAAAGTACATTATTCTTTTCTGATGTTTTTCTCCCGGTAGACCTCCCACCCTCGATGATGGTGCATCGAGCTGCTCACCACTGCTGTGTGCCCCTCCCCGAGCATAGGGATGTGGGCCGGCGTCAATTCTGCCAGTTAAACCCCCGACCCATTCCATGTCCCTCGGTGCGCGGACAACAACCAAATAGCCACCCCACTTCGATCATGAAAACAACCATTATAACCAGCCGGCCGCCGGCACAACGAGACGATAATGGGACGAGCACAAGAAAGGGAGCAGGATGAGGGTGAAGGCGATAACGGGATGACAGCGACGACACCAACAGCCATGATGTGCCAATGGCATGGTACGTCCATTGTGCTAGTTAGATTGTTGTAAATGGTTTCCCAACCTCATTTAACAGTAGTATCTGGTGGCGGCTCGCTCGCCCGCACCTTCCACCACTCTCCTCCGACGTCTCTTTGCCCAGACCCCATCCACCTGCTCTTGCATCCCCTACTGCCCCCAGGCTCTACCATCGCAGACTGCGACGGCACGTCATTTGACGGCGCATGTCGTTTCTGCGACGCCACAGCCTCCACAAATGTGCCACTGTACGGGTTTTTTGAACCTGCCGACCCTCGTGAAACCCTTACCCGTCGAGGCGGGTGCGGGTTTGCTGGGGTAAGGGTACGGGTAGCCCTGGAAAAATCCACCCGTTCTAGGAGTGAGTTTCTATCCAGCACTCAGTTCGCCGTCACCATAAGATATTCCCTGCAGAGAGACTTCTGAGCTTTGACGGGTCGCACCCTCATATCACAGAAACTCGGAACGGATGAAATTATGAAGGTGATATACAATACGTGAATCTCAAGAGCGTCAATTCAAAACCTCAACCCAGTTAGAACGCAATTTACAAAGCACTAGTTGATCAGATTCCCTGTCGAATCCCCCTCAAACAACAAAACTGCCGGCCCAGCAATAATCGTATCATCCGTCGCCCCCTTCCCACTCTTCGTCGCAACCGCGTAGACGGTGCCCGATAGACCCTCCGGCACACGAACCTGCCCATCTGCAATTGGTACTAAGATCTTGTCGAGACCGGTTAAGAAAGACACGTGAGTCGCAGGGGATGTAGTGGGGTTCTGCTCGACGATGGTGGTATGTCCAGGGATGGGCTTGCTGGTAAATATGAGGGATGGAAAGACTGTTACTGGCAAGGGTGGGTTGGAGGAGGGGCAGAGAGTAATGTATTGTAGAACGAGGATTACCACCTCGGCCGGCATGAGGGCTGCCTACATGAAGCATGAGTCAGTGCTACGCTTGTAGCGGAAATAGATCAAGGGAAGACTGACCTCGAACGGGCCGCTCCATGGAGAGACCTTATTAGCGGCGGACGCAACCCAACTGGCGTGGCGAGCCTCTGTTGCGAGGATGCTCGCTGCGTCGGTTAAGTAATCTTTGTTGGATATAAGGCGAGCGGCTCCAGTGTATGCGGAAGTCCCTGTACAAGCGTGAGGCTTAATGTTCCAATCACCATGAGCGGAGTGACTTACCGACGCTTTCAAGGATCTGACTGAGAAGTGCAAAGGTCCTCGGGTCGGTATGCAGGCTATCATCAGAGAGTCTTCAGGGATCCTGCCATGCAACGATGTTAAATACTTACAAGTTGTATTGACATGGCTGAGTAGCGGCCCCGCCCAACGCCTCCACTGCAGCAGTTAAAAACTCGACGTGGCTCGCCTCATGCTCGGCGATCTCGACGAAACGAGCACGGACGTCGTCTGGAAAGCCTGCTTCCTCAAAGGCTTCAGCGTCATATTTCTCCAATCCCCCGCGATAAAACGCGCTCTCGATGTGCTCAAGTGTAAGTGCATAGTTGAGGACGTCTATATCTGGGGAAAGTAGGTCAATTCTCCGAGAGACGAAGGGAGTACTTGGGCAAACCGTTGACGATCTGGCGCCTCCCGACGCTTCCCAATGGCGATGCGACACAGAGAGAAGCAAAGAACAGGGAAAGAAGAGTAGTACGCATCTTATCTAAGAGAGGAAGGGAGAAAGTAACGAAGGATGTGCTGTTTCTACCTATTCTTAAGCTGCTTTCCTTTGTATACCTGTTCATTTGTTTGCTTCCCCGATGCCCGTCGAAGGAAATCTCAACGTCCCACGGTATGGTTCTGCGGGGAAGATAATCAAGGTCCTCGATCGTGACGCGTCCTGTCATCCTGTGTTGTGCGTTGAATGACAAGCGCCGGATCGATATCTAAAAATAGTAAATTTCCAAGGATTGACCATCGGCTTGTCGTGAGCACCCCCAATTGAAAGCGAGCAATAAATTCATCACAATTTCATCTGCGTAATTATTTGTGTCATCAAAATTGAAGAGAAGAACAGAAGTGTGGGTGCCTGTACCCGAATTGTCCAGCCAAGAAGTGCGCCACTCTAATTTGATGACTGCAACGGCCGATTTGGCGACGGGCATCTTGGGAAATTTACGTTAGTCTCCTGTGGATACTTACTTTAAATGCGGTTGGCTTCTAGCAGGAGAAAGCAGTTTCGAAATTCTGATAGAGATAATCGATGAACATCTGAACCAGTGGCGGCGTCGTGCAGCATACGCCTCCAATTCGACGCAACCAAGAGATGTTAGCCCTGTACGCGACTTCCATGCGCTTAGCACAATTAGCCCCTCAGATCACCACCCGGTAAGCAGCGGGTATCGTCACTCCCTTAAAGATCTGTGCTAAGGTCACCCAAATCATTGATCCCGTAAAAATAACAGGATGAGATAGCACCATCTTTCTACAGTGTAAGGGTGGGTATTAGGATGTGTAACTTGCAAGGCAGGCGGATCCGACCTGGCCCATAGAAAAGTTAGTCCGAGTACCTGTTCTACAGTCCCAATTTCCTGTGTGATTGGCCGCATGAGCTCGAAAGGGGCGAGCTCCCGCTCATCTAGAACTAGTACGAACAACAAAACGACCGCCTCCGTCCTCGCGCAAGCTCGGGAGATCGTACGATGCTTGGTTATTCATAGATTGGCTGTCTCCGTCGTTTGGCTCAACTCTAATTGAGTCGCGTAGTCCCTCCCAGGACCTTTTGACAGGAGGATAGCGCTTCCGGTGCTTCGGGGGGAGCGAGCTCCGGACCACCTCCAATACATTAATTGCGAGGTCGAGGACGAAAGAAATGAATGACGTACTGGTCGTAGGATGATGAGAGGGGTCCCGGAATGGTCGCTCGTCTCCGAGGGGCAGAAAACGACATCTTTGGGTGGCGTTACGCTACGCGCCCTGTAGTGGTAGGCGGGTTGGCGTGGCGCGATTACATGATTGAGGGAAGAAAGGCACGACGACGTACCCAAGGGTTTGAACCACCGCAAACTCGGTGGTCCGCTGTGAAAGACAGACATCTGTGTGATGGAAGTCATTTCCGTGGAATCGTGAGCGATCCTTGGAGTAGGATGACGCACCTTGAGTGTCTACCACCAGGATGCGTCCATCATCCCCGTTGACGTGGGTGAGAATGACCGGGAGGGCGGCTGTCGGCGGAACATTAGACACTGACTCGTATGCTGATGAGGCATCGAGTATCGACTTGTCAGAGCTCATATTTGTTGGTGGGACCCACTGAATTATCGCTCACCGGCTGGGATTTAAACTGCTTGGAGGGGGAGGGGATGGAAAACGAAGCGCACCAATTCAACACCAATTGAGATATGGCATCACGCCTATCTTTCCCATTCCTTTGGTGACGAATGGCCACTTTACCTAATAAAAAGACTCATCGAGGGTCTGGAGACGGCTTTTCCCGTATCAGAGTTGAGGGCGATCTTGTTTGGCCCTGAACCTTGAGTATAACTAAGCACACGGGGGCAAGATCATGGGGGTAAGAGAGAAATCGAAGGCGCCGTGACACACCTACCAGCCCGATGCATAAAATGACGAAACAAACCAGCCCGAGGTCGCTGTGGTTAGTCTAGCTGCATCAAAGGCCGCATGCAGATTGTGACGAATAGTTCGAAGGTAAGTGCGCGCATATATTGACCAAAATAGCTGTATGAAGTACGAAACAGAGCGGTGATTGCCGTGGAACGGCAATGCGGCATCTAAGAGACTGACAGTGGATGTTCGGACGAAATATTCTAAGGTTGGCTCTACGAGGCCGAAATAGACACGTTATGATCAGCGCTAATCCAGCGCCTATTTCTTTGAGCGTGGGAATCATCCCTTTGGTGCACCTTTGCAGTGCCACGGTGAAGATGATAACTGTAGAAAAGGCCATTTTAGGGAGCCTTTATCACATCTGATACCCAGAAAAATGCAGTATCCTCCTGTAACTCTCCTTCTAGCTCAGAAAATCAAAAACTCAGAAACCGCATCAGCAAATCATGATTTTGAGGGTCAAAACGGCCTCGATTTCGGTGGTATAGCGTGTTATGGCGCGTTACGTAGCGCTACGTAGCACGCCATAGCACCGTAATGCAGGTCCTTATCTATTGGGATCCCCCCCAATTATGGAGTGCTAAGTACCCTCGTATAGCACATATAACGAAATCAGGAATTGCTGATGCAGTTAAAGGTTTCAATAGCCTTGAATAAATCTTTGTTCTCATTCTCATGAATTATCATTTGCTGCAAATTCTGTCATGTTGCAAAATTAATTATTAACATGATGGGAAGACCAAAATTCAAGGCTTCTTTGAGAGACTGGCAGCTCAGAGCACAATAATGTATACTGATGCCACTGACTGACTTAAATAATTCATTTAAACACTATGCTCATGGAAGATTAATTTTCCCTGAAACTTGTGGAATAAATTTACATAAATTCATTGCATATCAACTGGAAGAAGCATACACCCTCCCCTGGTTTTGCACTGAGGGAGAAACCATGCAATAATGAATGGTCATTAAATACTGATTATTTTGAGAGCAATTGAGGAAGATCCAAGAATAAAATAACTTTGAATATAGAGGAGAAGGCTACCTCCCCTTCTGCCTATAGACAAAAGCACCATCCTTTATTACCCTTATGACTCCCAAATTTTTGGGCAGCCATGTATCCAATGTGTGCCATGTACTCAGTTGATGGATTGTGGTAATCAGCACTATATATTGTGCTATAGCTACTGGATATCTAGTCTGCTAGAGCAATTGTTGAATCATCCATGGCACAGCAGCATTATTTGAAGGTGCAGAGCCTGAGTGCTATGACACACTTGGTGACTTCCCTGTCACACTGTTGCTTTTTTTGAATCAACAATTTATATAGCGGTTCTCGGTGGCAGCCCTCACTTGTGTTGTATCATATCAAGTCTATGGGCCATGGGTATGTCATGCAACACCGTGGACAAAGTTTGGTGGTCATTTAAGCCGTTTTGGCTTTTCTCACCAGCCGTGGCCCGTGGCCCGGCCCGGAAGTCAAAGTGAGTGTGACACGGGACAAACCCTCGATTTCTGCCATGTCCAAATTTGGACATGCAGGGTCGGCATCAGTAAACAGCTGGAAAAGCGGCGAAATTCCCGCTGCTTCGGTGGTAGAGCATCAGTGAGAATCCTATGCTTCTCAAAAATCCCGGATATTTAAGTTACCTGCGGAATGCCATTGTTTTTCACTTGCCACAGAAGTTTCATCTTTCTGAACAGTTCTTTGGTCATTTTGGCTTCTAGTGATAGGGAGCTTGTATAATAGGTACTGGGTGGTAGTCTTCTAAGTTCTTCTAACCAACTTCTAACAACTTATTTCTCCGCTCGCTTGGCAAGCGCCGCCACTGGACTAGCGGGCCGGACTCGGAAGTGACGGTCACGCCTATCCGTGTCACTGCAAACGAACCTTGGAAGAAACACTGAGGACCAAAAGTTTTTGTTCGCATTTTCGAGACTCGGATCTTTTGGTGAGCGTAGTGGTTTGCAGCCCATTGTTCTATTTAACAATTTAGTCCCTAACAGTGATGATTTGAGCCTTTTGGCTGAGCTGGAAGCGGTTACTCCACTTCGACCACTATGGTCCAACCAGATAAGCGTCTGCTCTGGCATCCCAGGCACGACAACAGATTCGTCGTTGGAGGAAACTCGCAAATCACGCTTTACGAGTGGGCAGCAGAATACCCAGAGATCCGCCATGTCACATCCCAGCACGATCTACATTTTATGAAGGCAAGTGTTCGTTTCGTTGGGATTGCTGGAGAGGAGTTTGAGGCTCCAGGGTTCGCGTATCTATCTACTAACGCTATTCTCATTTTTCATCCAGTGCTTAGCCTGGTCGCCGGACCCTGCTTTTGAAGATCTGATGGCTGTTGGACTTAGTACTGGCAAGGTGGACCTCATCCGACTCGAAGCAGGCAAGCAAGCTCAGAAGAACAACATCCTTTCCAACGGGCCAACTGTCACCCTTCCCGTACGAAACTCTCGCTCATGCAACGCCCTCGCATTCAGCAACGCGGACCCCAACTATCTCGCCGTCGGCCTCGATAAAGTTCGCGGCGATTCCAGTCTCGTCATATGGGACATCAGCCCCTCCGTGCCCTCTCTCACCATTCCTCTCGCAAACCCCGGCGATAGCTCCGTTTTGCATATCCTATCGCCTCGTCAACCTCGCCCTGAACCCCGCATCCCACGTCTCGAAAACCAAGCCAGGATCGACCCTCGGGTTCTGCAGCACCACGCCCCGACCGAAGTCGTCTCCTCCCTCGCCTTCCTTCCGTCATCAACCCATCTTCTGTTGGCCGGAATTTCGCATCGGTGGTTACGTCTTTTCGACCTACGGGCCCCCAATATTGCTGCCGCCAACGCTGCCTCTAAAGTTCATGGCATCGCGACAGATCCATTCGATGCCCATCGAGTTGCATGTTTCGGAGACGGTGTGATAACCGTCTGGGATTCGCGGAAGCTCGCTCAACCCTTGTTAACGTTCTCAGAACGCGATGCCCTTGCTGACGGTGCGAAGATTCGACCAGGTTCAATTTACGCTAACATCGAGTTTTCGAGCACGCGGAGAGGGTGTCTGGCCACGTTAGAGAAAGACGCGGCATATGTACGCTTTTGGGACGTTCTGGAATCGAGAATTCAGGCTATCGAGGGAAGCATCACTGGAGGTGGTTCGTCAGATGGAGAGGCGAAGAGTTCGAGGGAGTCTAGTCGTGCAACGAGAAGGTCGTGGGCGCCCACTTTGCCTTGGCCATCGAGCCAGACGCAGCACTCGCCGAAGGAGAAGGATCTCACCTCTTCGGTCGAGCTTTCGAGACACCCCTCCCTTGTGCTGGCAGACACACGTAGAAGTGGGTATCTCTCGTCTCTGTCGGGTGTCGCGCTTTAATGCCAAGTTTAGCGAAACAATTCCAACGATCGCTTTCCTCTTTTGCCCTCCTTCCAAATCTACAAAATCCTCACCCGCTCACATCCAACGTCATGGTGGTCAACAAGGAGGGAGACCTCGAACTATACGCCATCCACGACACAGCAAAGCAACTTGCCTGGAGTGCACGTGGAGATTTGGCATTCGGGGCAGGCATCGGGATGAGAGTTCTCGAAGGGTACCACGACGTAGAGAATGACGACGACTTCGATTCGGATGGCCTGGCACAGCGAAAGTCCGGGTCAGGCTTCCAGTACCCTGCCAGCACAGAGAGAGATCGCAACTCGCGCTCTCGGTCCAACCCTTCTCGAGACCAGTCTCGCGCCCGGGGTCGCTCAGGCATCGCGGGGCATCTTGTGCCACCCGCCGGATCGGCCCCGCCTGCTCTGTTTGGACGAGGAGACGAGGACGGGTTCCCTGCGCTGGCAAGTAGTAACACTGCTCCAACTGGCCTTTCGGCGACGCGACCTGGCAAGCCGAGGACGTACAGCCCTGCGTCGGTACGCAAGTATCGAAATGGAGAACGTGGCGAGCAGAGATCGTTCAGGAGGTCGCCCTCCAGGACGGACACGATACCGGTCGACGATGATCCACCTGCGTCGAGTCGGGCCAGGGCCCATAACCTGGATAAAAGCGGAGCGAAGGCCAGGCAGAAGTCCAGAGAGCCGCCGAAGAGACCGACAGGGGTCGTCCACATTGTCCAGGATGATATCTCGATGACGATGAGGAAGAGGGTGCGGGCAGGATATGGCTTGTCCCATGTTCGTATGTTCAATCTGTTCCAATTGTCGGTAATTAATAGACGCGCATTTCAGCCTGAACAGAATAGTAACATCACGAAAGACGATCAGGAACCCTCCAATGCATCAAGCCAGTCCCTATCGGAGCTCTGGGGATGGCTTCATTGTATGTCCAATTCACGGACTTTTACTCGTCCTAAGCTATAGTACATGATTTATCCTACAGATTCTCATGAAATCCTCTGCAATCCAACCTCTCGATTACACGGCTACGACTTCTCCTACCATGGTCTGGCTGGCATCTGGGAAGGTTTCCCGCCTATCGCTGCCCCAGCTCAGCAGCAGCAAGTCATTGACGACACACCCATCCCGCTACCGCGTACACTCCTTGACGTCCCACCAGCAGGCGTATTGGCGCAGGGCCAACACCACACGCATACATCCAGTGGTGGAGGTACACGACGAAGCAGATCGCCTGCAGATGATCTTCATGGGAATTGGCCGGCAGCTTTGGCTATCCTAGCTGCTAGGAAGGGTGCTGATCGTTCGACTTGGAAGCCGACGGTGCCGACGACGAAGCTCGTTCAAAGGCAGATTGCACTGCAGATTTGCGGGTGGAGCTTGAGAGAAGACGAGCTGGCGGCTGCTGTCAAACGGTATGTCATGTTTAGTCCAAATTTGACAGCAACACGCAGATCACTTCTTGTCGCAATCTAGATGGGAGAAGGACGACCAGCTCTCGAGAGCGGCGTGTTGGCTGGTTTTCACCAGGCAATACGGCAAGGCTGTCGAGCTGCTCATGCGGAGCGATGGTAAGGACATCATTTTTATTCATTTTCTCTTGTTGACTCATGTGCCTTTAGATGAAACTCATCAGATGATGTCCGGCACTGTTGCTGCACTCGCACCTCTCATGTCTGGCTCTGGCTCTACAAGAGTACTGGAGCTTCGCGAACTCTACGGCCGACTGATCATCAAGCTCAACGATCCGTATTTTAGAGTGATGTTAACGCATCTAGCGACAGGAGATTGGTCGGAGGTCCTTGACGAAGAAGTCATCCCTTTCCACGAACGGCTTGCCATTGCCTTTCAATTTCTCGACGATAAAGCCCTCTCATCATACTTGCGGCGGACGACGGAGAGGGCATGCGACGAAGGGAACATCGATGCCCTAATCGTTACAGGCCTCACACCAGCAGGCATGCGCGTCATCCAGTCCTACGTCGACCATACAGGCGACATCCAGTCGGCAGCGATCCTTTCATCGTATGTCTGCCCACAGAAATTCAAAGACAGAAGAGCAGAACGGTGGTTGGAGGCCTACCGGGATCTCCTAGATGGGTTTAAGATGCATCATCTCCGGGTCGGCTTCGACATCGAGAGGGGCCAGATCTTGCACGATGCCATGCAGAACGGCGATATGCTTCCGGAAGAGTGGGCACCAAGGCAGATTGTAATGCGATGCCACTATTGCAACAAGCCGTTCAGTGATATGACGATACTGCTGGCGCCTCAGCCGCAGAAGGAGAGGGTATGCTTTCACTTTTTCTTTCGGGTCTGATGAACATGTGTTCATGTTGGGTATCTGTCACTAGCCTACTGTGTGCTCTGGCTGCAAACGCGAGCTTCCCAGATGCTCTGTGTGTCTCATGACACTCTCCATTGTCCATGATGCCGCTCGCGAGGTGGAGCTGGGTTACTCCCATCATCGAGGTCCGTCAATCTTCAAATCCACCGCATCCTCCCTCACATGAGCTTCCAGATACCTTCGACGATGCCATTGTCATCTGCCAAACATGCCGTCATGGCGGCCATGCAGTTCATATTTTAGAATGGTTCTTGAGTGAGGACGGTCGAAGGACGCATGAAGTCTGTCCTGTAGCCGACTGCGGATGTCGCTGTGCAGACGAATTTTGAGCATTATCTTGGATTGTATCCTCTGGCGTGGTTTTCTGATGTTCATAATGACTAATGTAGAATCGGCAGCGCAGCTGCAAATGTCCTGGACAAGCCGCCGAAATGACGCGATTTCTGAAAGCCTTGCAGACAAACTGATAATCTGTAGTCGGCGGCCTATCCTCGTAAGAATGAGAGCTCCTACGCGACAGAAGCTTTGATTTTCATGTGATCGCTTCGATTATTCGATGAGTTCCTTTTGGAGACTAGTCTCCCGTAGGCAGACTCCGATATCTTATCAGTTGATGACAGTCGAACGATTGATTTCATATGGAGTAGGTATAGATCTGACTCATTTTTACAAAATTTCCTCAAATTAGGTGCCAGCATATTCATCCCGCATCCCCGCAAAAAAGACAAGATGTCGTTTGTAAACACCTATACCCCACCCAACAAGAGAGACATCGACGTGTCCTTCATGGACCCATATGACCTCAACAGTACCATCCCCGTTCTGCCCATTCTCGAAAGCGATCGCGTCTGCCTTGTCCCCTTCAACCCAGCCATCCACGCAGAGGCATTCCACATGGCATACGTCGCCGACATCGAGTCCATTGACCGATACTTCCCTGTCGACTGGTCAACCATCGACGCCTTCCTCGCCTTCCTCGAGTCCTTCATTCGACAAGATCACACCTCGGTCCTCTTCGCCATCATCGACAAAACGCGCCCAAGCGAAAACCCCGCACTCATCCCGCAAGGACGCGTCGCCGGCGTGATTGGGTGGGCCCACGGCTCGCTCGCGCAGCTCTCCATGGAATTCGGTCCGGTCGTCGTCCTGACCGCATTCCAGCGCACGTTCGTCTCTGCCAACGCCATCGGGCTTTTGCTCAAGTACGTCTTGGACACACCAGAGGAAGGTGGGCTGGGTTTCCGCCGTGTGGCATGGTGCACGAACCCTATGAACGTTGCGAGCATTGGCGCGGCGGAGAAGATGGGCTTTACGAAGGAAGGAGTGGTGCGCTGGTCAATGGTCCTTCCGGAGGGAAAGAAGGGAAAGAAGGCAGAGGAGGGGAGGGGGAAAGGGGATGGACGGGACAGTGTGTTGCTTTCGCTTTGTTGGGACGATTGGGTATCAGGTGTCAGAGATCTAGTGGTCAAAAGGATGAACAGGGTGTAGAGAATTTACTGTTCAGTTGACAACTAATGGAACCGTGAGTAGGAGTCGAGATGTGAATGAAACTGCTCACCAGTTGTTTCTTCCGCTCGACGACAAGTTCGTCAGCCATATCCCAGAAGTCAGGCCCTCCTCGTTGTACGGATGTCCAATACTCCCTGGGACGCATCGGCCAGTGGTGGCTGGGAACGATGACTACTCTTGCATCCTGGGTGATTCCCGCCTTCCGGAGTCCTTGCAGCGCCATGTCATCAGAAGATATGAAGACGAGAACTTCGAGCTTCCGACAGTCGGCCAGAAGGCGTTCGAATGACGGCAACATGCTGCGATGGATCCACCAATAAATCTCCCCTATGGCTAGATGTGTTAAGGCTGGCAGCTCGGAGCACAGCGCATCGCAGTCGACAGTCATTGAATTGACGATCTCCAGATGCGACAGGCTGGAGAACATGCCAGCTGCAGGCGGGAAGGCTCGTACGAGTGTCATTTTCAAAGATAGTCGCTCGAGATGTGGCGGAAAGTTGTTTTTCATAAGCACGTCGGCTTCTCTTGAAGCGTCTCCCCATATGACAAGAGTTTTTGTCCCCGTGCACACTGTTGCGATCTCCCTTGCGTCCCTTAAGTCGACGAAGCTCGTCAAGTGTAGGTGCTTGACGTTCCTTTCAAAGAAGATCGCAGGTCGCTGTCGGAGGGTCCTCATGAATAGCTCCGTACGCAAGGGTGGATAATCAAGCACGACTGTCTCATATATGATCGCCTCTATCCTGGCAAGACGGAAGATGTCAAAGTCCTGCACGTCGTATAACCATAGTACGCACCATTCCTGCACATATCGGCAGACCCGGCTTAGTTTCGGTGCTTGCTCGGGATATGTCCTCGCAGTTAGCTCCAGAATTACTTTCTCCAGATCGTATGGCAAGACCACGGGAGGTATCTTGGAAGACATTGGAACGCAAGGAAACTACCTGGTGTATGTGAGAGAAGAGAGAACTCAAAACACGGGAGTTAATATGTTCCATTTTTATGAAAACGTGTCGCATGTTCTTCCGCCTCACGGCAGATGGAGTGAAAATAGAGGGCGATGAGGCACCGATCGAAAGAGTGGCCATCCGCCTATTGTAGTGTTCCGCCTTCCATGATGTTGAACTAGGATGGCTAGTGACAGAAATCCTGGGCTCGTAATTATATGGGTATAAAATGCATATAACAGCTCCGTGATTTGAATCTTACCAAAAACAAAGTGAATCAGCGAACATCGACCTAATGTGATAATTATCCCGAGTGAAAACCTGGCAATGATGGAAATTGTGGGTAGATCGTCGGCAGACCATCATAGAGCGAGAATGGACCCTTCATAAATGGACGATCGTACAGCAGTTCTGCCTGCAGACCCTCCTCGACGAATGGCTTCACATCCGCCTCGATATTCTTGTCGAAAGGCTTCTTCCTCGAAAAGTGAAACTTTACCCTTCGAAGCTTGCTTAAATGTTTGTCCTCCCCATTCTGCTTTCTCCGAATGAAATCCAACACGGCTTCCTCGCTGAATTTGCTGTCCATCATAAACTCCACGTCTTCGAGCTTAGGGCATAGGACGTCTTCGATGTCGACACTCGCAGGAGCGAAAGCAATGAGCAGGCTGTCATTCAACCCAATCTGGCCCAAGTGCTGTGCGATAGTTGGCATCATCGGGGACGCCATTGGCGTCATGTACTTGCCGGTCTTGATGTGGAGGGTGTGCAACAACGGGCAGCATTTCAAGCATGTGAGGAACTCGTCGGCCAACATGCTCCCACTGCTAGTGTGAAGCCTTTGAATCTCAACATCGGGGTGCGAGGTGAGAAAACTGAGGAGAGGGGAGGGTGAAGTTGGTTCAACACTGGGGGTTCTGGAATAGGTGATCTGGTGGAGGGAGGGAGCATGCAATTGCCATAAGAAACTCGCGTCGTATTTTTCTTCAAGTGTTAAGGCTTTAAGATGCGGAAGGATGATGGGGGACTCCTGCATCTCATCGTCGCCTTCTGGAGAGTACATAACACCAGCGCTGGTCTGTACTGTGCATTCAATGAGGGCGGTGCATTGACGGAGAACATTCTTTATCGCGGCTAGATCGGGATACATCGATACGGCCCATCTGTTCCCCTCGATGACGAGGGTTGTTAGTAGTCCCCAGTGTACTTGACTGTAGGGTATGTCGCGATCTTTAGCAGAAATCTGGAATTGGGTCAGGCGCAAGCTTTGCAGGATGCTTCCATGTTTCCAGGGGGCATGTATATCTTCTGTCGGCGGTGGGACCATGATTGTTGTAAGATGAAGACGTAGAGATTCGAGCAGCGGCGTATCGGCGGCGCTGAGTTCCTGGATTGGGCGAATCGAAGAAGCACATGTCGTCAGCGAAATATCTTTCCATCGACGGCAGAAAGGGATTAAGCAGCGTTTGGCCACCGTCGCGAACACATCGCTCGCCCAATGCGCGTTCCATTCGTGGAGCGAAATGCTGAGCGGGCAGACACCACTCCGCTCAAACCACTCGCTAGCTATGCACATCCGCTGCTCCATGATATCTGCCACCCTCCTCGAATACTCGTCACTCAACGGCTCTCCCAGGTGATTTCGTGGGATCGAAGGAACGGGGATATGAATGGCGGCCCAGAGACGCGGTGTGTGAAGCGCAACGTGCCGCCACTGCCTCGAGACGTGTGTCAGGAGCACCGGGGGCTCGTCGGTGCTCATGCTTGGATTGCGTTCGTGCGGAAGACATGCCAGGAACATCTCCTGCAGTAGGTCTCGAGGAAGGCGCCGGATTGGGGAGAGGAGAGCGCGGTAGCTGTGCATACTTTCATCAAGTGCGTCTTTCTGCTCCCGTAAGTTCTTCAATCTAGCTTCGCTCAAGGCAATATCCTCTTCCAGCTGCTTGGATTTTGTTTGGGGATCCTTCAGCAGCCTCTTAATCTCTGCTAGTTCAGCGTCAGTGGCGGCATAGTTCGTTCCAACTCGGGTGGCCAACGACCCCATTAACTGCAAATCGAAGCTCATGGTAACCTTTGGACAGCTTGTGAGTACTTTTTCAACTACTCAAATAGAATGAATAATATGCTCACCTTTCTATGAATTCTACTTGGACCTGCGTTAGTGTACCGAGAGGAAAAGAGCTAAAAAGAACTTGAGTCTCAATCGGCGTGTGAATATGCTGACAAAGCTTCATCAAGACACCGGGCCGCTGAGGATGTACTTCTTTCAACAGCCGCAAGTTCGAGTTGGGCTCACCTGCGACAACGGAGCTGTCGTTCAATCTCCAGGATGCATATTTCGGGCCCAGGAGTAGTCGAACACTAGCGATAAATTTATTCATCGTAATTGCAGCGACGAGCTGTCTAAATAAAGAGCATGTGCTCCTGCATAAATTTGTATGACACAAGGCATTGTTAGCGACGGCAGACATTTGCCTTAGGCCAATAAAATTTTCGTCCCGCTGCTCTGAAAGTGGTATAAACAGGTGAGGTACGTCTGACATATACCTCTGGTACTGTTTTTTCTCTAATATTCCTCACAGTCGCCGAAAAATAAAGGACTTTGTTGAATACCCCTATCTTGAACCGCCTTGTAAGGTACCGAAACGGCTTTTCGGCTTCTTGTGATGCCTTGGTAAGGTGTCTTCCTTGTAAGGCAATTTAGAAATTTCCGACATGATCATACATACCCTTCCTCCCATGAGAGAGAGAGCCTAGGTCAACAATTGGGAGGCAGAAAACCTTGAAAGCAATCAAAAAGATAAAAGAAAGTGAGAAATCGCCGTGTAACAGCATGTAACGCAAGCGTCCTTTGCTATCTCTTCCTTCTAAAAGCGGGTGCAGTCGCGTGGCCCAATGGCGAGAAGATAACATAGTCGTATGACCAAAATAGCAGCATTTTACGAACGAGTGGATGCCGAAACTTAACTTCCTTGCAGTAAGTATAAGAGCTCTAAGCCCCATCATCGTCGCTCCATCCGTACTTATTTTTCTTTCACCGTGCCTTTCCTTCAAATCTGGCCCGACACGCCCAAAGGATGTCCGCCTGCCACGGCTGGCGCGGGGTTCGTGTCCTGGGGCTTCATCGCAGGGAACAGGAGAACCTCCTTATGTCTACATAGCAATCGGTCAGAAAATCGTGTTTGAGAAAAACAAAGGAGAAGAGAGGCATACTGGAGGAATCGGTGAGGAACATGACGAGGCGGTCGATGCCGATACCCCAGCCTCCAGTGGGTGGGAGTCCATGTTCGAGCCTACATAATCCATGAGTCAGCACAAAAAAAAGGGAGCCAAGGAAACAAAACGACGCACGCGTCAATAAACGTCTCATCCACACCCTGAGCCTCGTCATCACCCTGCTCCTTCTGCCTAACCTGTTATCAGAGCCAACGATTAGCAACGGAGTCAAATCGAATGAAGCCGCGATAGCGGAGACTGACCTGCTCCTCGAACCTCAGCCTCTGCTCGAAGGGGTCGTTCAACTCAGTGTAGGCGTTGCAGAACTCCTTTCCGCACATGAAGCCCTCGAAGCGCTCGCACAGGCCTGGACGCGAGCGGTGCCACTTGGCGAGGGGAGACATGACTTGAGGGTGGCCAACTGAAGTGCGCGAAGGATGTTAGAAAAAAATATATATAGCAGCTCGATGTTACGGGTTGGGAACTTACCGATGAAGGAAGGCGATACGCAGAGGGGTTCGATGAACTCGCCGACGAGCTGGCAGATTTTAGGAAAAGATTGTTTGCGAAAGACTAAGGGGGGCTTACCTTGTCAAGAAGACGCGCGTTTGTCCTCGGCTCACCGCATTCAACATTATGCTTGACACAAAGCTCTCTCAAGAACTTGTTCGTCTCGTCTGTGTGCAGCTTATCACCAGGAGGGAATGCAACCCCCAGCTTCTCCTCCAGCGTTTGAATCATGTCATATCGCTTCCACGGCCTCTGGAAGTCAAGGGCGAGCTCTCTAGCGCCCTCCTGGCCCTTGTTGCCATCGGGGTGGTACGTGATCTTGGTGCCGTCCGTGAGCTTCTTGACGAGACCCTCGATCATCGCCTCCGTGATATCCATGAGATCGTGCATGTCCGCATAGGCCATATAGAACTCGCAGATTGTGAACTCGGGATTATGCGTCAAATCAATCCCCTCGTTCCTAAACACCCTTCCAATCTCGTACACCCTATCCAGCCCACCCACGACAAGCTCCTTGAGGTACAGCTCCGGCGCGATGCGAAGGTACAGATCAAGGTCGAGGTCGTTGTGATGCGTGATGAACGGCTTCGCCGTCGCACCGCCCGCAAGGAGCGACATCATCGGCGTCTCCACCTCCATGAACCCGAGGTCGTCAAGGAAGCGCCGAATGTAGTTGAGAATTATGCTACGTGTCCGGAAGAGGCTGCGCGTGCTCTCGTTCAGGATGAGGTCCAGATAGCGCTTGCGATACCGTGTTTCTTGGTCCTTGAGCCCGAAGTGCCCCGATGGGAGCTGGTGCAGGTTCGGTGCTAGGAGAGTCATGGTTGATGGGGATATGCTCAGCTCGCCTTTCTTGGTGCGGGAGGGTGTACCGGTGACACCGATGATATCGCCGCGCTTGAAGTGTTCATGGGTGGCGATGAAGCCTTCTGGGTTTTCCGCGTCTCTGCGAAGGAATTCAATATGACAAGGTCGAAAGGAAAAGGAGAAAACGAATAGTGCGAAGGGATGAGGAGACGAACAATGATGGTACAGTGACATTCAGAAAGTAATGCTTCGGTATTCGCGGTGGTCAGCTGGTGGTCTTAAGTCCAAGGACAACCGCTGTGGATTTGATCCCCCTAGGTCGATTTCCAAACATTGCCTAAGATTGGATGATTGATGGAAAGTGTAATAATGGGCGCAACGTTGGTGTCCGAACGAAGAAAACAAAAAAGACGGAGGGGGAAGGGAAGAAAATGTACGCACTGTTGTGTTGCCATGATCTGAACCTTCACTCCCTCTCCATGCAAGTCATAGAACTTGAGCTTCGCGCCAGACGCCCGGATGTTGTGGATACGCCCCGCGAGGCTTTCTGTGACGCCATCAAGCTTGGTGCCAGCAGGAATCTTGCCCTCTGGGCCGTAGGTCTTAATGTACGCGTTCAGCGACGTGGTGACATTGAACTTGTGCGGGTACGGGTTGGGGTTTTGCGTCCTCTTGAGCTCGTTGATTTGACGGCATCTCAATTCGTAGTATTGCTGGAAAGTGTATGAGTCATGATTCGTGTCAACGAGTGGTTTCTATGACTCACGTTTGGGTTGAGGTCGTCCTCACTGGGTCCAGCGGCTGCTGCTGATGGGGCTGCAGCAGGAGCCTTGCTGGCCTTGGCTGCTTCCTTTGCGCGCTGCTTTTCGCGACGCTTGAGCTCTCTTTACCAAGGGTCGTCAATTAGTACGCGAATGGTTACAACTGAATGAAAAACGCACTGCTTGGAGATCATCTCGCCCGTCACCGGGTCCTTATGAGTGCCTGCAGCTGCAGATTGTTCTGAAGCCATGTTTCGGTAGCGTATTCGAGGTATTTGAGGGGAAATACAGCCGCGATGTAGTCGCGTAGATGGTAGAAAAGATAAGAGGCGAAATGCTTTGAGCATTTAAGTTTTTACGCAAGTAATCAGATCGAGTCACGAGCCTCAACATGGCAGGCAGTTCCCACGCTAATTATCCCAAGCAGTAGGCAGATGATAAGATTCGAAATGAGAGCCAGAATTTGAGAAGAAAAAAGCAGCGATATCTAGCAACAACTCCCACTGGCACAAAAGATGCACGCACATCTGGAACCCAAATAGATCTTCACCTATTCCGATGACTTCACCTCGATGTGGTGTCCTTGCTCTTCAACCAGCCGTTTCCTAGCGTAGCGGGAAGCTATTCAACACCGGTAACGGTGTCCAACAGTGCATAACATCTGGCGTACCTCTTTCGCGACGCTCACAGTGTGTAAGGCGACGAGGGCCTGATGGCCGCCGACACTCATCAGATTGACTTGGAAAGAAAGCATCCTCTTGTACTCGGGAATCATCGCTCGGTAAAGAGGACGCCGACTGAGAGAGGGAAAAGCGCAATGAGGCGTTGGCAGGAGCGTCTTTCGAGTAAATTTGGAGGTATGATGTTGGGAGGTAGTGCGAACGTGTCTTGGATGTCCAGAGGCATGCTGGACATTATGAATGAAGGTGCTTGGAACAACTCGGAATCAAAAACGCACCTTGATGCGCAATCTTTCCATATACCATTACCCCTTCGCGGCTACGCACTTCAACGAAATTTCCAGCTTCTTCCTTACCAGCTCTCCAGATCTCCTCCCCCACATCAAGGTCGGCAAATTCACTCTCTTTAAGGCAGGTTGAGAAAACTTGATGCTCTTCGGCTTGAATCACATGTGTAAGCTTCTCGTCTGAGAAATGAGGGTTTTTCTAATACTCGAGCGTGAGCCATGTTTTAATCAGCGAGGCAATTGAGATATTGCTCACCAGGGTCCAGATCCAATGTCCTATTTCGTGGTCAAACGAGGTCCTCAAGACTGTCCTCAGCACCAACTGGTGTTCCGACCCCTCTTCAGCCTTCGTCCACTGCTCGACATATTCTCCCGAGATACAGATGAATGGCCAGAGGCTTGCCACTAGTACTGACCACTACTTATCATAAGATACAGGTACTTGCCTGCACTGCTTCTGACACAGTGCCAGGGTAATTAATGAGGAGTTCACATTTCTCATCATTGACATAACTTCTCATTCCGAGCCATGGCTTGTAAGTCTTTTCATTCTTTGGTTCGCTTTTCATTACTGTGCCCCTTCTCATATCTTAAGAGTTATCATATCACACAGTGCACTTCTCATATCTCAACACATTTTTCATTCCCACACTTCTCATTGCAGTGCATTTTTCAATCTCGCTGACTTCTCATATCATGGCGCATTTTTCATTCTCATCCATACTTCTCATTGCCCTGCACACTTCTCACCACCCACTGACCTTCTCATATCATGGTATTCTTCTCATTTCGTGGTGCTGCTTCTCGGTTTGATGCGTATTCCCCATTAGGAAAGCGCATCACATAAGGGCTTGGCTGGCAGTATTGCTGGCGTATTTTGGTCATTTCCGGGCCAATTTTTAAAAAAAACCATAAATCGTAGAATAATTGTAGCGTTCCGTAGATACCTTACACATGACAGTGTGACCATTTTTGGCAGCTGCACAGCCAAATTAATGCCCTGCACTTCGAAAATGCAAAAATGCAGCCTCACTGGGCCCCCTCCCATGCATCCCCTGATAGAAACAGGTGAGCATTTATGAGCAGGCATATAATGGAGTCCTAACTACCACAAAATATCCGCAATACCTGCAGAAATGCTCGCATAATTGCCTAACCAATGCAATTCACTAAAAATAGCCAAAATGCGCACCCAAATCTCTACCCATGGCAGGGACCGGACCACCAGGACACCTTGGCGGTTCGATAGGGGATATGTAAGGCTTTCCGGGGATATATTTTGTATGGCCCCGCGTGCATTATTCTTGGCTGTACGCTTGAATTACTGATTTTCGTTCAAAAACACGAAAATGCGCCCCTCAATCCCTCCCTGGATGATTCAATTGCAATCACCTGTTGCTGGAACAACATAATATTTGTATCTAGTACTATTGCCTCTTATTATCCAGTGTAATCTGCTTATTTGCCACATGGGAGATGAAATTAATCAGTCCTTCCTCCTGACATCTATCAGAGCAGTATTCTGACCATTATCCTACTGGTCTGGACTAATAATTATACACCTGACTCCTCTAGTGGTCCATTCGATATCCTATCCCACTTCTCAGCCTTCCATTCAAGCAAGGAGGGCACCAATGCCTCTGGAACAGGTCTGCTTTCCCTACTTTCGGAAATTTCCGGATTTATTGATGGGCACAATGGCATTGCACTGGCATGGTCTGTACCTTACCTATCCTCATGTTAGTACCCGTAATATGTTCCCAGAAGGCTATTTAGTCTGCTCAAAAAGGTCTGAACAATTTACACTCAGAAATGAATATTCTATGAACAGAATTGTCCTTGTGCCAGCCAATTTTGGGAACACAGACACTCCCCCTTGAATTCAGGTCCATTTGCTGCTTCTAAAATCATGATAAAATGTGTTTTAGACAGGGAATGTATGATAGTTTCGAAATACCATAGTCCCCCATAGGTATGGAGGATCTATGAGATGGGGTACCCAAAGACATGGTTAACAGTCATAATTAGCTTCATCCAGAATGTTGATCACTGGTCTCTCCCCGGCGCATTTTTGAGTGTCCTGCTTTCCACATTCACTCTATCATCCTCAAACCTTTTGAGGAATTTTAAGGCACATATGTAGAGGCTGTCTGCTGTGTCTGATTAAATAATTATGTCTCTGATCTTTCTGAAATGGCCAATCAGTGTGATTTTGCTGTTATCTAAGTGGTCTGAAATGTGTTCTCGGGGGTATCTATATTTAAAATACCTTTCTTCCTGAGTATGGGGAACATCTTTTCGTGAGAATCGGACCAGAATTGAGGCCAGGACAGAGGAAACATTAAGAGGGAACCAAGGGAAACAGGAATACATGTCCTGCAATTGCAGATTTCAATATTTCAGGGCATCGTCACACACATGAGTACCTTATTAGCTATTAAACAACGCTGCATATATATCAGGATGCCATGAAGTGCAGGAGAGGAGAACATTCAGTGCGCATTTTTGCTTTTTGAGGGGGAGGAGGAGGAGAGGGGAATGACACAAGCTGTAAGTGGAATATAGCTGAGGGTAGGACTTGAAGTGGTAGAGGTACTCTGTAGTAGGGTATATAGGTAGATATTATGGTGCGAAACAGGGATTCTGGGGAGGGATTGAGGGGCGCATTTTCGTGTTTTTGAACGAAAATCAGTAATTCAAGCGTACAGCCAAGAATAATGCACGCGGGGCCATACAAAATATATCCCCGGAAAGCCTTACATATCCCCTATCGAACCGCCAAGGTGTCCTGGTGGTCCGGTCCCTGCCATGGGTAGAGATTTGGGTGCGCATTTTGGCTATTTTTAGTGAATTGCATTGGTTAGGCAATTATGCGAGCATTTCTGCAGGTATTGCGGATATTTTGTGGTAGTTAGGACTCCATTATATGCCTGCTCATAAATGCTCACCTGTTTCTATCAGGGGATGCATGGGAGGGGGCCCAGTGAGGCTGCATTTTTGCATTTTCGAAGTGCAGGGCATTAATTTGGCTGTGCAGCTGCCAAAAATGGTCACACTGTCATGTGTAAGGTATCTACGGAACGCTACAATTATTCTACGATTTATGGTTTTTTTTAAAAATTGGCCCGGAAATGACCAAAATACGCCAGCAATACTGCCAGCCAAGCCCTTATGTGATGCGCTTTCCTAATGGGGAATACGCATCAAACCGAGAAGCAGCACCACGAAATGAGAAGAATACCATGATATGAGAAGGTCAGTGGGTGGTGAGAAGTGTGCAGGGCAATGAGAAGTATGGATGAGAATGAAAAATGCGCCATGATATGAGAAGTCAGCGAGATTGAAAAATGCACTGCAATGAGAAGTGTGGGAATGAAAAATGTGTTGAGATATGAGAAGTGCACTGTGTGATATGATAACTCTTAAGATATGAGAAGGGGCACAGTAATGAAAAGCGAACCAAAGAATGAAAAGACTTACAAGCCATGGCTCGGAATGAGAAGTTATGTCAATGATGAGAAATGTGAACTCCTCATTAATTACCCTGGCACTGTGTCAGAAGCAGTGCAGGCAAGTACCTGTATCTTATGATAAGTATGGCAGACACCAGTCGGCTTGCTTGCCTGTAGTGATGTCCGTAACCTTTGATCCTCGAGACAACGATAACATCCGGAGGGTGCATGTGGAGGAGGTCTCGCATTTCGCGCCTCTTCGTAATGGCCGTGTCTTCGTCGGTTGCTTCCGTCCAGAAGGGAGAGCCTTCAGCCAATGCGACGAATGGATCAATGACGGCGTCAAATGTACCGGGTGTGGTGAGCGCCGTTAGGTGGTCCTGCCAGAGCGCTCGGAAAGGGTGGCCGGCAGGAAGAGGGGTCGGATCCCTTGCGTGATGAGTGCCTTGTACGTCGATTCAAATACTTCACCATTTGAAGTAGGCATCAGCGATAAATTGATGGACATAGTTGTATGAGAAGCGGCGGGGTGGTGGGTAGGTGTTGGTTGTCCGGAGCAAGATGTGATTTTGTGAGACAGTTTTGGGAGTTGAGAGACGGTAGTTTTGCCTCTTCAGGATTCCCAGATAGCGCCACTCCTCAACAGCCGTAAATAGAATACATCGTTGTTGACACATGCACCTGTCGGAAATTCGGAGAAAATAGCGATTTCCTGTAGGGAATGTTTCCAGTTCGGAGTAGATCATGCGACATTAAGCAGGCCGATTAATTGTGCAGAGGTTAAAAGGGATCAGACCGGTAACTCCATCAGGAGAGTTAAATACCATATATAGATTACACGTTTCTCCCGAATATGAAAGAAGACGACCCAACTAGCACCGTGGAAGCTCTTTCCTTGCCGGAATAAGTCCTGGGATAGTGTACAGAATTACCGCGAGTATTTCGGGCAGGGCGACGAATGGATACCACAGGCTCTCCTGGATCTGCTTTCGCGGGTTGTTGATCGTGGCCGTGAGGAAGATCTCACGGATGAGTAGGAGCAGAGAGATGGGAACGAGGATAAAGATCGCGTGTCTTTTCCCGAACGGTTCATCGATATCCATGTATCTCTGAGGATCTACCGCATCGAAGCTGAGCCTCAGACGACTGAAACCAGCGAACCACGTACCTCGGAGCTCCATCCACGCAAAGTACACCGTCTGGAACGCCTGCAATATCGTCAACACCAGGAAGATGATCGTGCTCGTCTTCCTCAACGCGTTCGCCGTCGAGTTCGTGAAGCTCCCGTTCGCGATCGAAGAAGCAACCGCCCCGATGACGACAGCGGCAAGTAGGAGCATGCGGAACATCCTGCGGTTTTGTGTGATGCGGATGAGGCGGATCTTAGATTTGGGGCGGTCGGATAGGGCCTCACTGTGCGTGTATGTGAGAGGGTTCGAGGGTGAATTAGCAGTGGGGAGACGAAGGAGGGAAGGCGTACAGGTCTAAAACGAGGATGTATGCTGAGTAGAGCAGACCGAAGAAGCCGACTCCGAAGAGCGTCTCATCGGCGATGATGAGGTTGAGATTCTGTGCTCCTGTGGAAGACGCCGTCAGGGCGGTGCGTATCGCGAAGGCGGCTATTCGGACTGGTGTGATATCTCATTAGCATTGATGTCTTCAAGAAACATCTCGGAGGACGTACTTGCACAGAAAAACGCCAAAACATAGTGCACATATGTCGGTATCTTGAACGACTTCCACAGGAATACCCCGAGCAGTGGTGTGTAGCACGCGAGGAATATCGCTGGTGCCGCGACTGACTGGAACCCAGAATCTCCGACGTAACTGAGAGGCGCGGGGTCCGACGACATCGTATGTTGGACCTTGGGGTGGATGAAAGGCGAATAAGACACATGTGAGACGCTGGCTGTCGTCCTTATAAGTGGTTGCGGTTGACTGAGAAAGTGGGTAGAGGATGTGTAGTTGACTTTCAAGTGCGATACAGGGCTAGATTTAAAAATAGATCAGAGTCCAGAGACGCCCTCGCGGCTGCGGCAGTTCGCCGTATCAGGCCACCATGTACCCCTGAGATAGACAGGCAAATTTTGTATACGTAGCGCGCACGTAGACAATATCGCATCAGGTTTGGTTGAAATAAGTTCGTAGGGCTTGAGAATGGTCATCCGAACTCCCGCCTATGCAAGCAACGCTTTTGATTTATCTTCAGTTTCCAAATTACAGGCGGAGGCAGAGTTTTCAAGAGCACTACTCAAGCAAGCGAAACATTGACAACAGCGCCCTGGCCCAACGCCCGGCTATACGGGCAGAACTAGGTAAAAAAACAGGAAGTGAGAAAAAGCAGTCAAAAACGCGCATATATCCACGTACTGCGTGTCCAGCCTTCAACAGCTCTTCGTCAATACCCTCAACCTTGATATCCACGGCAATAGCGAACCCCTGCGCCTCGTTCGGCTCGCCGATGTGCACGCTGGCGCGGACAACCGCGTTTTTTGCCATATCGGACTTGCCCTGCGTCCTGGCGACTGCCTGGATTGCGCCGAGAAGACAGGCTAGTTTCTAGTCAGCATGGTCCAAGTGCTATTGACGCGGAGCGCACCTGAGTAGCCCATAGCGAAAAGCTGCTCTGGGTTTTCTCCCTTTCCTGTTCCACCGAGTTCTTTGGGCGTCGCAAGATTGAGCTCCAGTCCATTGGAGGACACTGAGCCATTACGTCCTGCGCCTTGCGCTACAGCATTTGCGGTGTACTGACATAAACGGCGTCGTTCGGTCAGCTCGTCATCCTGGGTTAGGTCGAAATGCAACGTACCTTAACGTCCTTCAAGGTCAGGATTGTCCTAGCGGGGACGTAGTTGAACGCGTTGCGGCTGGGTTTCGCATTCCGAAGAGACGAGGCGAGGAGGCTACGAGCTGCTGGTTTGAACATGATGAACGTTTGAAAAGAAACGGTTGCGCATTGTGGAAGAAGATATGTACATATGTACGGTCTTCCACGGTCTCTTCTGTTCACGCTGACACTGACAAGGCATCAACGACGTCACGCATATAAATTACGTAACACACTAGCCCCTATCCAAAGGACCAGGTTGAGCTTCCGAATCTTAACGGTCTTCCACTTATTCCTTCAACAACTTGCTTTTCGCACATCAACGTCAAGATTCCTCCATTTAATTCACTTTCTATGTGCGGACTGCTGTAACTATTCCCTTACTCAAGTATTCGATCATCGGATCAGTGGACGACTCCTCTGTCTCGTTGAAGATGTCTGCAAAGCTGCCTATTTTGATCTTGCTTATCTTCTCAAAAGCCACTGGACGTAGGCCATACACATTGACCGGGCCAATAGGCAATGGGTCGAAGCTCAAAGGACAAGTATAGTACGTGTTGACGTATTCCGAGCGGACCCACTCTATTTCGAAATGAAGCTCATGGCTCGGAGAACCGCACGACGTACATTACGTCCGAGGTGCAAAGGCGCTTCCAACGGGAATCGGCTCTAATTTCGAAGATGGCGTCGACATCGTCTTAGTACAAACTGCCACTTAAAACCCATTTACCTTCGCTCACCGTCCTCCAACTCTATTTCGTACGACAATGACCACCGCATCGACGCATAGCACTGCATACGCCATCCTGACCGAGCTCCTAATCGCCTTAACCATTGTAAACAGCCCTTCCAAACCCATATATCGTCGCCTATCCTTCCTCCCCATACTCGCCCTCGTATGCTACCAGATTTTCTGCACGACCATCGACATCAACGGTAGACTATCTATGACCATGGCGGTTGGGGACTGGCTATTCGCCTCGCTGGTGTTCGCATCGCATTACCTCCTACTGACGGACGCTCAGCGCGACATATGGCTTGTCAAGGAGAAGCATCACCCGCCAGTCGAGGAGCGGCCGATACTCTCCCGCTTGTGGTGGGCCGCGTGCCTGCTCTACAGCCCACGCGCGATCGGGTGGTCGCACTCGGCCGCTCCGACAGGCAAACTCCCACCCAGGCCCACGCAGCAGACAAAGAAGTCGTTTGCCATCGCACAAATGTGGTATATCGTGCGCTGCATTGCCGTGTGCGGCGTGGTGATCTCGTTCGCCCGGGTGAACCCCTACTTTGACCGGCGCGCTGACCCGACGCAAGTCAGGGGCTACGCGCGCCTTTGGCGCCTTGGTAGCGTGCTGTACCCAGTCATGATATGCTTGAGCATGTCGGTGCACTATACGGCGCTAAGCGTCGTCTCGGTTTGGAGTGGGATGTCGGAACCACAGGACTGGCCGCGTCTCTTTGGGTCGCCTTGGGGCATGTATACGGTCCGACGAGTCTGGGGGTACGTAAAATCCCGCCGTCCCTTCGATTGTCCGCTTCATTCATTTTTGACGCAGAACGGAATGGCACCAGTTGTTCCGAGGCGTCTTCACCGTCCACGCCGAGTTTCTTGCAAAAGTCCTCCACCTCCCTCCCAAGAGCAAGATCACAACCTATTTCAAGCTCTTCATTGTCTTGACCCTCTCTGCATTTATGCACCTCGTCGGTGATTACGCTGTTTTCCACGGCTGGACGCGCAGTGGAGCTCTGCACACATTTATCCTGCAAGCAGTCGCCATAGTCCTGGAAGACCGGTTTCTAGCCATGGCTCGGAAAGCTGGGTTCAAGGAAACCCAATTTTCTAGGTGTTTGGGCTACGTGTGGGTAATCGTGTGGTTTTCGTTCTCCCTTCCGTATTGGATCGACCCGGCTGTTCCTGTCGGATCGTTGGAGGATCACTTTCCTTTTATGCCGAACCGTGAGGCCTTGACCATTTAGGAGTCAGTGAAGGAGTCAGGAAATGTCTTTCATATAGAAGACAATAGAAAACGAATTAGAGACAATCACGTCCGGAATACGCTTCCCCATTTGATTTCCCGTAGCCCTCTCTACCGAGCACAGTGGCTACGATGACCTGGTGGAGTATTTATGAGGGGTGGGAGGGGTATGTAGCAACAAGTGTAGCCATACCGTCGAACAAGGACACAGTCGAACAGAACTGTGTCGTTTGCGCGACAGACTGAGAACACACGAGGATCTTATGAGTGGCCGACAAATTGGCGGTGCGAATGTGAAGAGTGGGTGGGTCGAAGGTCGCGCGTCTAATTGTGTGGCGCATGAACACATCGGTCGTGAAGCAGGCCGAGATTATTGAACACCGGCCACCTCCGTCGGCACGGACTTTGTTGTCCTACCCGTAAGCAGGTACATATCCATGGACCATGGGCACATTTCCCGACAGGCTGCGGTTGCATGGAACTCACCATGCTGGCGGTCCCTCTCACGTAAATCCTGGCCTGTTGCTCCAAAGAAGAGAAGAGAATCAAAGATGTAGGGAATTCTGGATCCGTGTGTACGGTCGTATCCAAATTATTTAACTTGAAGTTGCTGCCCACTCTGGTCCTCGTCAATTACTAACCTCTCGGCCTTTACTTGCTGCTCTTCCCTCTCGTTGCCCAGTCATCCTTACAAATAATATTGCAGGAATGTCCGACACTGTTGGCTACCTGCCCCCCATGTGAACGAATGGCGTGCCTTCTATATCACAACCATGTGAAACCATCAGCTCCGGATGATGTCCTCAGGAATCCTTCTAGTCAGCTGCTCTATTCAGTTTGTCACTGAAATGGATTTATTCAGCTTGGATGGGAACATAAAGAAGGGTCTAGTGACGTTATAAAAAGTGGCTGGCGGGAGGTCTTTACCACCCTCCTGTGCCCCTCCCCTCCCCTCCTTTCTGGCATCTCCAGCTCCTAAATTGCCATTTGAAATTCCTCCATGATCGCGTGGAACGGCGTCATGGCTCGCTGGCCATTGGACGATGTTACCCGAGATATAATTTCCCCGGAAAACGTGGTCTTGCTGTGTCGTGATAAACCGGAATCTAGTGATTGGCCAGCCGTCGCGGTCTAGCACGGTCTTCAGGCGTTTATGACAAACCCGGTGGCGTTGGACTGGTCGTCGACAGAGCAATTCCGAGCGGCACCCTTGTTACTCCGTGCTCACTGAGGCGCATGGCGACAACGAGGGGTCTACGTCGTTCCAGGATGTACCAAGGAACTCTGGCATTTCATTATGATTTTGTGAATGAAATCTGGCGCAATTTGTGGTGAACACGGGGCTGCTTATCGAGCATACGCAAGAAGTCACGCACAGGCGAAAGTTTGAAGTCAGCTATGGCGTGAATTCGGGGTCTCGTCTTTCTTTCTTCTCTACCACCACCATGTCCTTCAGTGCTCTTAGAAACCCGCTCCGCAACACTGCGCGCAGGGCTACGCAGCTGCCAAAGGCCCAGTTCAGAGCGAACTTCAACCGCAAGTTCTCAACGCCGCCACCACCACCTGCGGCTGAGGCCAAGTCGTCGAGCACGGGTCTCTATCTCGGGCTCGGAGCTGCCGCTGCCGCTGGTCTCGGGTACTACTTCTACTATACGACGAGCGGGAAGGAAGCAGGAACGGCTGTGAGGTCGGCCGCGCAAGCTGCAAAGGTTAAGGCCAACTTCGTGCCCGCCAAGGAGGACTATATCAAGGTGTGTAGGCTTTTTCGTGGATTTTTCAAGAACTTATCATCGTCTTTAGGTCTACAATCGCATTGCGCAGATCCTTGACGATGCTGGAGAGTACGACGGTACGTTCTTATCGGGGCTTTATCAAATGCCCACCAACATCTCCTAGATGGCTCCTATGGCCCCGTCCTCGTTCGTCTCGCCTGGCACGCGTCGGGTACCTACGATAAGGAGTCCAAGACGGGTGGAAGGTGTGTATATTCGCTATTGTTCCAGTTTCCGGCTGACCACCCTCTAGCAACTACGCGACCATGCGCTTCGACCCTGAGGCAGGCCATGGCGCCAACGCCGGTCTGAAGGTCGCCCGCGACCTGATGGAGAAGGTCAAGGAAGAGTTCCCGTGGATTAGCTACGGCGATCTGTGGACACTGGGTGGCGTTGCTGCTCTCCAGGTGCGTCAGTCCTCTCCCCACCGCTTACGTCGAGCTAAGTGACCGGTGCAGGAAATGGCCGGCCCCAAGATCCCCTGGCGCCCCGGTCGTATCGACGGGTTCGCTGCACAGGCGACCCCCGACGGCCGTCTGCCCGACGCTACCCAGAGTGCCGACCATCTCCGAAACATCTTCTATCGCATGGGGTGGGCATCTCTCGTCTCCTCGGGTTCTCACGTCATCCACTAATCGCGCCGGGACGTCCATCTAGCTTCAACGATCAGGAAATTGTTGCGCTGTCTGGTGCTCATGCGCTCGGGCGCTGCCACCGCGACCGCTCTGGATTCGAGGGCCCCTGGACCTTCTCGCCCACGACGGTGACGAACGACTACTATAGGCTGCTCTTCGACGAGAAGTGGGTGTGGAAGCGCTGGGACGGACCCAAGCAGCTTGAGGATAAGAAAACCAAGTCGCTGATGATGTTGCCGTAAGTCTTATCTCTTCCATCTCGGAGTTCGTTTGGATCGTTTTACACCTTGTGCTTTTTTCAGCACCGACTACGTCCTCGTCCAAGACAAGTCGTTCAAGAAGTATGCCAAGGCGTACGCAGAGAGCCAGGACGTCTGGTTCAAGGACTTCTCCAAGGCCGTGTCAACCCTCTTCGAGCTCGGCGTGCCAGAGGAACAATTCGTGACCAAGGAGCCTTGGATCCTGCCTACCGTCGAGGAGCAGGCTGAGAAGAAGGATTAAGCGCTGCTGCTCTGAACTCCCCTTTCAAATAGCTAGCCTTTTCTCTTTCGCCTGGTGCCTGTAGTGGTGGTGTCCCCTTTTTTGCTTTCTTTATTCCTTACATTTCCTCGCTGGGTGCGCCCGCAAAACCCCAACCTCTTCTCAGTATACGGTATGCAGTAGACAGTAGAGTACATAGAGTATAGAGCGCGACTGATGGATAGAGTACTTACCCGTCCCCCGATCATTCCTATAGCTGACTTTTCCTTGTACAAGTATCTACTAGTTTACCTTTACCTACTGTTCTACACTGTACCCCAGCTCTGTGCGCAATATTGTTGATTTTTTTGCGTAGTCAGTCCAGCAGTTGGTCAATGAGCCACATTTGGCGTGACACCGACTAGACTCCATCGACTGACTGCTTTTCAAAGTCTTGCCACCAACCCCATCGGATCCGCAAGTCCCCTTATTTGAGTTCTCTCAAATGTAAAACCCCAAGCAGAAGTGGCCACAGACTCATCGAATCGAAAGTCGCAGCTTCGGAGAGGGTATAGTTTCACCAAGAATAAATAACTTGATATAAACACAGTTTCCTGGGTCTACATCTTCGATTGTATCTTCTTCTCCTCTCCATTCGAACCATATTTACGGGACAGGAACAACGCGATGTCCTCAGCTGAAAAGCCAACATAAGAACTCCAACACCAAGTGGACGAGAAAGTACTCACCAACTTCTCGGGGCTTTTCTTGGACGATCTAAAAGTGCATGAGGTCAGTGCGAGGAACTACAGGAATAGGTAAAGACGCACCAAATGCCCTCCTCCAGGAATTCTAACATTCGACACGTTCGTCGGGCGACGCCACACTGTTAAGCGCGCAATAGCCGGGCCGCCCACCCTGCACCACCGTGTCAATTACTCAACATCCTTTCCTTCGAAGTTCAAAAGGAAATGGGCGTACAAGTTGCTTGCCTCGTCCGTCCCACCCATGACCCAACGCAGCTCAACGCTGTCGTCGAGCGTCGGGAGGAGCTCCCAGCCTTCATTCATGGTCCGGCTCTCCGTGTACTCTGAGGCTTCCTACATGACAGAATTTGCGTCAACCTACTTCCAAGTGGGAAGGGTAACAAGACGAACGGCAGTGGGCGGGCACTTCAAATGCACCTTCCCCGTCTTCCCATCCAGATACATCCCGTGCTCGATGTACGCATCGAAGACAGCCGGGTCGAACGCTTGGAAGAGAGGGCTCTTGAGGAGGGCCTTCTTCGCCTCCTCTCTTGAGTCCCACCACGACCGCCGGCCCATCGTGCCCAAAATGATCGTGGTGCGACGCTTGGGACTGTTCCTTGATGGCGGGAAGAGCGTTGTCTCCATCAAGATGAGTGCGGAGAAGAGTTTGGGGTAGCTTATCCCGCAGACGGCACTGTCGAATAATCGAGTAAGCGGTACTTCACGTTTGACAGAGCGATAGCGGGCAGTTGGACGTACGTAGCGTCTCCGCCTAGAGAATGCCCGAGGGCCACTAGCGTCCGGTCTGCGAAGCCGCTCTTGACATGCGTTGAAGAGGTAGCTGACGCGAGACGCGGGAGGTGGAAGGGAAGGTCTTTCTCCAAGGTGTCCACGGAGTCTGGGAGGTGGTGAAGGAGGAAGTTCGCAAGGTCGCGTCCGTAGTCTGATCTATCGGCTGAAGGAGTTGCATGAGAAAAGGATGAAGAGCGGAAAGAGAGGCAAAGGCTCAAACAGACGCAGTCTAGGGAGGTACGGGCCGTTTATGAGGGCAGCGTCTCCGTGATTGAACGCCTCCAAAGACCAGATCTCTTCGATTCGGATTGCCGAGGAGTCGCTTTCTGTAAGTTGTATGAGGTGCTTGAAAAGAGGCTCCCAGGTCTATAAGCACGTTAGCTAGACCGAAGGGATCTTGATTCGTGTTTCCTCTCACCTCCTTATGAAACCCAATTGGGTGCGTTGCAACGAGCGTCACACCCTTCCTCCCGCTCTCCTTCTTTCCTTCCTTCCTCCTAATTCTGAGTACAACGCTCCAAAGTCCCTTCTCCTCAACTCTAATTCTTGCCCCCGCGTCGGGGAATGGCCCATCCGACTGCCCCTTCTCCCACACCATCCTCTCCGAGAGCTCTCCCATCCACTTCACTCTTTCCGCTTTGTTCTTGAAAGCATCCGGAGCCGGCACCTCAGGCACACCCCCAGGCGATGTCCCAGCACGCGGGAAGGCGGCTGGGAGGACGTGTACGGAAAGCGCATGCGTACCTGTCCAGTTCGGCTCGGATCGCGTCAGCGATTGGGGCAGTGGGCTCGGAAAAGGTACCAGGTGAGGTGCTGGGTGCAATGGCGCGAGACGACGACGTGGGTTGACGGTGCGTTCTCCTCTGAGTGGGCCTGGCGGTGGTGGGAAGTGCGGATGGCGGGAAAGTGGGTCCATCGTCAGAACTGGTGACTTGTGGCTGCTCTAGGTCCTAGTGCTGATTCCGACGACTTTTGAGTGCAGGTAAGGTCACTAGGGACCTAAAGAACAACAATGGGAGGAGGCAAGAGCGATGGACATTGTCGACACGATGCTTATGATTCTCATTGCCTGTACCGGGTCCGGGATATGCCGTAAGGGAGATCGGGCACCACTAAGCATCCCCGGAGTCAGTGTCTGAGAGCCAAGACATAATGATGTTTTGTTGCCTGGACCATTCAATATAGATGTTGAATGTGCCGGTGGCGCCTAAATAGATGTATGTAAGCGCTCTTATTTCTAATGGGCGAGTACTAAGTAAGGCCCTATCTATGTCTCATCTCATAGGTCCTTTGCTATTATGCTGCACTCGGACCATGGGGTATCGAAGGTGGGGAGCAGAGACAAGAATGACAGGTGTGGATGAACTCGATGAACAGTTACTTGGCTTTTGCGCGAATACGACAGAGAGAATGAGGTACCACGAAAGAAAGAAATGTGGAGATCTGAAGGTATGTGCAATTTTAACGTTCCTTGTCGGGAATTACTATCAGTGGCGCATGGTCATTTTGGGGTATGCCAGCAAGCGCTTGATAACTTCACATTTGAAACATCCGACAAGTACTTCTCACAAATGCTCAGAGCTATTATCCAGTCGACTACCTGCGCGATGGACAGGTCACGATTCCTCCTGATCCGGTGTAGAATGATTTCTTCTAGATATTTTAAGCAACCGCCGTAGACGGTTGATAGCTCGCTTCGCCAACCCCACTTTTTCAAATGTGAAATATATGGTGGTACAGAATGACCCTATTTTCCCTGATTAAAACATGGTTTCGGAATCGTACTGAATGAAGGAAATGGAATTCTGGCGCCATCACCATGAAAACTGCAGACACCAGAAGAAAAACGGTGGATCTGTCTAGCAGAATCGCATAAGAGCTTCATTTTAAGCAAGCTTTGCACTGATAAGGAGGAAATACAAAACGCCGGTGCTCAGACTCGTGTGTAAAATCTAAAGACTTAATTACTCGAGTCTTGCTCGAGTCCAGGAGACTTGAGAGGCTCTCAGACGCCCCGGCATACCGGTCCGCTTTATTTATCTCCCCCACGTGACGTACCCGCAGTGAATTTTCATTCGCAGTATGAGAACTTGGTGCAAGCGGCCACGGCGGAGCGTGGCAATTACGAGTTCTTCAGTTCAATTTTATTTCGAGCCTTATATGGCGGGTACCAGATAATTTGTCTCTTTACAAAGTGTTTAACTAAGTATCCTTGAATTACCCAAGCCATGAACTTGAAACGCCAGTGCGTTCCAAAGCGGGAGTCTTACGGGGCGCACCTAAGTAAACCAGACCGAACTTCGTTGGTAGTTTACGCAGATGCTAGAAAGTAAGAACTAAAGTATGAAAATGATGCGAAACGAGATAAAAGGTGACGCCGACGGCGTTGCCAAACAATAGATAAGATGGGTAAGATTAGATATGCAAGAGGGCGGTTACACCCGTTACAGAACTTCAAATTGTCAGGAGGAAAAATAACCAGAAAGGATGTGCCACTCGTCGCCAACCTTCGGTTAACTCCTCGCGGCACAGCACAGGCTTAGCTAGTCCAAATACGACGTAGACTGTCGAGGCGCCCGCCTCAACAATCCCGGCCCGCTGGCGCTGAGCAGAAACCTCGAGTCAGGTGATGACACCCGTGTCACATGACGAGGGTTCAAAATTCTCCCTAGCACTGGTGTGGGAACCGACTTTATGTGCGGTCAAAAAGGCGTGATAGGGGTGTTAAACTTTATATACACAATTTTTCTGTGTCAATAAAGTTCAAATAAAGTTACAATAAAATCTTCCTTTCCCATGGTCATAAATTGTTACCTTTGAGGTAATTAGTAATGACTAAATTTACCCGTCCTTTTGTTGCTCCGGAAAAGACAATAAAAGCGTGGAATTTGGGACGACAAAAAGGATTGACATAAAGGACTCGGGGATACTATAAAAGGAAAGCCCGAGCCATTTATATTAATTTTTGTTCACAATTAAAGGCATCAGTTACCTAACAATTATAGACGAGCATAAAGTGTTTATATAAAGGGCTCAGGCATTCCTTTTATAGTATCCCCGAGTCCTTTATGTCAATCCTTTTTGTCGTCCCAAATTCCACGCTTTTATTGTCTTTTCCGGAGCAACAAAAGGACGGGTAAATTTAGTCATTACTAATTACCTCAAAGGTAACAATTTTCGGAAAATTATGACCACGGGAAAGGAAAATTTTATTGTAACTGTATTTGAACTTTATTGACAAGAAAAATCGTGTATATAAAGTTTAACACTTCTATCACGCCTTTTTGACCGCACATAAAGTCGGTTCCCACACCAGTGAGGCCTCGGAAAATCGCAAAGAACGAGTCTTACTTACGTAAGAACTCGTAACAAACTCGGATACTTACTCGACGGTTCTGCTTCATTCTGCGTGCTCGCAATATCGTCATTCTGAGTCCACGCTGGCGGAGACTCTTCCATAAATCGCCAAATAGGTTCTATAGTGCCATCCCCTTTTCGAGCGTTCTCGGGATCGATAAGTCTCTCTGGGACTATTTGCCTATCCATCGGCATCCGACGCCGCACTGCTGCTATCCAAATCCAAGCCGGCTGGTTGGTGGTTCTATTTTGCCTCTGTAAGGTGGCGTCGCTCTTTGGGCTAGTCCAGAGGATCTCCACAGCGCCGTTGACATTACGATCCGCCGCTTGGGCAAAGCGATAGAACGGCCATCCTTGGGATTCAGTGTTGGTATGGTTGGCTGGTTCGCCTTACGATTTCTGTTTTCTCTGTCCTATCTGGAGGTATTATTCTCTTCTTATTTCTCGAAGGATTCCCTTATTTATTAAGTTTGGATAGAGCTGCATGGTGGCTCCGTGGCGGGTCCATCACATCTGATCCACCTTGGTAAGATGCAGTAGTGCAAACTCTGAGGCTGAGGCTACAACATATATGGCGGCACGCTTCCTGTTCGTGAAAGGTGGCCGCCGGTCTCTGGTATTTATAGAAGATGCAGGACACATCTGGATCACTCGAATGTCGTTATCATCATCATGTGCGCTGCTGCCCCGTCCTTGGCGTAATTCTGACCAACATTCTTCTGTTAGGCATCCTGTTGTTCTTCCGCCAGAGCCTACCTGGGGTTCACGTCCGCAAGCAGTACTCTTGCCAAGCAAACTGTGAAGATTTCCTCGAGATTCGCCTTTTGAATGTCTCTTTGATGGTCCAGAACGCCAGCGCCCTCATCAGTATTGGTTTTTTAGTTGAGCCGTACAGACGGTCTCAAGGTGTGGGTTGTTACCTAACGAATTTCTTCCGCCATCTGTCTAATCTATGACTAGTGGCTATTGGTGCTACTTGAACGCCATGCCCGGAAACGAACTCACGATGCCAAGGCTCTTCAAAATCAAAGAAGACTGTCGATCCGTCAATACATACAACATTAGAATGTGCCCCCACACCTCGTCCAGTCACGAAAACTGTTCGTCAACACCTATTCCTCCATCTTTCTTCTGAATCTGATCCCAGCATCAGAAAACAAAAATAGCTCGCCCCAGCACGGCAACACGAATCAAGTAGACGGCAGCTCTGGCAGGCAGGCCTGCGCCAAATATCAGGAAATGATGAGATACAAGTTCGCGGTGGATGTAATCGAGAGAATGCATCCCCAGTCGTCCGTAGAACACCGCGCACATTTGATCCTCCCAATTTCTTTTCCGTAGGCCCTGCACGTTCATATAAGCTACTAATTCCGACCCTTAAGAACGAACCCCATCTATCGAGGAACCCAAACTACCTCGTTCCCACTTCGCTCTCTGTGTACTCGTCTCCTTCAGCACGTCGACTGGCATTCCAGAACATGACACTCACCGACAAGTGGGTGCCCATAGCGGCTGTTCTGATTGCTGGCTTCGTCCTGCGAACGCTCGTGCGGACACTCAATCGTCCCAAGTTCTTCCCTGGTCCGCCTCGCCTGCCGGTCATTGGGAACCTTTTCCAGATGCCGAAGTCAGAACAGTGGGAGACATATTTGAAATGGAAGGAGACGTACGGTGCGTCTCAAAATTTTGCCTTTATCATGGGACTTTCATGGAATATTCGGGCTGGGTAATTAGGTGACATTATTTATCTGGAGGTGATGGGCGCATCACTCCTCGTCCTCAACTCGTACCAACGATGTGTCGACCTCTTGGAGAAGAGATCAGACATCTACTCGGATAGGCCAAATACTATTGTTACGAATCAAATGTTCGCCTTTTTTGTCGATATGGTAACGTTCACTGAGCATTTGTCTTAGGATGGGCTGGGAGAAATCCGTCGTGACTGGCCCCTATAGTGACCGTTGGCGCAGGTATCGCCGAATGACCGCTCAATCGTTGAAGAAAGAGGCCGTCAAGCGATTTCATCCTGTCCAAGAGAGGGAGATCGCCCGATTCCTTGGTTCGCTCATAGAAGAACCCACGCAATTCATGAAAAATTTCCGATTGTCAGTCCGTCTCTTTTGGATCTATGTGTCTTCCTATTCTCAGTCCAAGGGTCCAAATGCTGGCATCAATCATGTGAATTACACTAACTCCCTACTTTATTTCTAGTGCCGCGGCTCGTAGCCTACTGATGAACATGTATGGAATCGAGGTGAAGGAAGCCCATGATCCGGTTAGTTTACACTTCTTAAGTATCGCGATTGCCCAACGCTTGTGGATCGATTAGATCATCAGTGTCGCGGAAAGGGCGATGGAAGTTGCCGTCGTCGGCGCTCAGCCAGGCAATTTCCTGGTCGACCTTATTCCTGCGCGTAAGGAACTTGGTTCTCACATATCTATGCTCTCACTATTATATGATCTTAGTGCGGTATGTTCCAGACTGGTTCCCAGGTGCCGGCTGGAAGCGATTTGCGGCATTAGGGAAGAAATTGACAGACCAGATGATCGATTTGCCTTTCAACAAAACCGTCGAGGCGATGGTAAGCACCACCAACTCTTCGCTGTTGGTTTTCAAAACATCTGACATGCATGCATCCTAGAAATCCGGTGTTTACGAGCCATCTCTTGCGGCAATCAACCTAGAAAAGCACGAAGACCCCGAGATCGTGAAGTGGTGCGCCGGGACGATGCTATCAGGTGGGCCAACAGTTGTTGGAAAAGTTAACTGGCTCCTCGAACTAAAATTCCCCCGACGTATAGCCGGAACAGATACGGTATGCACCTCCTCTTAGTCCTGTCGACCCTGTGCATCTCCTTAGAAATGCCTCTTTGCCGGGCGAACAGACAGTAGCCTCTATTCACGCCTTCATCCTGGCGATGGTTCTGTACCCTGTAGTACAGAAGAAGGCACAGGCCGAACTCGACGCTGTTATTGGACGTGATCGCCTACCTACTGTCGAGGACCGGGATGACTTGCCGTATATCAATGCAATGATGCGCGAGATGATACGGTGGCAGCCTGTGTCGCCAATCGGTCTGTTGGTTTAGCTTGGTCGACACTATTACTGACAAGATATTAATCTCCAGCCCTGCCCCACCGTCTGATAAAAGACGACGTATATGACGGACACTTCATCCCGGCTGGTACCATTGTCCTTGGAAACACATGGTACGCTTGCTCACATTATGAAATTCTCGTCATCTCTTTCTCATCGCAATCCTTGTTTAAGGGCCATATCCCGCGATCCTATGGTATATCACGATCCAGAAACTTTCAACCCTGATCGTTTCCTTCCGATGTTCGACAAGAGCATCTCACACAAACCAGAAGACATCCCGATGGATCCCATGCTGTACGGGTTCGGATACGGCCGTCGGTATGTTCTAAACGTACGCTTCTGAGTCTGCTGTTCAACAGCTGTGCTGCAGAGTTTGTGCAGGGATGCACTATGCTGAAGCAATGATATTTCTTACGATGACCCGTCTCCTCGCTACATTCGATATCACCACGGCGAAGGACGGACAAGGGAACGATATCGTCCCGAAACTGCACTTCAATTCCAACATTGTGAGGTCAGTACATATCCCTGCTAGAGGTGGGGATTACTCATAATGTGTGGTGCTTGTTGTGTTAGGGAAGCACTGCCCTTCCCATGCGTTATTATGGCCCGGTCTGAAGCGGCCAAGGGGCTTGTCCTTGCGAACGTCAATTGTTGATTCGAGACCTCTACTCTACGATGTAATTCTGCGGACAATTCTACGTAACGCATTTCTCTCTCACTGACATGTGTACCGTATATCCAATTTCTCAAATCGGACAGAGGTCTTCTCGAAATAGATTTTTAAAAATCTTCGCGACTTGTGGCGCCGCGTTTCGCCTGCTTTCTAGCGTTCTGGACATGTGCGGGCATGGCACAGTGGCGTGACCTGTAATAAGTAGTCACGGTGTGACAGACCCAATGTTTTGAGTTCGGGCCTCGCTGGTAACCCAAGCCCTCTTCCTTCCACCATGTCTAGAGTACAACCCACTCAAGCAAGCAGTCGCCAACTTATATCGACCGCTCCCAAACAACCACAAGTTGAACCCCCAGTGCCGCTAGAAAACCAAGTTGTCACTCTTAATTGGTCCTTCCTCCCGCTCCGAACAGATTGCATGCCCATCGATATCCCTCGTCCAGCATTCGAACGCCCGATGCACTTTGTTAGGAATATATTTGCCGCGCAGTTACGCGAAGAGCACAACTTCATCGCGAAAATCGACTCAAAGTTCGTGTTTTACAAGGTGAGTAGTCCTGACCGATGACTTGCGCTGGAGCTGACGCTTTGTAGCTTGTGAACGACACATCTGTCTCGGTTGCTATGGGAGAAAAGTGGTTGGAGAATGTGTCTCTGAAGAAAATGGCGTCCTCTTTCAGTCTCGCTCACGAGATTTCCGACAAGATACGTGACCCGGAGATTGTCCACCTCGTCATCGATGCCACTGGAAATGTGCGTCAGAATGTTCTCGAAGACAAAGTGGAAAACGATGGGCATCTCCATTTGCTCGTCAAAGCTCAACCCAGCACACAGGAGATTTCGCGAGAGAGCGACGGTAGAACCGATACATCCATAGCTTCCGACAAGAAACGACCTCTAGGTGAGCTAATGCTACTTTCACCTACTAGTGGTGGATTCTCACTTTGTTAGGTAGACGATGATGTTAACCAAAGGTGGAGCATCAAACGACGCAAGAGCCAACTACCTTCCTGTGCAGAACTTTGTGGACTTCTCAAGGAGCCCCTAAGCGAGGAAGAGAAGATACCCATTTCAAAGTCCATGTACAATTGGCTCATTTCCTATCTCCCCCCCGACAGCTGTCTCGACAAAGACATTAGTACTTTGTTCAAAATCGGAGAACCTGATGTTATTGCCCTTGCGATATTCACAACTGTGTGTATGCCCCCGCCCTCAAGTGGCACAGAAGATTCTTTTCATTCATTTTGGGATCGCAATATACGCCACATCATCGAGCTGCTGATACCGAGTGGGAAAAGCATCCGTAACAGCAACCAACATACGGCGACACGGAAGTTGCGCCCGGATTATGGCTTCATTCTCCAGAGCATATGCCCGTTTCGGGGCGAGGAGAAGGGACCAGAAAACTTGGAGGATCCTAAAGCTGAACTGGCAGACAAACTTAATTGGGTTTACAATCCGGCCCCTTATATGCTTGGTAAGCGTTTTGCACTTGGTCATATGCATCATTTACAATGTTTTTAGGCTACTACTGCAAAGGGCCTGAGATGACCCTCACTGCCATTACTCCACCTGCTGATTCTGAAGGAAGCAAACCAGTAGTCCACGACTTAGTACGTGTCGATTTGAGGTTGAGAGTTGATCGAATCGCCAATATACGCCACCTTATCAACCTCTCAACTATTCTCACCCATCTGGTGGAGCTTGTGCAGTCTCCTGTTGGTGATTTTGAACAGATTTTGAGGTAAGATCTTTACTTTAAATATTTCTGCTTAAATAACATGTGCACAGGACAAATTCTACGGTTGAAATCACAAGCACCCTTATTGTCAAGACCTATACATGCAAGAATGCTAATGCGAAGATTGACCACCTCCATGGAATTTATGCAATGCTTGACAACAAGAAGGTACCCAATACAGATATGCTTGTCTTCGTCAATAGAAATGCTGTGTACCTGAAGCCACGGGGAATCACTAGCCATCCTGCAGTTGAGAAAGAACTGCGGGAATGTCTCAATTGTGTTCTGAAATCACTCATGGTATGGTACCTTTCATACTCCATTAGTCCTGAAGCTCATTGGATCCAGGTCGCTCATCAAGTACCAGGACCTATATATCACCGTGATATTCGGTGGAATAATGTTATTCGCAGGCTTGAGGACCGCTCAAAATGGTTCCTCATTGACTGGGAGGATGCTGCCACTCCACCGACAAGGGCTGAACCATCCTTTACATGCTCAAGCCACTCGCCAGATATTTTTGAAGATGGCCATGGGCCTGAGGTTGACATTTGGGGTGTGGGGTACTTGATCATTACGTGCATGGCTATGGATGTCTCACCGAAGTTGAGGGCGCTTGGGAAGCGCATTTGTGAGGAATCTCGTAGTATGAACGCAGAGGAAGCTCTTGCTCTTATTGAAAACTGTCAGTCCGATTCTTTGTAATACTTCATTCCATCCCTTCACTCGAAGATAGTGGCAATTCCCCTTGCTATCACTCTCCACCCCTCAAAATCATTATCGACTTTCTTACTTCAACTTCAAGTATGTCACATCCCAATGGTCACCTTCATTGTCCTTGTCGTCGCTGTGCGTGGAAGAGACCGATGTAATGAGCAACCTGCCTGAAGTCCAACGTGCGTATTTGATTGCTGTTTTTGCAGCGTTCTCTTACGCCTTCCCTGGGCAGGCTACCGGAAACTTGTTGAGATGCCTGGTAAAACACCATCCGCTGGATCCAAGACAGGGGAGTACAACAAAGGCCAGTCGGCCCCCCTATCGCTATCCATGATGGTCGCACTGCGGCTCATTCTACAATTGCGCCGCTTCTTGAAATCTTCCACCGCGTCTTTGGTGACTTCCTTCACCTCGTTCAAGATGAAAACTATCAACCTACCGCCAAGGACATCAAAGACGTCCAAGAGCTGGACAAATATACGGCGAAGATAACGCCGGGAAACGAAACATATCGAAACGCCCGTATTCGCAGGATTTTGGCCAGGCTTCCAGGTGACATGCACGAAGAAGCCAACGACGACATGGCCAAGTCAGATGGTGTGTTTGCCATCGTAATCGACGATGTGCGTATTCCTATTGCAATCATGGAGCTCAAGAAAGAACTGGGCAATGGTGGGTGTGATCCTAGCTCTCAGGCTGGCCTTTCTATGAGGCGAGCGTGGATTCAAACTGACGTGGGCACCTCTTCCACTTTTATCTTCTTTCGCAGCTTTCTGACCAGCATGCCCTTCGAGCAGAGAGCGGCTATTCGAGACAAATGCTGTTGCCCTACCTTTCTGTTGGCCGGCGGTGGTGCTTGGCTGTCCGTAATGGGCGCCGTGCTCACGGACAAGGTCGTGGTTCAACGACTTACGGACATGATGTGGCTAGCCGAGTCATCCACCGAGGAGGCGAGTCGTGTCTACAACGCCGCGCGGGTCTTGTCTGCCTTACGCGTATGCCTCAAGACGTTATCTAACTACTACCAGGGGCTTCACCAGTCCGACATCCCTCCTGTTACCAATACTGCACCCCATCCACGTTTCTATTCCTATCCCGCTTTGTTTACTGATGGCGAAACAGCACGGGTCATCAGGTTCCAGTTTCTCAGAGCAATGGAAGAGGACGATGATACTTGCGTCATGTTCCAAGCAAAGATTCTCGACGATCCCTCAGATCTCATTATTGTCAAGTTTGTTTCAAGATATGGCACGGATGTGCACAGATTCCGACTAGCAGAGAAAGGGTATGCCCCTCGTCTTCGATACCATGATGCCCTTCGTCACAGCAAGCCCCTGGCTGTATCGCCTGCTGTAAAGAAGGCCCCTGCAGGTCTCTTCCTTGAAACTGTGAAGATGGTTGCGATGGACTATGTGATGCCAGCTGAGTCACGTCCACTCGATGCCCACCCGCAGCTGCGGCAAGCCTTTCCATCCTTGATCCAGCGGGCTACGTGTTTGGCGACCTCCGCTGGCAGAACGTACTCTACAATTCTCGGGATAATAAGGTCAAGCTCGTTAACTTTAACTGGACTGGCCGGTATGACATGCAAGTTCGGGACGATTCGGGAGTACCTCCAGACATTCAAGAGCCAATGCCAGTGATGTGGAAGATGCCAAGAACAGATACGCTCATTATCCTTATAATCTGAATACAAAGGATATCAAGTGGGCCGAGGATGTGCGTCCGATGGGACCCATTCGACCAGCCCATGACTGGTATATGTGGGCGAGAATGTAGCCAGATGTGTTCTGCCAGGTAGATGAATTCTGCGAGGTGGATCCAGATATTATGTAGGCTCCCGAAGGTGCAGAAGTTACCTAACTTTCCGCGTTGCAATCGAAATTATCGAATCCATGTGTAGTCGAATAATTGTTTCTGGCATAATAGCCCAAGGAAAAGTGAGATCGTTTCAATCTGTCGATTTGCGTCGGTTATTCCCCGTCCTTGGCGAGTCGATCGGAGATCCAAACTGGCGCCCACACGATTTATTGGTATTAGTAATTCCATCGGATTTGCGATTGCCACTGGTGCTTCACCTCTTTCATTCACTCTCCTGCCCTCGCAGACATCAACCCTTTCTTTGTTGACCAGAAAAATGCGCAACTTAATCAGTGTCGTGGAGCTATTTCCCTTCGAGACGCCTCCTGGCGATGGTCCAGTACCCCTGGTCGCTACCTCTGTGGTCTGGTCCGAAAACTCCACAATCTATATCGCGAAGGAGCCGTCCCTCAGGATGAATCAAATCACCCCCCAGGTTCTCGATACCCTCGTTGGAAGTGTCATACCAAAGGAACATATATACCCGCCTTGGATCGATGGCGTAACAGCAGCCCCGGACCCCATCCCTCCCGAGATATATGTCAAGACTTGCCAGAGACTTCACGACTATGATGAGACCCAATCCATTGCCGACGGTGTCGCAGACGAGATCAAGATCATGGAGGTCATCTCTAAGAAACCTCACCCCAATGTCTGCCACTATCATGGCTGCGTTAGGGAAGGGGATCTCATTCGGGGCATCGGAATCAGAAAGTATAAATGCACGTTGTGGGAAGCTATTTCGAGGAAAAATGATGTTGAGTAGGTGGTCGTAATTCTTTCTTTTAGTTTTGACTTAATGTTTTACTTGTGCTGAACACCTTCAGGATCCCTCCTTTCGACCACGATTCTGTCCTTCAGGGCATACAAGCTGGATTGGACCACATTCACTCCTTTGGTCTTGTTCATAACGACATAAATCCAAGCAACATTATGCTCGACGAAGCCGGCAAGGCAGTTATAATTGATTTCGACTCTTGTCGAGCCCTCGACACACCAGCAGGCGGGGGTACCCCCGGATGGACGAATTTCGCCACAGTTTCGCAGATCGAAAATGACAGGTATGGCTTGGACCTGATTTCCAAGTTTATGCGAGGAGAATATGACGGCAGAGACTACTAGGATCTAAAATAGATGAGTCGCTCCCGGAGTGTGCGTCGTATCACCTCGATGTTAGCTCCCTTCGAACAATTAATCAGTACGCCCTATTTATCGCTGGTACCACACCTTTCCTGAACACAGAATTTGACATAACATTCAACCTGTGCTGCGGACAATAGCAGCCCTGTGAGTCCGACATGTGTCATTGAACGGAAGTACTCTCAAAATATCTTCGTGGCATCAATGATCCTTATTCAATGGCCATCCGATGTCGAGGGGTTAATGCCGAGCAGCTGCGCCGCAAAATTTGGCCTCAAACGGGCGTCTATATCGCCCTGATCTCTCAGAGAAGCATCGGTAGGAGTATTGCGGGTTTCTCTAGAAGGACGATTCGAAGACGGTGGATAAGTTTCTCCGCAGCATCGCATGGACCATAGTTGGATCCGACCCTATGGGAGGGCAAAGAAGGACTCGCAAGTCAAGAAAGTGTAAACGCCCATGAATTTGGCGCTCGTGTCGAGGCAAAAGGACGGTCAATTTCCAACAGCACACACGCCACACAGCCTTCCCTTACTACAATAGGTTATTTCCCACGCAGTTCTGATCAACTCACACAGCCTCCCATCAATCCCGCCATGTGCCTTCGTCCGAAAAGATGGCGCACGACATTCTTCCAAACAGCAAGACCAATCGTCGAAGGCGACTTCGTCTGGAGGCAATGCACGACTTGCAAATTACCGGGCTTGTTACTCTTTGTCGCTGCTGTACCGCCTTATTATTGGCAAGAACCGACGAAAGACTTTCGTTCAGAAGAAGCGACATAGCCGGGGAGGCCCAATCTGGACAGCCTCTGCATCGGTGGTTGGGGAGTCAACTAGTCATAACTGATCATCCCGTCGTAATGTCAAATTCATGTAATCTTATCTGAGAAGCGGATCCGGAGTACAAAAACCCCTTTGGGGTCAGACGCGTCGCTTGCCTAGAGCCCACTCTGGCACGACCTCATCACACACGCCTCCCTTTCTTCTGTTCCAGCATGACATCCTGGCCGCCACCTCCAGCATGGGTTCCGACCACGGCGTACGTCCCGACAGTCGATCCCAGATTCAGCATGCCGACGGGGTACCCACAACAATTGCAACCAAGTCCGCCCTGGTTCACCCATCCCCTCCCCGCGCAACCTGACCCATATCGCACGAATGCGTCACCTGCAGGTGCATATCTCTCTGCTCGTCGCTGCAACGACAACTAATACTGACATCTCTGAAGCCACCGCCCACAGGTCCATCAAATATCCCTCGTTGAATCCTGCGCTAGCAGAGGACACCACGATGCTCCGCTACGACTTGAAACAAAAGCCATCAACGTCCATCATGCCGTCGATATACTACCATTATCGCGTAATGCCCGTTATAGCAAACTCTTGCCACCGCCTACGCATCATCTGCAAGGCCTTCCCTTGGCAGATCGACATCTCAACGCAGGGGAGCGTAACTTGCGGGGACCTGTGGGAGGCCGTGTACGCCGCGCTCCAGGAGCCGATCGCGGATTCGGAGTGGGGGTTCCTCATCACGCAGGAAGGCAAGAGGGCAGCGGTCGAGAAGGCGGCGAAGAAGAGACTCGAGTTGGAGCCGATGAGCGACAAGCGCCCAAAGCGGATCGATTATTTGGGAGACATGACACTGTTTAGAGGGCTGGAGAGGGATGAGGATTTCGCGAAGCTGAGGCAGCTACCTTTTGCGCCGACATCGGGTGAGACTTGGGTGTTAAAGCTCATCTCGTAGGCTCTTTATCTCCTTTTTTTCAGGGAGCTTGGACGACTTGAGCTGCTATATCTTTTTTTTTCATGGTCGTGTTCATTCATTTTCTGGTATCCGTCGTACTTTTTCTTGGTTTCAACTCTTGGATATAACTTCTGGACCCGTATACCTCTCTCTTCATTTTGTAGGCTTCTCGATATATTATCTCGTGGTCCATATGGTTTGATACGCTTGGATATCTCTTGCAACCCAATTTTTATGCGACCATGCCGCCTTGACAGAAGTCAGACGCGTCCGGCACAGCGGGCCGACATTTGGACACGTGCATCTTTTTTTGACCTTGATCCCTAAAATATACTACAACTTCGCTAAGCCATTTCTTCTTGCCTCTCACACGACGCTACAGCTCCGACTAGAACTCCTGGTCATATCTTAGACGAGTGCTTCGACCGTTTCTTTGATAGATCCAACAAATGGTCTCCTTTCAGTGCGTCGATTTTGCCTCCATCAAATAAATAATTTTCGTTAACCGTGGTGGGAGGTATTAGGTGTCATGGTTTGTTGTTTTTCAATTCCTAGATCGCCCACCTCCTGATATTCTCGGTTTGGACTGTATCTTAGGCTGTGGCGATGTCGTGAAGAAACCCAAGCTCGACCAACACCGATTACGGTGCCATACCGGTTTCGATTGCATAGATTGTTCAAAGACGTTCAATACTCCGGGAGAGTATAAGGGCCATACATCGTGTATATCAGAGGCGGAGAAATACCAAAAAGGTCTGTATAAGGGTCCAAAAACTGTGCGTATCCCCTCTGCAACCATCTATGGGATCTTAACCGAACTTCCTTTCCGTCCATCCATGACAATCAGGGTGCTTCCCAGTCAAACGGCCCAGCATCCCAATCTGTGACTCCGGCAGAGTCAACCACATCTGCTGCTGCTGAACCAGCTTCAGCACAACGTGCATCCAACGCTCAATGGAATCATAGGCCCACGCCTCAAACCAACGGATACCACCAGCGTGGTCAAAACAGTCATAACGGATGGGGGCGGAATTATTCTAAATCGACGGGGGCGAACGACACACCCCTTGGAGCCTCAACGAGAAACTCGCCTGTTAACCCTCCGGCTACTCCGACGCCGATTGTACAGACTCCAGCACCTGCAGTGGAGAAGACGAAGACAAACGGGAAGGAGAAGAAGAGAAAAAATATCTCGGAGGATAAGGTACGTCATACGTCAGCTATTTCGTCTACGGCTCTGATGTCTAACAATGGCTTAGGTGGACGCTGACGCACCGTCGAACAAAAAGGCGAAACTCGCCGTGGACCCAGCATCTATATCTCTTCCCGATTCACCTGCGCCGTCTACGACAGAAGAGAAGAAGGAGAAAAAGTCGAAGAAGGGCAAGGAGGCGAAAGAGGCGAAAGAAGGAGAGAATGGAGAGAAGAAGAAAAAGAAGGGTAAGAAGAGCAAGGGAGAAGAAACAGCTATAGCCGAAGTCGCCGCTCACGATGAGGAGAGCAAGAAGGACAAGAAGAAGAGCAAAAAGTCGAAAGATGTCGAAGAGGCTGCTGGGCCTGCGTCCTTGCATTCCAGTGGTGGAGAGGTTAACGGCTCAGAGGAGAAGGAGAAGAAAAAGCGGAAAAAAGACGGAGACGGCGAGAAGAAGAAAAAGAAGGACAAGGACGAGTTAGCACCGGCGTTGGACACGATGGAGGTGGATTCGACGCCCGCTGGGGTCGAGAAGAGGAAAAAGAAGAAGGACCAAAAGGACAGATCGGCGCCTGCGGCTGAGGCGATGGACGTCGATGTCGATCCAACGACGACCGTCGGGTTGAAGGAGAAGAAGAAAAAGGAGAAGATTCCCTCCGACGGCATAGAGGTCAACTCTACCCCTGCTGACGAACCCAAGGAGAAGGACAAGAAAGAGAAGAAGCAAAAGAAGGACAAAAAGCAGAAGGATATCGCGATCTCATGACCGGTGGGTCCCATCTTGACTTTGCATGTCTTTTACTCATAAGTTCATTAGTTCAAGTGAGTTTCCTGCTTCTCGGTCTATCCGAATAGTGCACATCTTCCTCATCATATCCTCGTCCATCCACCTGCATTCTCTCGGGATCTTTTTGCAATCTACTTGTATCCGTTCCGGGGCGCCACAATCATAGTAATACATTCACTGAACCTCGATCTCACACTTTCTCGATGAACACGCCCTCCTAGAAATTTAGCACTACCTCTATTGGTACAACAAAATAGACAGACAATAAACTTCATATTTCCCCACCGCTGGTCGATCCTGCAGACTAATGGAACCAAAATATCAATTTAGATAAGGCACGTGGATGCAAGAAGGCGATTTCCTGCTGAACATCTTTCCTTCTTACCACAACAATCCACTGAACATCCTCCTATGCAAGCCATCCAGGTTAGTTTAAGCACAGGGTTTCATGAAATGGAGCTGACTTTCATTCGGCACACAGTCTCATCTCTTCGCAGTCCGCGAGTATCTGAGCCCCGTGAGCATAGGAGCTTTGTCGTCACGATCAGCACCCTGATCAGCACTGCAGGTTCTCAAGGAGAGCAAGTTCAAGGAACACGGTCGTATCACGCCTGGTGCGCCCGGATATCGCCCAAATACACGTTGGAAGGCTCATCTTTCGTTGCAGAGGAGTTCGTCGCCGCGGGTGACTTCCTGGTGTACAAGTTCCCCGTGTGGTCGTGGTGCGCCTCCGCCGTCCTATTGTTCGCTAGATCGAGCTGATGTGCGTCCAGGGAGAAGGGAGATGCAAGCAAGGCCCGCGACTTCCTGCCCGCTGACAAGCAGTACCTAGTCACACACGGTGTGCCCTGCCTCCGCCGCGCGACCTCCCTCGCGTACACCGATGCCGATGAGGACGCCGAGCGCCTGCTCTCCTTCGCCGATTCCTCCACTCCTAGTGCGGACGGCGACGAGTGGGTCGAGACGCACGCCGGCCGCAAGGCGAGCAACGCCAACGCCAAACCAGGCGCCGACCACAGCGACATTGCCGAAATCCCTGACGCCGACGACGACGTCGCTGCGGGCGTTGGATCGCTCAGCCTCGGGGGAAAGGAGAGCAAGGAACCTGAGGTCATCGACCTCGACGACATTCCAGACATGGAGGAGGACGATCTCGAGGACGGGGATGAGGCTACCGCGGCGCCAAAGCCAAAGGCCCCGGCGCCAGCTGCAGTCGCTGAGCCAAAGTGCGTGTCGTGCTATTTCTGGCCCACAGAGCTTATCTGATCAATTTGTTGCGTTCAGTCCGGCCGAAGCAGCCAAGGGCAACCTGCTACAAGTGCGCACGTACGACGTTATGATCACGTACGACAAGTACTACCAGACGCCTAGAGTCTGGCTGATTGGGTATGACGAGGTGCGCGTCATTTCGGTTTTTTTCCTCCCCCCTTTGAACTCATCTCTCCTCCAGAACGGCACGCCTCTTACACCCACTCAAATATTCCAAGACATCTCTGCCGACCATGCGCACAAGACGGTGACGATCGAGCCCTTCATCCACTCGGCCTCACTGCAAGCCGCGTCCGTACACCCCTGCAAACACGCGAGCGTGATGAAGAAAGTCATCGAGCGCATGAACAACAGCGTTGTCGCTGAGCAGCTCGCACAACGCAAGTCCCCCGTCACGAGCCCCAAAGATAAGGACGCGACAAAAAAGAAGTGGTTCGGCACCCGCAAGTCGAGCGGGTCGTCCAAAGACATTCAGGCGGCGGCAGCGGAGGGAGACGACGAGCCCGAGGGCATGCGTGTGGACTTCTACCTCGTGGTGTTCCTCAAGTTCATCGCGTCAATCGTGCCTACTATTGAAGTCGACTCAACTACATCCTTCTGATGCTTGCCCTGGCGATTGGCCTACTCCACTGCGGCTTCGCGGTTTGTACATAGCGTATGGTCATGGAAGGTAGACGAGCTCTCTGAGGATACCCTTGCGTAGTAGTAATGTTGACTATGAAAATGTGGAAGCGCAGACTGTACGATATATTACTTGGATATATAGATGTGTAAATACATTTGATACTCACTGTACTAACCTTGCTCAAGATGTACTTCTCTATCAATCCACCTTGGACGCCATTTCCTGTGTTTTAAATGACGGTGGTTCCCATGTGCATCGCCGACGGAGCTGACCCTCGATTGCTGACCACAGGATAGGGTCAGTTCAAAATGTTGCTACAGAATGCTGGATGTATTTACATATTCCCTTAAAGAAAATAATGGGAGAATCAGGAAGATAGAACTTTCTAAGGCAAGGAGAATGCGCTGGAAAGCAGCTGGAAGTCTGTTCCGTACACGTCAGGCGTTAGAGTGCTGGAGGAACCGCGTCCGTTTTCGACAGACAGACATCAGAATTCTGCCACGCTAGCCGGCTTTCCTGGCGAGTGGAGTCGCCTCGGGACGGCGGATGTGGCGGCGGGCGCTTATTTCCTTTTAACACATGACTGTGGGGTTAACCTCGGAAACATCCAATTTCGCCGGCGCACATGGACACCCTCAGGAAACCTGATATCGATAATAATTGCAACATGGAATATTGCAAAAAATCACCGCGCAAAACAGCCACGTTTTCGTTTTCGTGCACCACAAATGCCCAGCTGGAGCCATCGTGGAGCGAACCAATATTCTCGCCAAATCGTTACGTTTTCTCGCAACATTTTGGGATAACCCAACTGCAAATAACATCTAATCAACTCTACCAGTAGTTGCGGCAGACACTTGGTGCATGTCAACGTTCGTATATGTGGAACCATAAACATCGCTCGCCATGAGCCTCAACTGCTCCAACTTCTTCGCCACCTCGCCGACAGCACGGTCCAACTCCGCAGTCGCTGATTCTTCAACCCGGGCAGCTTCTTGAATATCTCGCACAAGTCTCCACAAACAACACCTTTGACTGGGACATAGTATCCCCTCCAGCTCATTTGATCCCTTCCGATGGGGCTCAGCCAGTCTTGCTCCGTCCGCATGTGGTGTTCCAGGGCAGACAAAAGGTCGACGATGTTCTTTGAGACGGGCAAATGTGAGGACGCCAATGGCTCCATGCAGACCAGTATACAACAGAACCTCCCGTCCTTCTGCAACATGCTAGACTTTGTATGACCGCAATGAGGGCGCCGACGTAGAAGTACACCGGCATCTTGGTCTTGTACGGCGTGTCGATGCGTATGGATATCTCATATACAATGGCAGCACCGCTAGAATCGGCCTCGACCAGGTCTGAAATGCTGCAATCGAGGTAGTTCAGGAGGACACTGCCCAAGCGGTCGCTGGCGACAACCAAATTGCAATGCAACACAATCAAGGCGATGTTCCAGTGTGGTTGCGAGTCATCTGCGAAATTGAGCAGTCTGTTTTCCGGCTCCTTGTAGGCGGCAAGCAGGATCGACACCTGCATATCTCCAATGATCTTGCACGAGCCTTGAGTAGCAAACGGGACAATGGCACTTGGAAAATCCTAAAGAGACCGTCGTCAGTAAATCTGTATCTGGAGCTTCAACAAGAGGAGCTTGCACCTTGTTCTCCACCCATAGCAACTTCTGCCCAATGGCGTAGATCCTCAGAGCCTCTCCAATACCACTCAGAATCCAAGATTTGGAACACCGAAGAATTAAACACCCCGTGGCCAGTTTCTCGGTGCATTGACAGTCAGATATGGGTCTTGGGGGAGACTATTTTCACGGACCAGCGAGATAGAGACAAACGAAATAAGAACCGAGGTAAAGGTGCACATCCAGAAACGAATTGGCAACCCGTCGAGGCGCAATCACCTGTCGCAGGCTGCACTTGGAGTGCTGCGATAATCCTTCAGCTGCTCGCAAGACCTTCCGCATTGCTTCTGTATGTGACAGTATGTCGAACATCTTTGTCGTTTTCCCGATTATGACGATAAGGATGGTAACGTCTTAGTTGTGCCTCTAAAGGATGGCGAGAAACACGAAATATGAGGATATTCCTGGACATGAACCTGCGAATGGGCCTACAGTTGAAGCTGACATTACGGTACAGTCGAAGGCATCCGGCGCCGTTGCCGACAGTGACAAACACCGACCAACACCGTCTTCTTCGCGTCCCCATCTTTTACAACGAGGACCAGTACTGGTTCCCAGAGTTTCTCCAACCCTCTGAAAGGTCTTGATTGACCTCCAAGATGCATCTGTACAATCTGACTCTCCAACCGGCAACGGCCATTACACAAGCGATCGTTGGCAACTTTTCGGGCGCTCGACAGCAAGAAATCATCGTATCTCATGGAACACGACTAGAGCTCTTGCGGCCAGACGCACAGACGGGGAAAGTCGCGACGGTGATTGCAACGGACGTGTTTGGCTCAATTCGCTCGCTCGCTGCTTTCCGCTTGACCGGTGGGACGAAGGGTGAGCCGTCGTACGTATCTTCTTCTGAATATCTCGTCTTACGCTTCATTTAGACTACGCAATCGTAGGCTCAGACTCGGGTCGCATTATCATCCTCGATTATGACCCAAAAACGAGCAGTTTCGTCAAGCTGCACCAAGAAACGTTCGGAAAGTCTGGCGCGCGACGTATCGTTCCTGGGCAATATTTGGCGACGGACCCGAAGGGGAGGAGTGTGATGATTGCAGCGATGGAAAAGGCGAAGCTGGTCTACATTTTGAACCGTGACGCTGCCGCCAACCTTACCATATCGTCGCCGTTGGAAGCACACAAAAATGCTGCGATCATCCACCATATTGTTGGATTGGACGTGGGGTTCGAAAATCCCATGTTCGCTGCGTTGGAGGTGGATTACACAGAGTCAGACCAGGACCCCACTGGAGAGGCCTTCAACAACGCAGAAAAGGTGCGCAAAGTGTCAAATGCGCCCAGAGGCTTTCTGACATTTTGGCAGATGTTGACCTACTACGAACTTGACCTCGGCCTAAATCACGTCGTACGCAAGTGGAGTGAACCTACAGATCCACGAGCGAATCTACTCGTCCAAGTCCCGGGTGGTCAACACGCTTCTTCTAATCAGTTTGACGGACCGTCAGGTGTGCTTGTATGCTGCGAGGACCACATCATTTACCGGCATATGGATGCACCCCAACATCGAGTGCCAATTCCCCGACGAAACCATCCCTTAGAAGACACAGACCGTGGCTTGATCATCACTGCTGCCGTCATGCACAAAATGAAGGTATGGAAATGATTACTTCGTTCGTGCATGTCTGCTAACAAATTGTAGGGGGCTTTCTTCTTCCTTCTGCAAAGCGAAGACGGGGATCTCTTCAAGGTTACGATTGAACATGAAGAGGAGGAGGTCAAGTCGTTAAGAATCAAGTATTTTGATACTGTACCTGTCGCGTCCAGTCTATGCATTCTCAAGTCTGGTTTCCTCTTTGTCGCGAGCGAGTTTGGAAATCAGTGAGTCTCACTTATCTTGCTGCTATTATTCTTTTTTTTTCTGACGATAGTCCAGCTTCCTTTATCAATTCCAAAAATTGGGAGACGATGATAACGAGCCTGAATTTTCCTCGATGTCGTATCCTCAATTTGGTATGGCTAACCCCTCTTCTCCGTTACCTCGTGCATTCTTCCGACCTCGCCCACTCGAGAATTTGGTTATTGCTGACGAGCTGGAGTCTCTGGATCCCATCCTCGACTCCAAGGTTCTCAATCTCCTTCCCAACTCTGACACGCCACAGATCTTTACTGCTTGTGGACGAGGCCCTCGCAGCACTTTCCGAATACTCCGCCATGGTCTTGAAGTAGAAGAGTCTGTGAGCTCTGATCTGCCTGGCATCCCAAATGCCGTTTGGACGACGAAGAGGACAGAGGACGGTAAGTATCTACTTTTCATCTTGATAGCTTGTCTCTCATTCTGGACTTTCAGACCCGTTCGACTCATACATAGTTCTTTCTTTTGTTAACGGAACTCTCGTGCTCTCGATTGGCGAGACGATCGAAGAAGTGCAAGACACTGGATTCCTGTCAGCTGCCCCTACACTAGCTGTACAGCAAATCGGCGCTGATGCCCTTCTCCAAGTTCATCCTCATGGTATCCGGCATGTTCTCGCAGACCGACGGGTCAATGAGTGGAGGGTGCCTCAAGGACGTACGATCGTCTGTGCTACGACGAACAAGCGGCAGGTCGTGGTGGCTCTTAGCTCCGCTGAGCTGGTGTACTTCGAGTTGGACCTCGATGGGCAGCTGAATGAGTATCAGGATCGGAAGGCTATGGGAAGCACGGTACTGGCGCTGAGTATTGCCGAAGTTCCGGAAGGGCGTCAGAGGACACCCTATCTCGTGCGTTCTCTACTTGACCATTCACCAGATTTCCTTCTCAAACATTGCCTCGTATTTAGGCTGTCGGCTGCGAGGACCAAACTGTCCGCATCATCTCCCTCGATCCAGAGACAACGCTTGAGACGATTAGTTTACAAGCCTTGACGGCACCACCCTCCTCCATATGCATTGCGGACATGCTTGACGCAAGTATCAACAAGGCTGCTCCAACGATGTTCGTCAACATAGGCCTGCAAAATGGTGTTCTTCTCCGAACCGTCCTGGACCCTATCAACGGCCAATTGACTGATACTCGAACTCGGTACGCGGCTGATTTCGGTGGCGTCCTGCATAACTAATTGCTTGATATTTTTTCAGGTTCTTGGGAACACGGCCTGTGAAACTCATCCGAGTGCAGATCCAGAAGAACCCTGCTATCCTTGCGCTATCATCACGGTCATGGCTCAATTATACATATCAGAACCTCATGCATTTCACGCCTCTCATCTACGATAACCTCGACTACGCGTGGAGCTTTTCTGCCGAGTTGAGTCCTGAGGGATTAATCGGAATTGCTGGCAGCGTTCTCCGGTTCGTCGACTCCTTTGTGCGCATAGCCGTCTAGCTCGATGTCTGATGCTCGTCGGTTAGGATCTTCCAGGTACCAAAATTGGGCATGAAGCTGAAGCAAGACTCAATGCCCCTATCTTACACGCCTCGAAAATTTATCACCCACCCTCACAATAGCTACTTCTACATGATAGAAGGCGACCACAGGGTCATGGGTGACGAGGCTGCAGAGAAGAAGCTCCAGGAACTTGTCAGTGCATTAATCCATCTTCTCCGTCCGCCAAGTTGCTTACACCGCGTTTCTATTGTTTATAGCGCCGACAAGGCAAGAAAGTTGATCAAGAAGTCGTGGACCTCCCACCAGACGTCTTCGGAAGACCAAAAGCTGCTGCAGGTACCTGGGGCTCGTGCATTCGCATCATCGACCCTGTAGAAAGCAAGACCGTCAATGTTATACACCTGGATGCTAACGAGGCTGCATTTTCGCTCGCTGTCGTCCCGTTTTCCGCCCGGAACGGCGAGCTGCATCTTGTCGTTGGAACCGCGGCTGATACGTTGATCTCTCCTCGCTCATGTTCAAGCGGTTTCTTGAGGACGTATACTTTTAAGGATGACGGAGCAGGCTTGGAATTGCTGCATAAGGTTCGTACAACCGTTGTTAATAAGATCGCCCGTTTAATTCTAACGTCTTATGGTGCAGACGGAGGTGGACGATGTTCCACTGGCATTGCTTGCTTTCCAAGGGCGGCTTGCTGCGGGCGTTGGCAAGGCTCTGAGAATATACGACATCGGGAAAAAGAAGCTTCTCCGTAAAGTTGAGAATAAGGTCGGGTTATCGTTATCTGTTATGAAATCAGATTGGACTTACAGTATGACCTTCTAGTCCTTTACGTCCGCCATTGTCTCTCTTGCCACCCAAGGGTCAAGAATAATCGTAGGAGACATGCAAGAGTCTGTCCAATTCACTGTCTACAAGCCACCTGAGAACAGACTGTTGACTTTCGCGGACGACTCACAACCACGCTGGGTTACTGCAATGACTATGGTGGATTACAATACGGTGGCAGCAGGCGATCGTTTCGGTAACATCTTCGTCAATCGTTTGGATGCCAAGGTCTCCGACCAGATCGACGACGATCCAACTGGCGCTGGTATCCTGCACGAAAAGAATATCCTCATGGGCGCTCCGCACAAGACAAAAATGTTGACCCACTTCCATATTGGCGATATGGTCACCTCCATCCACAAGGTGTCGCTCGTTGCTGGTGGGCGTGAGGTGCTGCTGTACACAGGGTTGCATGGCACTGTCGGGGTGCTGGTCCCCTTCGTTTCGAAGGAAGATGTCGACTTTATCTCGACCCTCGAGCAGCATATGCGCACTGAACAACCAAGTCTAGTCGGAAGAGATCAGCTAAGTTGGAGAGGGTACTATGTGCCGGTGAAGGCGGTGGTTGATGGTGACCTGTGTGAGACGTATGCAAGACTACCCGGAACGAAACAGCAAACAATTGCTGTTGAGTTGGATAGGACCGTTGGCGAGGTGCTGAAAAAGCTAGAACAGTTGAGGGTAACAGCGAGTGGCTTCTAAGTAGGGTTGTAGTTGTGATTCATTGATTTTTATCTCGCCTCCTTTTGCTGCAATGTATATCATTTGCACGGCTCGGTGCCACTTGTACTTCTGACCAAACTGAGTGCCAATTCAGTGCCAACAATGCATTTGGATGACTTTGATGATCCAAACGCCAAATGGCCCTGGCAAGGAAGTGCGTGTTGTACATACAGTTGCTAGTCATTATTCGAAAGGATACAGTACATTGTACATTCTAAAATGGAGTATCTATCCCATGTAAGCCCGAGCACCAAAAAAAGTCGTACATAAGTAACCGTGGATCGTGCAAGTGTACCATAATTTTAGTCCGTCGTTGGCACTCGGCCATTAGAGTCATAATCCGGTATTACAGGGTGTATCTAGACGAAGCATTTGAGATTGAATTCGAAATGGGAAGGGAAGAAGGTATTCACCGGAAAAGCGGGCTATCGTTGCCCATTTCTTTGAATTCTTCTTCACGCGATTCGTCGATGTTTTCAGCACGACAACGCGCCTCCTTGAGCTTATTTTGTCGGTTGAAGTCGTACATGCAGAGGCAGCTGAAAAATATACTAAATTGCGAATGAAATCAGTAAATCAAGTCGGTAAAACAACTAACAGAATAGAATACTCACGCGACCCATAGCCAGCCCATGATCATACCATGGCCGAGGTGGAAGCGAGGTGGCTTGATGTAGATGAATGAGGAGCAGATACCCCCAAGGTTGCCCATGCCAATAACAATGGCCAATGCAACACCACGACGCAAGTCGCCTCCAGCAGACGATCCAACCCAAGCCAAGGTAACCGGTACGCAAGGATATACTCCGGTGGCGGTTAAAATGGCACCGACGTACGAAGCCCCCGCGGCTTCTTGAGTGTAAAGGACAACATAACCGATGAACGAGAGGAAGCATCCTCCGACAATGAAGGGCCCGCGCTTGTTCAGCTTATCGGAATAGTGACCAACTGAGAAGCAAAGTAAAGTACTCATTAGGAACTATAGATCAATATGAAGGTAAGGCAACTCACAAACAATAGTCATGACGCAACCACAGAAGAATGGAGGGACTGTAAGCAGCTGTGCGTCGGCAGCGTCGAAACCGAGTTCATTGACGATGGTGGGAGTGAACAAGGAAATAGCGTAGAGGGGAATGAGGAGGCCCATGTAGATTCCGGTTTGGAACCATGTACGTTTGTCGGTCAAAGCTTGGACGATGTATTTGGCTTGGAAGCCTGTCGAAAGGCCGTGCCTGTCTTCCTTGAGCATCTCCACCACCATGACTCGTTCGCTGTCGGTGAGGAACGACGCGGTTTCCGGGTAATCGTACATGAAGAAGTACGAGAGGAAGGCAAACACGACGGTGGCCATTCCTTCGAGGCAAAACTAGAGATAGGGTCAATTGGTAGGAGGATAAGGATAGAAATCGTCGTAAACTCACAATCCATTGCCACCCATAAAGTCCTCCGATGCCTTCCATGTGCTCAATGCCAAATCTAAGAAGGGAGTCAGCACACTTCGACTTCCAGCGAAAGTAAACTTACGCAAGAAGGCCACCGAAGGCACCAGCAATCGTAGCGGCCGAGAAGAAGATAGCGATTCGCTGGGCTACATCGCGACGTCTGTACCACAGCGAGAGATAGAAAGTGATTCCGGGGAAAAGGCCAGCTTCCGTCAGTCCCAAAAATACACGAGCGCTGCAAAAATAGAGTTGAGTCGAAGGAAACGGGAAAATTTTTCGTACAAACGTACATGATGAGCGTTTCATAGGTGTTGCAAAGGCACATAAGGGTCATGACTGTTCCCCATGCAACCATGATCGACGGTACTAGACGCGAGAGATAAGGTGAGTTTGTGCTAATAATAGGTGCAGGGAGACGCGGCTTACTCCAGACGGAAGGCCGAAAGAGCTTTAAACAGATATTCCTACCAATAGCAGTGGGTCGGCAACGGTGATCTAAAAAAAGGGTAGATAATGACGTACGAAGGAACCTCGAAAAAGGCATAAGGGAGGAAGAAGACGGCGGCAATCTGGGGTAGACAATCTCGTTGGGCGCTTATGCAGGGACAATGGGAAAAGCCACATACGATATTATATTTCAGTCCGTCCAGGTTCAGGTCATGGGACATTCCAGCTATTTTCGCGTTGCCGATATTGGCACGATCGCTAATGATTGAAGAAATGAGTAAAAGAAAACAGATACGAAGGTCGTGGTGCTTACAGGAATGATAGAAGGTAGAGGAACGACACGAAGGGTAGAAGATGGAAATCCATTTTTCGCAGTACCCTTTTGCGTTCGGCTTCGGAGACTTCGAGTATAGCAGCTTCTTCATCTTTGGTCGGGATCGGCGTGAGGTCGTGATGATCCCCGATCTTTTCTGAGGAGCTCTTTTCGTGAAGAGAGGTGCCCATTGTTGGAGCTGTGAGGCGGAAGAGGAGATGTGTTTTCAAATTGTTGGTGGTGGGCCGGAGCATGGAACTAGGTTATATACTTTTTTCGTCATGAACCGGATTTGTAAAGTTTCGGCCCCTTGAACCTCGCACATCTCAGTGATAGCGAACGTGAGGTGACTTAAGGGTCCAGACCTCTGCCCAAGAGGAATTCAGTAAGCGAGGAGGCTCCATAGCCCCTGGTCAAAGATGGAAGAGATTGCACAAGGCACTGGCCCGAGAACACGACTGGCAGAGACTAGGGAAGACTGATGCCCAAGGAGATAGTTTGGGCGAGCCTAGCCAATTGTTGGCCATGCAGGACAGCACGCGAACGACACACTGACCGAGCGGTTCGGCCAAGTGAAAGGCACCAAAAGAGGAAAGCCAAGAGGTGGTCGGATGGTCTGGACTGTAAATTAGGCTCCTAGTACCCTATTGCCCGATAATTATCCAGAACGTCGCTATCAACCAATCAGTGAGAATGTTAAGATAAAATTCAGAGGCGAAAAACTCAAAGGCATCGCCCCAGTTGGAAGTCGCAGTGGAATCTATGAGGTTCTGGACCGTAAGATATGGCTAGCCGACGCCCTGCGCAGAGAACCAATAGCACCAGTCATCCAAGCTAGACCATGCCAGAGCTTCGCGGTTGGTGAAGAGTGCAGCGACGCTTCGCAGAGAGGAAGCCCTTAGCCTGCGTCAGGAAACTCAAGCGCTCAGTGCACAGTGAGAAAGAAGGATTCAAGGAACCGTCTAGGATCCAGATTCGCTTACGGCAACGATAATAATAATCTCGGAAAAGTTGCGGAACTTGAACTTGATGGCTTGGATAGATAGCAGGGCAGAAAAGCAGTGCGTAAGTAGTACACCAGGAGAAAGCATTGCCAGGACACTGGCCAGAGTCTGCGAGGGCGGGCCAGTCAAGCGCGGATGACATAAACTACCACTCATCCGCGGCCGCAAATGCCGATTTCTTTTTCCCACCTCGTCCTCGCTTGCCCTTGGCAGTCCCTCCTCTGCCTCTTTTTGAAGATGCTGACGAACGCCCGGATGCCCCGTCGCTGGGACATTCTGGATCAAATTTCAGAGCGAGAAATTCAGAGCGAGCTTGACCACGTACTAGAACTCCAATGCCCACTTTTTCCACACTTGAAGCACTCGTTCGAAGTTGCTGAGTTACTATTCGACCCTGTCCTACTGTAGGTATTCGATGTCGACCCGGATCGGTTGGTTGAAGCATCTTTAGGACATGCTGCAGCAGTCATGAATTATCAAAATTCGAAGAATGGAGAAAATACGAACATGAACTATAATGCCCCGGTTGTTGGCATTTGAAGCATGTGATGCTGGCTGTACTTGAGCCAGGCTGAGATTTACCGTAATTCGAGGAGCCACCGTTAGGACAGGCTATGGAGACCGTCAGTACTACCGTCACAATTATCCCAGGCGAAAGAAACAAACGAACATGAGCTAAAATGCCCCACTTGTTGACACTTAAAACAGGTTGCACCAGCAGCTGCGGTGTTATTTGCATTTGTTCCAAAGCTCCTCGTCCGCTTGTTACTCGAATTGTCGTCGTTAGGACATGCTAAAGCCGTGGATTAGGTTGATTCAAGAGAAGCAGAAACCGGAAGACCAACAACTCGCCCAATGTCCTTCCTGATCGCACTGAAAACAGAATAAGTAGGCAGTTGAAGTGGGATAATCGAATACAGACCTTGAAGCAGGTACCCAAAGACCCTCCTCCAGACGCCGTGTTCGAAGACGTCGACCTCGATCCCAAGCCGCCACCGGCACCGGCACCACGGCCAAACGTGGAATTTCGTGGGGGTTCGTCTGCCCACTCGAAGAATCCACAGGCTTCCGTCTCTGATTTTTCACACTTCCAAAATTGTCGCCCTTTATTTTCGCTTTCCCTAGTAACAGTCCGCATGACCGCGTCTTGACTGCATTTGCACTTCCTGACCTCGGTGGTGGTGTTTGAGGATGTGTCTCGTGTCTGAGGAGCTCCTTATTAGCTCATATAGGAATATATGTATAAGAAAAATGGTATCCTTACGGATGAATAGGGCCGCTTGGCGGGTACACTTGCAGCAGCCGACGTGGACGCAACAGAAATCGTATCTTCGACCCATTTGAAGAACCCACAAGACGTATCGCGACCTTTTGGACACGTCCAAAACTGTTTCCCCTTAGTCACCGACTCTTTCGTAACCGTCCTCTGCACGGCTGCTACACCACAACTGCATTGTGGGTCGTTGACAGAAGACGAAGATGCGTAGGCGGCTGTAGATGATGATGCTGTAGGGTTGGAGTGGGCTGAAGATGTGGATGCAATAGGGGCAACTTTGGTTTGCCACGTTGAGGATAGGTGGATGGGAGCAGTAACTTGAGAGGTAGATGCTAATGTACTTGAAGATGACGAAGCTGATGCTGATGCTGACGGACGACTGACGGACGAAGGGCCAGCCGTTGAGGAAGATGGCGTTGGACGGGATGAAGACGCCACCTTCGTCGAAGCGCCCATGTCGGCCTCTGTCAGATGTAAGTAGACAATGAGCAATAGGTTGAATTATTCAAGGAGAACAAATACTGACCATCGTCGGAATCACGGATGCTTATTATGGATGCTGAGGGTGCTATTGCTCCTCGGCCTCGACCGCGTCCTGAAGGTGCATCCCCGCGTCCGCCTCTGGCTCTCGAGGTCGCACGTGCTCGAGTAGTTCCTCTTCCCCTGCCTCTTCCTCTCGCACCCCCATCATCGCCATCTCCTTGACCCCTATTACCACCACCGCCATTTCCTCCTCCTCCACCTCCTCCACCACCACCACCGTTACCACCATTGCCACCTTGTGCATTCTGAGCTTCACCGGACAGGAAGCGTTGAACAGACGTTGTAACCTTTTCAAACTCCCGCCGAACGACGATGAACATGTCCTTATATTGGTTCAGACTGTGCGTGAGCATGTCGTTCTTCGTCGTCGTGCCCTCGCACACGCGCACCATCCGTCGCTCCGTCTGAGGCGGAAAAATAAATTAAGATACGTTGCTGCAGGGATAGAAAATGGGATATATGTACCCACCTCTCGACGCAGCTGGGGCCTGCTGACGCTCTTGGCGAGGCCAATTTGGTTGTAGCCCTCTATCAGGCCGATGCCGAGTGTAGATGGGACCAGATACTTCGTGGCTCCTTCCATTCGTTCAATCACGTAGGAGCGATCGATGATGGTCTGGATGTGTTGAGCAATGGTAGCGTCTGTGCCTACGATTCGCGAAGAAACGTCAGCGAACATGGCACGCAATGAACAATAAGAGGACATACCGATGCCATTCTTGTCCATGAGGGTTACGAGGTCGGCCTCGGTCAGGTAGTTCGGCTTCGATGTCTCGCCTTCCCGGATTTCACAGGTTGTCGGCTCGAACTCCTCACCTTCCTGGAAGTCGGGGACATGATGGCCAGTCCATTTCTCGTACACGTACACTTCCAGATAGTTCTTCTGCTTAACAACAAGACCTAGGAATGTCAGTAAGAAATGGCAGTGGATGAATAAAGGAGGTAACGGATACCTGTCGCTGAAAACTCTTCGCCACCGCATAGAACATCGACGGTCGTTTGCCAACCTTCTGCATCTTTCGAGCAGCAGGCGAGATAGCGGCGAGTGATGTACTCGTACACCTTCTTCTCGTCGCCAGCCAGCCCATTAGCGTGTGCCGTTGGGTGGATGGGCGGATGGGCCTTGTCATTGTTCTTGCCTTTCCGAGGAACGTTATAACCTCCGTTCTGTAACCTATACAGGAGGAAATTTAGGCAAAAAATCATGAAAGCGTTTATAACAGGGCATACGAGTCCGCGAAGCCACCCCATACAGGGTCGGCAGTTTGCTTCGCAATGAGAGCCATATGATCGAATTGAGGGTCGAATTGGTCAGTTTCCGTACGTGGATAAGAGACGTATCCTTGTTGGTACAATCGTTCGGCAACCTACAATCACCAGGCTAGGGTTAACTCGGGATTTGATTCTTGATAGGAGAGCGGCATACATCCAGTGCTTTCTTTGGTGCGAGACGCAGTAGTCTTGATGCCGCTTTCTGGAGTTCAACCGTGGTCAGCGGAAGCGGTTTCCTACAGGCCATAGTTCGAGAAAAGGTTTCCTAATCGGTTAGAAATGGATACGCACCATTTCTTCGTAGTCTTATTAGTAACTTTGGTGACAATAGCCAGAGGGTTCTCCATCATAAACGAGTAGATGTTCATAACTGCGGCCTGGTCGAACATGTGGTGTCGCTTCCAGTTGAACTTTGTCTCTTCGTTCCCTTGTGAGGGTGTTTGGCGAGTTATAGAAAGGTAGATGTACCAGAATTTTTCGGGGCGGAAATTCTTGACATGGTTATATCGTTGCACAACAAAACCGAGGGTTGGGAATTGACAAGGGCCTATAAAGAACGTTGCAACGAGAGTGAATTTGAAGAGTAGGGGACGAACCATAAGAGATCACACTCTTTTCGTCCGCAATTTGCCTTACGCGCCCTTGAAGTATGAGCGTTTGTAGTCTTGTAAATGCAGCTCCGACCTTCAAATCCAAAAATATTCGAGCCTCAACGGCGTCTGCCTGCCGTCTATCCAATTCAAAGGGATGTTGGGCAGCATTATGGATTTGCCTAGTTCAAAAACAGTCAAGGAAAGGAGGAGGGAGTGTTGTCAATAGCAAGACGTACTGGGCTATGATGGCACTGAATCTAGCCCGCTTGACCTGAATATTAGGCTTTGCCTGCCGACACACCCGTGCAATCTCCAGCCCAATATGTTCGCCTTCTCGATCACAATCCGTCCATATCATCAGCATGTCCGAACGCCGAGCTTGAGTGAGGAGATTCCGTTCGATGGCTTTCTTGTCGGGTGCTATGGAAGTCTCTATGGGTGCGTCGAAGAGGTCAAAGGCGTCGCATGAGTTCCACTTTCGATGTGTGTCGTAAAAATCCTGAGAGGTCAAGTGTCCGGACACACAAGTGACGATGTAGAATGAACGAGTCTGCGGGTAGTCGAATTCATAGTTCTTGATGAAATTGGACTGTGTGTTGTGCTGCTCGGAGCCGTGAGACTCGTAAAGGTTGTGAAGGTTCCGAACCATACTCACCGTCGCAAATTGGCCACCAGATAGAATCTGTGTTATTGATTTGGCAATTGAGGGCTTTTCGGCAACGCACAGAACTCTCATGGCTGCATTCGATGCCGGGTGAAGTTGTAGACCTCTTCAGGTTGTTCCAGGTCCAAGGTCGGTGATGATGACGACAAACAAACGCGGTCGCGTCGCCAAATTGGCGTGACCGCGACTTTCTGTTTGGTCGTGCTGATCAACGCCTTCCAAATTTTGAGTGCCAAGGGTGCAGCAGTTATCTTTACAGAGCATCTCTGGATTATTCGCGCTGCCATGGACGACGGGAACTCGATCACAACAAAACTCCTTACTCTACTCAATGTCTCAGCAACTAAAATTGGCAAAAGAAAGCGAACAGACGATGAATTTGTGCCTTCCGAAAAGCTGAACAAACGGAAATCAGCAACATTTGCGGATTCGACCGTGACCTTCGCAGAGAAGGAAAATGTCGCTGTCGTTACGGCAGTGGAGAAGAACGAGAGCTCTACGGCTGGCGCCTCTGCAGCGGAGGACAAGGATGAACTGGATGAGAGCGAAGGTATGTCTGTTGGTTAGTCACAGTCGATCAGGATTGACGACGATGCAGAACCCTCGTCCTCAAGCAATAAATATGAAGCGCACTTCGGTTTAAATCCTTCATGTCTGTCAGAATCTTCTCGAGCATCTGTAGAAGCCAAGTCTTGGAAGACATCAAGAGAGAAAGCCGGCAAATTGGGTTCAGTGATCTTGTCGATTCCTCAAAACTCGGAAGCGAGTACAAGCTGTACAACCGATAGTGACGTATGTTTCCGCTTACTTCGTGCATTTATTCCTCCTGAGGCTCATTAGATCCTGGACAACTTCAAAACACCGTTTGTCACAAGACAATCGAAGCAGTCAAAAAGTATGTCCGAATAATGGTTCGTCAATGTCACACCTTATAGCTTTTCTTCAGACTACGGGGAACTTCAGAATGACTTATTGTCGACTCTCTCGACGAGGAAGGACCTGTATTTGACCTCAACACCTCTCGAAATCAGAAGACCAACTAGGGAAGCCATCGCCCTTTACGCCTTGAATCATGTCTCAAGGTAAAGCTCAGGTTTTTCTCGCTTCACCCACAGCCTCATCCGTCGCACAGGAAGCGCCGTCGTGTTCTCAAAAATAACGAGCGTCTAACTAAAGCAGCCAAAGCCAATCCCGACGCCTCTCCTCTCGAAGACGTCCAAGACCAAGGCTTCACCCGACCCTCCGTCCTGATCCTCCTTCCATTCCGCTCCTCGGCCCTCGATTGGTTCCGGGCCCTCACATCTCATACGCCGCCTCCTGCCTACCAAATTGAAAATCAATCCCGATTCCTTTCCGAGTACGGTCTGCCTGACGGTGCTGTTGACAAGCTCCTTGCTGCCGAACCTGGGACGTATCCGCATGATCATGTTGAGACGTTCAAAGGAAATGTGGACGACAATTTCAGGATCGGTGTGAAGATGACACGGAAGACTATAAAACTTTTTGCGGACTTCTACAGATGTGATATCATCATCGCGAGTCCCCTTGGTTTGCGTCGGTCAATAGAGAAAGAAAAGTGAGTTTCTATGAGTACGTCATAATTCCGCTTGTTCGATTTATTTTCCAGAAATGGTGATTACCTATCATCAATAGAGGTCCTCGTCATAGACCAGATGGATGCCCTTACGATGCAAAATTGGGAGCATGTGAAGGTGCGCATCGTGGAGTTCATAGCATGGATTCGATTTTGACCGGTGTTGTAGTTCGTCATGTCACACATGAATAAGCTGCCGAAGGAATCCCATGACACCGATTTTTCCCGCATAAAACCCTGGTATCTTGACGGACAGTAAGCTTCTAACTCCACCACTCTCCTTCGAGAATCTAATTTTCAGCGAAGTGCTTCGTACCTCCGACAATCTATCTTACTTTCGGCGTATGAAACGTCAGAGACTCGCGCCCTATACAATACATCCCTGAAAAATGTTGCTGGAAAAATCAGGACGGAGAAACGATGGCAGCCCATTGAAGTGCCAGCTGGTATCGACCAGGTCGGCGTTTTCCATCCATCCCTCTCTCTGGTCCTGATCTCTTGCCAGCGCTTCGTTCATTTTGATTGCACCAGCCCAGTCGACGAACCTGAAAAGCGTTTCCGCCATTTCACAACGCAGCTCCTCCCCTCCATCTTGAAATCTGCCGTGCAAAGCACGAACACCATCATCTTCATTCCCTCTTCCTTCGACTTCATCCGAGTCCAAAACTACTTCCGCAAATCTAGCGGGACGACGTATACCATCCTCTCCGAGTACTCTACAAACCAAGATATCTCTCGCGCCCGACAGGCCTTCTTCAAGGGCGACAAGGCGTTCCTCCTCATCAGCGAACGGTTCCACTTCTACCGTCGGTACAAGATCCGCGGGGTGCGGAATATTGTTTTCTATGGTCCCCCTGACCATCCTCAATATTTCACGGAGTTCTTGTCGCACCCCTTCCTCGACGAGGGTGTCGAACCCTCTGATGTCACCTGCAAGGTGTTGTTCTCGAAGTATGACCGATTCAAGCTGGAGAGAATTATGGGCACGGAAGCTGCTGTCGAGCTGATAAAGTCATCGTAATGACTATGCCGTGGTGTTTTCGTAGTTGTCTGAGTTTCTTCATAGCAAGTATTCCAATCATGATTGACTATGCGAGTTCTTGTCGTTGTCAGCAATTGGGAGGCTCTTCGCATTGGGGGTCACATATCGGGCGTTGGGACTGGTTATGGCACCGGAAGCATCCCAGTTCTACACGGAGATATTGCCAAAGCTGAGGAGACGCAAGCGCCGCTTGCGTCGCACACCCCTCTCAACGTCATCTGCGGGCACTCCTTTCCTGCCTTTCGCGCAAAGCCAGGCATAGAAGACCAGGGAATTGGTTCTTGGCTATCTTCTACGGGAAGGCCCTGATCTTCAGCATCGATACGAGCAACATAGTGGGCAAACACCTGAGAGGTGATTTCTGGCGGTAGTCGATAAATGAAAGGGTCGCGCCGACGATTGATCTTTGCTGGAGTTCAAGGCGCTTGCGGATGAGATTGGCGATAAGGTACTTCCACGTCCAGCTCTTCGAGAGCTAAACAAATATTCCGCGCATGGTTTTCCTGCGTCTACTTTGCATTCAGATGTACGGTAGTCGTGAAGACGATGACACCTGAACTGGCAAATCCTCGCAGACCATGGCCGCAGAAATCGATAAGCGCGGTCGTCCGGCGGAGTCAACGTAACTTGAGTGACAGCAGAAAGCATACCTTGCTTCCTAAAATATACAGCTGTGCAAAAAGCGGAGGTCTGTACGGCCAATATAGAGCATATGTTGTGGTTCGGAAAAGCGTCAACCTGCGCCACATCGTGCACGCGAATTTCAGTCGGTTCATGCGACCGTTTTCTCACACTTCTGTCAGGCTCAGGTATTCCTAGATCTCAAACCTTAAGCGTTTACTAGGGAAGAAATTCTTGCAACGTGGGTAAGACATCTGGTAAGAAACGGTGGAAGGAAATATAGACGATAGGATAGCGACGGTCAGAGGAACCGTCAAATTGGGCGCTAAATTTTCTCTGAAGTGACCGTTTACTATTAATTCACTATTAGGTATATACGAGATGGTTAAGTCCTCATCGGTTCGATGGCGTAGTTGGTTATCGCATCTGTCTAACACGAAATGTTTTCGGTTCACAGAAGGTCCTCAGTTCGAGCCTGGGTCGAATCATTTTTCCCTGCTAGTTTTTAGGCCTGCCTTCATTCCATTTTCCAATCCTGGCTTTCCCTCGGGATACAAATGTCGCCTGGTGGTATTGGCCGTTATAGCTGGGTGTTCCCCGAACCCAGCATTCACTTTCCAGCCAAGAAATACTGGATCATGCTATCTCAAGAAGAATTCGTACACTGCTCAGAGCCACAAACATCGCGTGATTTCTCTTGTACCACTTGTTGGGGTGCTAATTTACGTCGTTGGAAGGCATACTGATAGTAGAGACCCACCAAGCGGCATGCCCCATCAATCTCCACGTTTGACAAGTTCATTGGACCGTGGACGCCGCCACACAGTTAAGCGCCCAATATCTGGTAGTGATCTGCTGAGGAAGCCTTGGCAATTGGATTGGAAGGTCCTTACAGGTAGTGGCACCTGAATAGTAGGATGATCTAGTACTAAATTCATGAAGTAGTTGGAGGTGAAATGGCCCACTCATGGAGTCTGTGAAATAAGCGCCGTTGATCAATACAATTTTCGTCATTCTTGTGGGCATCTAGTCTTCTTGGATTTAAAGAGGGAAATATTCGAGCTCTCCCCCAATCATCGAATGGTATCCTTCAACTTCGGCCTCTTGAAACCTGAAGAAAATTAGTCCATAAATTCTACCATCGGTACACGGCTCACCTCCTCGTAGAAGCCTACTGGATGCACCACAAGTGGTGTTGTGCCTTTTCCCCCGTTATCTCATGCCTCGTTCGTCCTCTCTCTTAGAGCTCTCAGGACCGTGTTCCGACCTGCCGAGGTTGCATAACGGATCCCGACCTCTGATCTTGGGAATATCTTCTTAGCTTCTTTTTCCCAGAGCAGGAGCTTAGCCCTTTGCTTCAGCCGTGCATCCCCGCGCCTTTATTGGGGAAGCTCTCTGGCGGAGGCGCCTTGAGTGCAGCCAAGGGTGATCCCGGACATGGAAAGGCGGCGGGGAGAATGTGGACTAAGAATATCTGCAAGAAATTTCTGTCAATGGTTGGGACGGCTAGGAAAATCATCATTCTCCTCGAGACTTGCAGAATAAATAGAGGCTCCCACTTGTGATCACTAGGAGAAGATGGCCGGCATGAAACGGTGAAAGAGACAGAAAATTAGTGCTGGTACGGATCGCATCCCTGTGCTCTGCTAGGGAATAGTGAATAAACCGTTATGACTTCGAGAGAACGACATGGACTTCAGGAAGACGACGAAAAACGAACTATCAAGCAATAGCTGGGCTCATTCTAGGGCAGTCAGCAAGAAATAAGCACCCACAAAGTGTCTACGCGACGTCGGCGCCAATTGAATTCCTCCCGATGACGTGCTTCAGCCTTCACCACAGACGCACAGGATCTGAAAAGATAAGCAAAAAGTCCTATTTTTTTTTTGGGCGCAACTGCGTGTGTGCATCAGCATCAATGATACGTCAAAGGGTTTGTTCGATAATGTTTCATAGCATACGTATTTGTTCAACTTTGTCGTTAATAGCCGTTAGTTGAACTCTGGTGGGAGTTACTGGTTTGAAGGCACAGTAGCGCAGTCCATGCGCAGTCAGGGACATGGCCGGCTCTTTGGTTTAAAATGCAATGTATCCTTCCTTCCATCTGTTAGATTAACCGCTGATTTCCCTCTTTCCCGCTCCATGAACAGCCTCCCAATCATTCTAGTGATGGGGTGACTTTGCGGCTTTAGGGGCCCGGCAGGCCGGCGGCACGGACGCGCTTCTGAAGATAGTAATTTCTTTCCACGGCTCGACAAGCGGAGTCCTCTTCGGTAACCAACCCCCCTAGAGCCTCCGCTCTTTCAGTCAAACCACCGCGACAATGTCGACGACGTCAGCGTCAGCAACGTCCTCGGTGGCGGCCACTACATCCTCAGCAGTCACACACACGCTGAAGGCAGGCTCCAACCTCAAGGTTCGTGGTTTATGTCTCTGTCCTGGGTTCCCCAAGTTTGATGCCAACCTTTCACAGGTCGTCGGTATTATCTTGGCAGTAGCCAGTGGTGTACTCATCGGAGCGAGTTTCGTCTTGAAGAAGAAGGGTTTAATCCGCTCGCAGGCGGGCGGAGAACTCGGAGAGGGTGTGGCGTATCTCAAGTCGGTGAGCCTAGTTTAAACAGTCTACGTTGGTAGCTGTTAACGACATCTTTGGCAGGCACTATGGTGGTCGGGAATGATAAGTGAGTTCTCTAACGGCGTTGGAGTAGTCTGGGTTTTGAAAAGGCACGACAGTGATGATTCTTGGGGAGATATGCAACTTTGCAGGTGCGTCTACTGACCCCCTTTGCTGTTTGCCAAGTCCAACTCTGGCTTTCATCAGCATATGCGTTCGTAGAAGCCATCGTCGTTGTACGTCTCCCTGCTTGGTTTTCAGTCTTCGATCCTCACCCTCAAGGCTTTCAGACGCCTCTCGGTGCACTATCGGTCGTCATCTGCGCCGTCCTCTCATCCTTCTTCCTCAATGAGAAGCTCAGTTTCTTCGGGTGGCTTGGTTGCGGTCTGTGTATTGTGCGTAATTGTCTTTACTACTTGTCCGATGCTGACCCCCTCTCAGCTCGGCTCAGTCATTATCGCCCTAAACGGTGCCCACAGCCTCCTCTATAAATAAGCTGTCACTTACCCCCGCACAGGTCCGAAAGAAGAGACGATTGGCCAGATTCGCGAATTCCAAAAGCTTTTCCTCGCACCAGGATTCCTGCCTTCATCTCAGTACTGATCACAGCCTCGTTGGTTGTTGTGTTTTATTTCGCTCCCAAGTGTGTTCCTTCTTTCTCGTGCTTCTGCACGCCTTAACATGCGGTGCAGGTATGGCAAGAAGAGCATGCTGTGGTATATTTCTGTGTGTAGTATGATTGGTGGCATATCTGTCAGCGTCACCACCGGCCTTGGAGCGGCTATTGTTCAGACGGCCCTCGGCGACAACCAGTTCAAGTACTGGTTCATGTATTTTTTGTTCGTGTTTGTTATCGTCACCCTATGTGAGTTGTTTCTTTCCCGTTGGTTTCTCAGTCCTGACGGTCGTCCGGCTGTGCAGTGGTGGAAGTGTATTATCTGAACGTTGCTCTTGCCCTATTCAACACCGGTGAGTATTTGCCTTGGTTTCGTAAGCTTCATTGGCTCATTCACCTTCACAGCGATGGGTAAGCTTGCCGCCTGTTTGATTCCGTTGCGCGCTAATTCTGTCTGTTAGTCACCCCGACTTACTATGTCATTTGTGAGCCCATCTATCTATCGCGTCCTTCTCATCTGATCGTCTCGCAGTTACTTTCTGTTCCATGGTGACAACTATAGTGCGCAGCAGCTTTTTTTTCTGTTGCGCGTTTCTCATCATCGCGAATTCTAGGTGTTGTTCAAAGGACTTGCAGCCAGCCCAACCCAGATCATCACAATCGTCATGGGCTTCCTCGTCATCTGTCTTGGCATCACAATTCTCCAGATGTCCAAGGTCGACCCCGAAAAGCTCAACAAGCTCGACCGACGGTCGACGCTTCTTCTCCAAGCTGCTCGTGCACAGACGGAAACCGTCGACGAGAAGGGCCTGGTCCAGTACGAAGACCCAGGGATGGACACTCTACGCGGGTCCTTCGGCACCGTTGGCAGCATTATTCGTGCTCGTACAGTCAGGCGCATGAGCCAGAGCAGTTACAACAACCAAAATCTCCGGATGCGACCACCTGGTGCTGCAGCTCCACATATCGGCACACCGTCGTGGCTGAGTCCGGAAGGAGTAAAGCGGCATCAACTGTACGACGCACCCGTTCCTCGAGACGACGCTTCATCCATACGGGCGGCTTCAATTCATTCCCAAATCATGAACAAGCGGCCGACCATTAAATTCGACAGTCAAGAAGTTGTACACTCCTACAACAGGCCAGGAGAAGGGGATGCGAACCCGACACACGAGCATCGACCGGCGCATGGGTCGATGCTTGTGCAAGACGGTTACCCGCCTATGCCCGTAGTGCCGCCCACACCGAACACCGCCGTCCGGGAAGGCAAGCTGCTGGAGATCGACAGCCCCGACTTATCACGCAACTCCGGCCCCGCCCTAGTTGCGAGCCCCAATCCAGACGTTGTGGTGACATCGCCGACACACTCGTCCGCGGACCAGACGCTAGACCTCCCACCTCTGATAAACACGGAACATACCGTGCATAGTGCGCCACCTACGATATATGCGAGGTTTGCGCGGACACCAGGTGCTCAGCCTATACGAAAGGATTCAAGAGAGATCTTCGACCCTCGCGCCAGCACCAGCGGGGCAACTGGCGCTCCAACAGTCAGGGGCACGTTGCTGAGCTTCCCGAGCGTAACAGATTCAGAGCCCTCCATGTGGGACGATGCAGGGATGGAGAGTGTGGGCCTGACAGAGAGGGAGAGCCGCGAACGGTTGGCGGCGAAGCAGAGCCAGGACAAGCTGATGAAGGCCAAGGAAAAGGAGAGGAGCAGGGAGAGAGAAAAGGTTCGGACGCCAAAGAAGTACCCGAAGGGTCTGGATGCGGAGGAGGACGAGCAGGAGCGCGAGAGCCTTTGGAGGAAGGCCAACGGTACGGAGGAGGATAGCAGCAATAGCTCGCCTGAGATATTGCCCCCGGAAGTGGGTAGCATTAGGCTGGTGCAACCAGGTCCGAGGTTCTAGACGGTGCTATCATATCTTCTTTTCCTTCGTTCTTTGGGTTTTGGACGCAGCTTCCTTTCTCTTTCGTTCACGCTTTCCGAACAGGCTTTCTGTCCTGCAGCTACACATCTACCGACGAACATCCTATACTCCAAAAGCAACACACCTGCCGCCTCTGCTCTCGATATATCAATCCTAGGACTATCTCAAGCGTATAGCTGCCCAGGCCAGCCCGCCGCTGTCTCTATTGATTGTGTAGATTTTTCTGTCTTATTATCCTGGGACTTAGCATTCTTCTGCAACTCAGAACCCTCATTTTATTCTTATTCTTTTGCTTACGACTCACGACGCTCTAAATTATAACCTCTTTGAAACTTGACGTTGGAACAGCTCAGTTGATTATGTAAAATTGTGGACCCACAACTGCGCCCACCGTGTTCCAAGGTTGAGTCAAGTCCTCTCCTTCTCCCACAACCACCAATCACCAACAGCCCCAAATCAGCCACAGCTCCAGCAATCGGCACAAGAATCCCAATGCATCTATACAACTTGACCATTCAGCCGCCCACAGCGATAACGCAAGCAATTGTAGGCAATTTCTCTGGTGTTCGCCAGCAGGAAATCGTAGTATCTCATGGGACCCGTTTAGAACTCTTGCAATCGAATGCAGAGACAGGCAAACTCACCATCGTGAATGCAACGGACGCGTTTGGTTTCATCCGTTCTCTCGCTGCATTTCGTTTGACTGGAGGGACAAAGGGTAAGTCGCTGATTTTGCTACTGTATCCTTCGTATCTCACGTTTCTTTCAGATTATATGATAGTGGGATCTGACTCCGGTCGCATCGTCATTCTGGAATATGACTTCAAAACAGGCAGCTTCGTGAAGGTGCACCAAGAGACGTACGGAAAATCTGGTGTTCGTCGTGTCGTTCCTGGACAGTATCTCGTCATCGACCCGAAAGGACGCAGCGTCATGATTGCGGCGATAGAGAAGTCGAAATTGGTCTATGTTCTCAATCGTGACTCAGAGATGAAATTGACGATATCATCGCCCCTGGAGGCACATAAGAATGCCGCAATTGTTCACCATGTCGTCAGCCTGGACGTTGGCTTCGAAAACCCGGTATTTGCTGCCTTGGAGGTTGATTATTCGGAGGTGGACCAGGACAGCACGGGAGAGGCTTTTAATAATGCTACTAAAGTGCGTGGCATTCTTTTCGTTTTGCTATATTCCTGCTCACTCATAGTCAGATTTTGACTTACTACGAGCTCGACCTTGGCCTGAACCATATTGTCAGAAAGTGGAGTGAACCCACAGACTTTCGCGCCAATTTACTCGTGCAAGTTCCTGGCTCTCTTTCCATTTCTTCGAGCACCCTCGATGGCCCGTCTGGCGTTCTTGTTTGTTGCGAGGATCACATTATCTATCGGCATATGAACGTGGCCTCACATCGGGTTCCGATCCCTCGTCGTCAGCACCCTTTGGAGGACACAACAAATGGTTTGATCATGACAGCGGCTGTCATGCACAAGATGAAGGTGAAGACCACATTCTATCAGTCCCACTTTACAACAGTACTGAACCTATCTTCCAGCACTCTTTCTTTTTCCTTCTTCAGAGCGAGGTCGGTGATCTGTATAAAGTGACAATCGAGCACGAGGAGCAAGATGTCAAATCATTGACCATCAAGTATTTCGATACCATACCTGTCGCCTCGAGTTTGTGCATTCTGAAGTCTGGTCATCTATTTGTCGCAAGCGAATTCGGAAATCAGTCCGTAATTACTCGTTTTCTGCCCAACCTTCTTCTGACTCTTTCTTTCTTCCTCAGTGTTCTCTATCAATTCACGAACCTCGGAGAAGACGACGAGCCTGTGATCACCTCCACCTCTTACCCGCAATTCGGGATGGCCGATCCTACATCAAAGTTACCCCAAGCTTTCTTCCGCCCTCGTCCTCTCTCGAACCTCATCTCCGTGGATCAGATTCCATCGCTTGACCCAATCCTCGACGCAAAGGTCTTGAAGATGATTCCAAACTCAGAATCACCTCAGATCTTCGCTGCCTGCGGACGAGGGCCGCGAAGCACCTTTCGGACGCTTCAGCCCGGCCTTGAAGTCGAAGAGTCTGTCACGTATGATCTTGGAAGCCAACCAAATGCGATATGGGCAATCAAGTCTAAGGAAGATGGTACGTTCATTGATCTTCTTTCTTCAGTTGAGTTTCTGCTTACGTGAAGCCGCAGATCCCTACGACTCCTACATCATTCTTTCATTTCTGAGCCTTAACAAGACTCTCGTCCTTTCTGTCAATGACGATACGATTGAACAAATTCAGGACATAGGGTTCCTGGACACTGTCCCTACTCTTGGCGTCCAGCAGCTCGGTGCAAGCTGTCTCCTTCAAGTCTATCCATTTGGTATTCGCCAAATCTCAGCGGATAAATGCATCAGCGAATGGAAAGCACCAGAAGGTAATCCAATCGTCGGTGCTGCGATGAACAAACGTCAGGTGGTCCTGGCGCTGAGTTCTGCAGAGATCGTATACTTTGAGATGGATTTGGATGGGCAGTTGAACGAGTATCAGGAGAAGCAGGCTATGGGAAGTCGTGTGTTGGCGTTAGGGATAGGCGAAGTTCCACACGGTCGACAAAGGTCGCCTTATCTTGTGAGTGTTGATATTCTTCATCTGTGTTCTGTTGTGTCGCTGACAATGCTGTTTCTCGTCAGGCTGTCGGCTGTGAAGATCAAACAGTACGAATTATCTCCCTAGATCCAGAACACACTTTGGAGACCGTCAGCCTGCAAGCTTTGACGGCTCCGCCTTCTTCCATTTGTATCGTTGACATGGTCAATCCAAGCGCCGACAATGCCTCTCTGACTACGTTCGTCAACATCGGACTTCAGAATGGCGTTCTTCTCCGAACCGTTTTGGATCCTGTCAATGGCCAATTGGTCGATACTCGTTCGAGGTGTGTATATTTTCTTTCATACCCAAGGCAAGGGCCTAACTAGATCCACCATGCAGAAAGAAAGTGTTGAGGAGATATTTTGGCCTCGTTGACACGTCAAGGAGGCAAAATATATGCTCGATACTTTTCCTTTGTGCTGGTTGGTGTTGCAGGTCTTTGCCCGTATGTAATATCTGAGGCTGATGTCCTCTTTCAACAGGTTCTTAGGAACACGTCCGGTCAAACTTGTTCGATTGCAGATCAATAGCAAGCCAGCGATGCTCGCTTTATCGTCGCGTTCGTGGCTCAGCTACACGTATCAGAACGCCAGCCACTTCGCGCCTCTCATTTACGATGGCCTTGATTGCGCGTCTGGATTATCGACTGCGAACGCCCTTCAAGGGCTCCTTGGAATTTCTGGGAGCAATATTAGGTGGGTTTCATTGGACATGCGTCCCGTCTATATTCTGATGAACTTGCTGGATCAGGATTTTTCAAGTGACGAAGTTGGGCCAGAAGTTAAAGCAAGAGTCTATCCAACTCTCATACACACCACGCAAGTTCATCAGCCACCCGAACAACCGCTATTTCTACGTGATCGAGAGCGACCATAGAGTCATGGGTGATGAAGCTGCGAAGAAGAAAATTGAAGAGCTCGTTAGTACCCTTCCTTTTCGCTTGCATCGTCGAAAATTTGACTTATTTTGCTGGACCTCTAGCACCAGAATGACGAGGAAATCGACCAAGCAGCCCTCCAGCTCCCATCCGCTGTTTTCGGCCGTCCTCGGGCGCCAGCAGGCACCTGGGGCTCTTGTATCCGGATCATCGACCCGCTCAAATCGAAGACGGTTAATGTCATCAACCTCGAAGGCAACGAAGCCACCTTTTCACTTGCCCTTGTGCCCTTCTCTGCACAAGATGGGAGGCTCCATCTCATCGTCGGGACAGCAGTCAACACGTTGGTCTCACCTCGCTCGTGCTCGACTGGCTATTTGCGGACGTATATGCTTACGGACGATGGCGCTGGGCTTGAGTTGGTACATAAGGTATGTTTTCAGCATTGATTCATATCTTGCATGTCAGCTGACTGGTTTATTTGATTCTCTGCTAGACGGAAGTAGATGACGTCCCTCTGGCCCTCGTCGCTTTTCAGGGACGGCTCCTTGCTGGTGTTGGGAAGGCTCTGAGGATCTACGACATCGGGCAGAAGAAGTTATTGCGAAAGGCGGAAAACAAAGTGCGTGCTGCTGTTATATTTTCCTGCTACAGATTTACTGACGACTGTCTCTTCAGGCTTCTCCAACTACCATCGTCTCACTTGCTACTCAAGGTTCGCGGATTGTTGTCGGAGACATGCAGGAGTCGATCCTGTTCACGACCTACAAGGAACCAGAAAACAGACTACTTATCTTCGCGGATGATTCGCAACCACGCTGGATCACCGGCATGACCATGGTCGATTACAACACGGTTTTCGCCAGCGATCGCTTCGGCAACATCTTTGTAAATCGACTCGACTCCAATATCTCAGACCTAATCGACACTGATCCTGCCGGTGCAGGTATTCTGCATGAGAAGTCCACGCTCAACGGAGCACCGTATAAAACCAAGATGCTCGCACACTTCCATGTCGGTGACCTTATAACCTCTATCCACAAAACCTCGCTCGTCGCAGGAGGACGCGAAGTCCTGGTGTACACTGGTCTGCATGGAACAATCGGCATCCTCGTACCGTTCGTCTCTAAGGACGACATCGAACTCTTGTCGTCCCTCGAGCAGTATATGCGGACGCAGCAAAATTGGCTGAGTCTCATTGGAAGGGACCAAATGAGCTGGAGAGGATATTATGTCCCAGTCAAGGGTGTTATTGACGGAGACTTGTGCGAGATGTTCAAGAAGCTGCCTGGGTTAAAGCAGCAGGGAATTGCGGGGGGGTTGGATCGTACGGTTGGCGAGGTGGTGAAGAAGTTGGAGCAGTTGAGGCTCATGGCAAGTGATATATAGATCCCATGCCCTTCGGAAGTGAAGGTAGAGAGTACATACTTGGCGAATAGGCGCAAGCGACATGGCTGGACAATTTCCTTGCTAGTTAATATGCTCCAACTCGTCGATCCTTTTGTAGCATGGTAATATTAGTGGAGGTTGGAGGAGACAATGCGTAGACGCTGGGACAGAGATAAGATAAGATGGATACTGATGCGTCTGATAACAACATTAAATAATCTGTTGAAATTCCACCTTGCTCCTCAACCGCCTCATGGTCACCGAGAAGGCTTCGATCGAAATCGACCGCTGACGACGGAGAGCTGCTTCAATATGAGCACAAATCCCCTAGTTATCCCACCGCCATCTGACATTTCGCCCATTTCGAGCCTCCTCACTACCAACGATCCACCGGAGCCGCATGAAGAAGCTATCGCACACCAGATCATCGACTCTTCGAAGACGCGCATCTTGAAGTGCGACGAACTCATAAAAACTCTCAACACGCCAACTGGGCAACTCAACGAGGTGCTGGCGAGTCTCAAGTCTCGGCGCGCAGAGTATGTAAGCTACGCACAGCTGCACAGAAACGTGGTTGGAAACATCCGTCGTCTCCCATCGGACATCCTGTTGGAGATCTTCTTCGACATTGTTACAGATCGTTGGCAGCATGGTATCTGGAGGGTCATCGAAGTTTGTCGACGCTGGCGTGAAATCGCGCTTGCCACACCCACACTTTGGTCTACATATATTTACGACGCGACACCATTCTTACACGCCCTATCTCGTCTCTCAAGATCACTCAAATATTCTCAGTCACTTCCCATCCGACTTTGTATCAGCAGCTATTGTTACCACGTTCGAGATCTTGTGTTTGCGCAGTCCAAACGGGTCACTCATCTTGACATCGTCTTTCCTGACGAATTGAGATTAACCTACTTTTCTCCTTCGAATGCCGGGTTGCTGCAGTGGGATTTGTTAAGGTCTCTTAAGCTGCATGGATTTGGGACAAGTTCTTATCAAGCTTCCCCAAACACAGTGTTTCAGCACTCGCCTCTTCAAGACGTTGAAGTCACTACCAAGCACAGAGTTGTCTTGAATGACACCAACGAACTTGTTCTCCCCTGGTCTGGATTACGCAAATTTTCAGGAAAAATACTTTCCTTATGTCATGCCCTCTCCATTCTTCAAGCAGCCCCCATCCTCGAAGAATGTGATTTCACCCTATCTCAGCATCCTCACCCCAATCTTCCGCCGCCTTTCTCTCACAGATCTTTGTCCAGGCTTCATATTGATTCACCAGAACCAGGTGAACAAATTACGCAAAACTTCTTTAGCTGTCTGATTTTACCATCGCTCAAGAAGCTCTCTGTGGGAATCTTTGTTTTGGATCTCGGAATCATCTCCGACTTCATCAAGCGCTCGTCTTGCAGACTTACCTTTCTCTGCCTCCCCAACGCCTATGATCCACCAAATTATCCCGCCAGCGCCGTTCATCACCTCCTCTCCCTCGTACCTGACGTGGTTGACCTCTGTCTTCCCTTTTCTGCAGCCTTCCTCTGGACTACTCTTACATCAATGCCATCACTTGTCCCCCAACTGCGCCATCTTTATCTCGCAGGTGAGAGTGGCGATCCAACAGCTGCCGAACAAGCCATTCGCGAGATGACTGTAGCCGTAGCCAAAGGAGATTTACCCACTCTCGAAACAATGATATTGCGCTCTTGGGGCCTGCCGCTTTCCGAAATGATTTATCCATCGTCAAATGAAACCATATATGAAAAGTTGCTTGACCAATGGCTCGACAAGCTCTGGAAGGTGCTCATTTTTCTCCACCCTGCTTATCAAAGCGATGGTCAGATTGTTGATGTCGATTATGTAGGTTCTCAGCTTCGTCTTCTTTCACGATTGTGATCACCTTCCTCACAGCTCAACCACACACTGTCCCTAATTGAATCCCAACAGGATATTCCACCTCTATACCTATGTCAAGGGGTGCGTTTCTTTCGTGATTGGATGGTATGGCTAATAAAATGATAGTATGGTGAAGAAGCCATCCCTAGGGTTAAGCAAATATTGGAGAGACTGCCGGATGACCTCTTCACGCATCGTGAGCGACTTTCTAAGATTCTTTCTAGATGGTCGGCGTGCACGTCGGACTTTCTTACTTCAGTGGGGTGGATGGAAAATGAGGCCGGAGAATTTTTCGTGTATGGACAACGCCAGGGGTCCGTGCGTGTTGAGCTTGACGGTCCTCGGGAAGCCAATCGATTTGCCTCGTTTGCGTTTGCAGAGGATGGACGGATTGTGGTATAATACATTTTGTATCAGTCTCCGGATGGTCTTCGCACGGTCGTCAAATAGCACAGGTTCGTCCACAAACTCGTATTCTCCGTCAATGAGATCTCTCTTCTCCTTCGAGTTCATCCATTTGTATCCGCCAAATCCCCGCAGATAAACACATCAGCGAATGGCGAGCACCAGAAATATATATAAAACCCGATCGTCAGTGCTGCAATGAATAAGCATCAGGCCGTCGTAGCATTGAGTTCTGCTGAGACTGTATACTTTGAGATGGATTTAGATGGGCAGTTGAACGGGTATCAGGAGAAGCAGGCTATGGGAAGCTTTCATGTCGGTGACCTTATAACCTCCCACCACAAAACCTTGCTCGTCGCGGAGTCCTGGTGTACACCGGTCTGCATGGAACAATCGGCATCCTCGTATCGTTCATCTCTAAGGGCGACATCGAACTCTTGTCATCCTTTGAGCAGCACATGCGGACGGAGCAAGATCGGCTGAGCCTCATTGGAAGGGGCCAAATGTGTTCAAGAAGCAGCCTGGGTTCATGCAGCAGGGATTGCTGGGGAGTTGGATCGTACAGTTGGCGAAGAAGTTGGAGCAATTGAGGCTCATGGCAAGTGGTATTTAGATTTCATGCCCTGATGTGATGTTATACAAGGTAGAGCGCATACTTGCAAAAAAACGAACTCACGATGTTGTTACACCTCGTACATGCAGCGGAGATCGACTTGCTCGGATGATGGTTATGAGGGAGTTTGAACAGGGATCACTTGGCGGATAGGTGCAAGCAACATGGCTGGGCAAATTTCCTTCAAATATGACTGATCGTCGTGGAATACAGCATATGTCTCGGAATAGGATGCAATATCCTCGAATTTATTCTCTTGCTCTCTTCGAATATAATGGTCCACAAGAACGATACGTTCATGTTCAATGCCTATAAGCATGCGGTTCATATCGGGGGGAAGGAGGTTTTGAGGTTTGTAGCAAGGACGCCTGGCGCCAGGAAGGCATCTCGCCGGTCCGTACTAGGACGATATGTGGTCTGGAAAATCTTGTTCACGTATTGCAGAGACATTTCGTTTATCCGCTCAATGACACACCATAGCTGGACCCACCAGAGGGATTCGAGGTCATGCTGGAACGAATAGCGCACAAATATAGGAGGAACCTGTTGTTGTTTAAACAAAACAAAATCTTTGTCGCAGCTGAGAGAGGTAAAGATGAAGCCCTTCGTGCACTTCATACGGCATGAAATAAGAGGTTCCCTGATTATAGATCAGTCAGACTGATGTCAAAGAGACGCAACTATACTCACTGTTTTAGGACCAGGGCTCCCAATTCCAGCACGAAACCGCTTCGCATACTCCAGATCTCCTAGCACCAGCTGCAAGTTGCCATCTCCGGAGTCGAACCAGAGCAAATTGCCAGAGCTGATGTCTCTATGCACCCATCCAGCACAGTAAAGCAATTGAAGGGCTGATTCAAACATCGGCTCATAGCATAACGGATAATAGCTGAGGGCGTACACACCTGTGCTAGCCTGGAGGAACAGGTTCATCATCTCTGAAGATCGTTCAAGTCACGCAGGGCACAGCAGACTTGCTTGAACACGACGCGATACTGCTGTTTCAGCGCATATTTTCGGGACAGAGCAGGAGAGGCGGGAGTTGTGGGCTGTAGATGGGAAGATGGCTCGGCTGCAGGAACAAGGGACTGGTGCGAGGACACTCGAGGTGAGGGACTCTCATAGGAAAAGAGGGCATTCAGGCGGATGCCGGGACTGCCTTTGAGATTTGCCCTTGGTAGTCGCATTCAATGTTCAGGAAGTACTTCTTGTAAACTTCGCCTTTGAGGCAGTCTCGAATTTCGGCCTTCATCTCCTCAGTGAAGCTTGTGAATTGTTCTGGGTCCTTGGACTCTATCACCTATCCGAACTCCTCCAGGTCGCTGAAAAGGGCTGATTGTATCTCTTTTTCCGTCTGGGCTGATGCATCTAGCCAGACATCCTTGAGCGCTATAGGATGCGCGTTACGCTTGGGCGTCGGGTCGTTGAATGACGCCACCTCTACTGCCTCCCAAACGCGTGTCATGCGGTCAGCTATGCATAATGGCCGGTATTCCGAAATCATGCGAATTGTCTTGAAGAACCGATCGCTAACTTGGTAGACGTAGGAGACCGGAGAGAGGCGAGAGATGGTCAGGTCGAAGCCGACCTCGGTTTCCGTCGCAAAAATAAAAGAGAGGAGGACAGAGACAAAAGTCTTCAGGTCCTGAGAGTTGCGAAGATGATGTCAGCAGAAGGTTCGCGAAAGAGGTGAAAAAATGTACAGCGAAACATCCAACGTGATGCGATTTTGCTGAATGTGATCTAGAGAAGCACCACAGAGACACATCATCGTCCTCGATGGTTATCTAGGAGACGTGTAAGAAAAAATGGTTGCGAGATTGAAGAAAACATACTCACACCGTAGGTAAACATGCGCCGGGATCCTCATTCATGATGTGATTAGCTGCAGCGACGATCTTGAGGCGACTCTGCGAAGATTGCATAAACAGAGTAGAGGAGCAGACAAATGAAGCACGTACATCAAGCATCCTGGGGGAGCTTGTTCTTCTTGAATCCCGCACTGACAGCCGCTGTGGAGCTGGAAATTTTCTCGTCTTTCACCAACTGAAGATTAATCGGTTTGAAAAAGCCATCGATCTTGTGGTTCGATCCTTTTATTTCGGACAGAGTTTGGATGAAGGCGAAGTTGGCGATAGTGTTCTCCAGATCTCCGCGAATGAGCGGGAATTCGGATATCTTCTCACAGATTGCCTGTAATGGAGAGAACGTTATGTCTTCGTCCTCGGAAGAGTTGGATGGTGAGACTTCAAAAGCCATCCAACTGTATGCACCATCGACACCGCCGGTCAAGACTCGGGCTACTGCAAGATATTCAAGGCACGCTTCAACGTCGCATTGTTGTGGTGTGAAGGGGAGATACGCCGTTTTGAAAGTCTGAAGGTCGCAGACCAGCACCTCCGACTCCATCCCCTCTCCAATTCGTTGGCGAAGTATCGCTTGATCTGTTTCTTGTGGCATCCGAGCGAAATGAACACTGAGATTCTTTACTGAGACAAGGTGTGGGTAATAGTCATGATACCACAAGACCCACCGGATTGATAGTGAAGGTGGGACGGTGTCATAGAAGGTTGTTGGCTACGATCTAAGTCTCTAAATCTCGAGAACAAATGCCTGCATAATGAGACTGGTCACTATCTAAAAAATCAGAAAATAGAAGGATGGGAACAATTGAAGGCGACGAACCGGACTCCTGTGGTGTCAGGAGACATGCTGCATTACCAGCTCGTCGTTTTGAACGATGAAGGCGATATTTGTCAATGTTTGTCCCGTCGCCCACAACGTCCGACGTTCACCATGCTCTGATGTCAGCTGTTCACCAAGCTTCCCAGACGCTACACTACCAGTTGGGACGCCGTCATTGGAGTCATCGTCGCAATAGAGGGCGAACGCCTTCGACATCCGGAAAACGAACAGCCGGAGGCTTTTTACAGCACCACGTCCTTTGGTTAGCTTTCCCAGACGCCGCGAGTGCGACCTGCGTCCGGGGCATCTTTATCGATAGGACGTTCGGCGAATGCGAGTCGGTGGATTGTCAATTCGTTTCTGGAAACACGTATAGCTCTGCATTTGTCTCGCAATGTTGAACCAAGATATTTATTCTACCATAACATTCAAACCAGGACTGTCATAACATATCACTAATCACCTCAGGTACTGTCCCCACCTACCATCTTCAAATGGGAATGGCCCTCCACAAGCGTCTTCATCCCACTCCAGACGTGCGCGCTCTAATTCTCGCATAGAGGTTTCATAGTCCTTTGGCTCCACACAGCCGTCTCTGGTACATCGAAGGCGCACAACCAGTCGTGAGAGTGCAGCATCAAACCGTTCCATCCGTTCCTGCCCTTCCTGGTACCTTTGGACCTCATCTGACTCAAGTGTGTAGGGACAAGGGCCCAAACTCTCCGAATCCTCGTCCCATAGAGTCTTCATATGCACCAACAAGAACCTCAGGGTGTGTGGGCCATCAGCACAGGCACGCAGAATTCCTTGCGTGAGGATATGGAGATACCGCTGAAGGGGAAAGGCGAACAGGTGGGCATATGTCTGCACACTGAGGAAATGCTGGATCCAGCGGACGTTGCGCGTCGCGATCCGGTGTTCTGCACGGACAACCTCTTGCTCTGACGGATCTAGCTCGTCAATGTCGGAGGGCCATTCAACTTCAGAGATGCCGCGGACTTCGAGCACCGGACGCCCATCCTGCTGGAAAAGACGGGGCTCATACTCGGCGAGGGGAGGAACGCACCATTGCAATGCCAGTGGGAGTACAGTCGTGCCTTGCCAATCGATGAAGACTGGGTCCATCATCCGAGTTTCACTGTTTTCGGCGGTAAGCTTGGGCACCATGATATTTTGAGCGCGGATGTCAGGATGTAAGAGGACATTCTGCATAAATCGTGCTGGGAAAGGAGAGGCACGTTCGATAGCTTGCTGAAGATGGGGTGCCAGTGCTGTGACCTTGTCGAGAAGACGTTCGACTTGGACAAGGTCTTCAACTGATGACTTTGTGTAGGACAGAGAGGAGGGTCTTCGCGGTGGCGCTCTACGGCACGCTGTTCAAGACGCACAGCAGCATTGATATAGTCCTCCAGCGTGTCCCATGGGCCGCGATCGAGGTGCGGTTCGTCATGATACGAACGCCACCACAAAGGATCGGCGATGGGGCCAACACGCACCTGATCCTCCAACACCATCGGCGCAGCGAGAGGTGGGGCAGAGGGAAGGTCGGCTGGGAAGTAGAGACTGCCTAGTTGCGAAAACGGGGCGACAGTCATCCTGTGCATATCGTTGCCGACCTGCGTGAGCAGCTCCGCCACAGGAGCACCCCGCATCTCTGGCATGAACCATTCCTTGTCCAGCGAGACACCGTCTACATCTTCCATCAGAAAGTAGGGCCAGCCAACGGGATCTTTGCTTGTGTCCGACTCTTTGCTCCACGCAACTACACGCGGTGTGTGAACGTTCAGCTTCTCGCGAGCAATTGTCATGGTCGCAACTTCGCTCGCAACGGCCCAAGAGACCCCACTGCCAAACATATGTGAAGAGGGCAAGCGGGCAACGAGTGATTTAGAGTTGTCGAAGCGCAGGCGGAAGATTTTATTGAAGGATCCTTGAGACGACGTTGAACTGAGTGGTTCAAGTTCGATACATGGGGTAAGCCGCGTACCTTCAGCAATTTTTTGGATGGATAAGCAAGAACCTGCACCAGCAGCAGCACATGCAACACGTATGAGTTCAGAAACGTTGAAATTGACGCGCCGGATTTCTTGTTCTGCGCCACGACATTAGAACAACTTGGATAACATGGTCTCGATGTGGTACTCACGTTGAGCCTCATTGAAGAGCCAGCGGCCGTCAGTTTGTTCGTATAGCTCGGTTTCAGGTGGTAGATTCATGCCCCAGGGTGCAGATGTGGAAAACAGTCGGCGCTTGGGGAGAGAGAAATGCGAACGGAACCGTAGGGCAGAAACTCTTTGGTGCGAACAACTGCCCGCATAATGATTATGAGACAGGTTACTATCTAAAAAAAATCAGAAAATAGAAGGATGAGGACAATTGAACGCGATGAACCGGATTCCAGTAGTGTCAGGAGACACTAGGTCGTCGTTTCGAACGATGAAGACGATGTTTGTCAGTGTTTGTCACCGTCGCCAACAACGTCCAACGCTTTCATCACTGCGATCAGTGATGTCAGCTCCGATTGTAGGCCCTACATTCCAGGGCCCTTTTCTTGGATATCCGCATATTTCGCGTTTCTTGGTGTTCACCAACCTTCCCAGGCGCAACACCGCCAATTGGGACGCCATCGCTGAAGTCATCGTCGCAATCGCGACAAGGGCGAACGCCTTCGATATCCAGAAGGTTTTGCGAACGGCCGAAGGGTTCTTACAGCACCACGTCCTTTGGTTAGCTTTCTCAGACGCCGCGAGTGCGACCTGCGTCCGGGGCGTTTTTATTGATAGGACGTTTGGCGAATGCGAGTCGGTGGATTGTCAATTCGTTTCCGGAAACACATACAGCTCTGCCGCCTCGCGATCGCAAGACTCGTGGTCGCTGAGAAGGGGCTTCGAGCAGGATCAGCAGGTATCCAGGAGGTCCTTGTCTCTTCTGGAATGCCTAAATCCAAGGAAGCGTCGGCGCCGTGGTCGTACGCATCGTTCTGAAGTGCACTAGGCTGCTGTTGATTGTACCTCGTATGTTCACTTTTCAAATACTATTTCAGATTTCTTGCCTTTGGGCTGACTGTTTCTCTGCAGCATGTCCTGATACAATACCCATATATCTGATCTCTTGAAATTCACCGTTCGCTCTGAACAGTGGCAGAACCTTGGAGGAATGCAACTGTCATGGTGATACAGAGCCTAGAAGTGTCGGGCAAGTCGCAGTGAGGTCCACCACGCTTGTGGCACTTGCAGGGATGTTCCTCGTCATGGATTTGGAACCAATTGTTCAACCAGTTTGACCTGTTAGTATTGGTATACTCGAAGCCAGATGACTGGCGGGACTAGGTATACAGAGATCTAGAGTAGTCGAATGAGGTCTCCAATCGGCACGGAAAGCCTGCAAAGTTGCATAGCATAAAGCATCGATATCATTAATAGGGTGTTTCACGGTAGCCAAAATCGGCCCAACTTGGCCTCCAACTTGAGTCCCAACTTTGGTCCCAACTCTGCGCAAGTTGGAAGGCCGAGTTGAGACCCGGCGTCTGAGTTGCTGATCCCAACTTGGCGTCCAACTTGAGGTCCGACTTCATGATTTCTGAGCTACCTCCCTCCCCTAAAATTTATCAAAAATGGGAATATAATACAATCGATCTCTATCTATACAAGAATCCAGTTTTTATCACGGAAGAGCTACGGAGGACTGCAGGGGAGAGGGAACAGTTACAAAATCAGACGTACAAGTTGGGATCAAAGTTGGGCCTCAAATCGTGGGTCGGAGCACGATTTGCAACCCAACTTTGGTCTCAACTTGGATCAAGTTGGAGACCAAGTTGGAACTCAAGTTGTGCCGAAGTTTCTTTACCGTGAAACACCCTATTGACTCTACTTGTACTATACCTGAACTTGTGGATAACGCCAGGAATCCATCTAAGAATGCTTCCAAGAGGTGTACATGCATGTTGGTGATTGCGATACGAGCCACGCATGAAAGGCTACAAGTGGAATTGGTAAACTATCTCGAATCAGTGGCGACGTGTATGTCTTGGGAGATCAGGGTATGAGTCTGATCCCTTGCGTTTCCGGCTAGTTGAAGGAAGGGAGGTATGATACTCTTGTTTAACCGAGCCATCACGGCCGCAGTTGCGCCACTCCTCGTCCTTCAGCGCCTTTTCCACCTCACCGAGCATCCACTCGTGCGATTCCAGCTCCGCCAACCACTTCTCCGCCGCAGCATGGTCATCCGTGTCTTTCATGTCGAAAAGAACGGTACCATACCGACCACCGAATTTGGACCAAAGAGTACTGAGGATGCGCGAAAAGAACTCGTTTGACAGCTTGATTCGCTTGATGGCCAGATAGTCTTTTTCAATATAGTTCCTCCTTGCCAATCCACCCTCTCCATCAACAGAGTAGTCGAAGGCTTGCAGAAACAGTGCTCGTTGCGGGATGGTCATGTCATTTTTGGCGTTCCGAAGAGCGACCCAGACAAGAACCCAGAGGAAAGATTCTAGGTCGTCACCGACCCTGTGAATAAGCTTACCAAGGCCTTCATGTAAACGTATCGACACAAATTGCCAGGTTCCCTACAGCAGGGTTAGAGTATATAAGTGACAAACGCTGAAAGACAATACCGTTCTCTCGAGGACTCGCGCCCCTATTAAGCTCAGCTTCTTGGAGAGCTCCCAGTCGATGAGCAAACCTCCGGAATCGGTGATGATGATATTTCCGACAGAAACATCGCGATGAAGTATTCCCGCCTTGGTCACCGCCTCAAAGTGGGCTAGAACAAACGTCAGAGATTGCCAACCCATAAACGCGTTGACGTACCGATGAGTGCGCAGTGCACTGCTGTCACCATCTCGTGGGTCGAGTCAAAGTCGGTGAGGTGGGAGCCGACAGTGTCCAGTACAAGACGGTAATGAACGTGGACGCGATGCTTCGACGTCTCGCTTGTCTTGCCGCAGGTATTCGTCACACCGCCTACATCACCTGCTGCCACGAGGCCTGCGATATACGAGACACCATGCTTATGCAGCTCTCGATAGATATCGCCCTCCTTTTCGTACCCCTCGATCCGCCATGTATCTTTGAGGAGAACGATGGCTTTCGTTTGACAGTCGAAAGCTTGAAAACACCGCGTGCCACGGCCGAGAGGGTGAACGTGATTTTTCGTGAAGGGTTCACTGACGATGTAATAGCTGGTCTTCTTGGTTTGATCGTCGGTGACCGATATCTTGAAGATCGGGACTTCATCTGTGATGCCCAGGGCCCGGCGGGCACGTGTTGTCTCCTCAGAAACTGTATTCAGCGGAATAACACTCGTATCGAGGCCACGAGCGACGTCACCGGCGTGAGAGAGGCGCCAAAAGAACTTCGCAAGCCAATCTTCCGAGGTGTAATCAAAGCCTTCCGTGACGATGGCGCAGCTTCGAGTCCAGTGGATGAAGCGGCAGCGAGAGCGATTAATGACAACAGAAAGGACGTGAGTTCGGAATTGAGTTGCCTGAATGGCGTTGGCGTAAGTCGCCAGTTGACCTCGCGTGTCGCGTGCGCCGTCCGAGGTCCGCTCGATGGGATCCTTGCTGGCCACGCCGAATGGTTCGTCGTGCTCGTGGTTCTTCAATTCAATGTAGCTCAGCATACTCCGGGCGCAGGTGATGTCAGGCCCCGCAGGGACTTCATCAGATTTATAGCAGGAAATGTCGGGCTTGACGCTCCGGTGAAGCAAGGCTCTAGTCCCCTTATCTTCCACGGCAGACGTATTGACCAACGTGATGTCTTTGCAGAACGGTTCGAGAGCCTTTATCTAGAGACGATCATTGAAATAACAAGATTGGCTAGATAAAGAATCAGACACACCAAGGGATGATACATATCTGGCTCCTTCTGCAACTGCGCGATAGGAACGAACTCGTCGCGATTGACTGGCGGCATAGCAGGTGCATTCACCGAAATTGGTAGAAAGCGGTCGAGAAAGACCTCTGGCTTTATGAATCCAACAAATTTCCCCTTCATCTCGTTGGCGGCTGCGATGAACACATCGTCCTTGATGAAAGCTGTAGACGTGAGGGGCTCGGTGGACGACATTCGATCGTGTCGGGGAGTGTCAGGAGGTACCAGATTGCGGTTCCTGGTAGGAGGAATTGAGGTGGGCGGCGCAATCAAATTGTCGTTGTCGGCCATGATTGTGGGCTGGTGGGCTGTAGAATACGAGGGTGATCACAACAAGTTGACCCACAATAGCCGTGTGAACCTATTTGAATCTCCGACCACTAGGCTACGAATTCCACTCAGAGTCCTCCTGAACCGTTATCCAAAGAAACCCACCAAGGATTGCAAGGATTGCTTTATTGGTCCAGACTTTTGTTAGCGCAACCCCGCACGATGGATCCCAGATGGCCAGCGAAGTTTCTGGTCTAAGTACGCTGGCATTGCCCCCACGTCGACATGCTTCTGGAACCAGAGAACTTCAGCATGGAGAACGTGAGTCTTTTCCTTTAAACATCTTATGATGCGCCATTCAGTCTAGTTTAGCTATACTAGGACGGTCGAGCCTCTACTGTAAATGTGAGAATTGTTTCTATTTCCGATCCAGCATCTTTGTGACTAAATTAAAGCCTCCAAGTTCTTCATCCACTTGTCAACTGCATACTAGGCGCCCGACGTACAGCACTGGCACTTCAGGATAAGGAGTGCCTATCTATTCATAACGAAGAGTTTATTGGTACGCTGATCAACGACAGAAGATATAGGCTTACTACCTGCATGGGGACAGGTGCCAATCGCTCCGGTAAAGCATTGAATCAATCGATATCTGTCCAGACGACCCTGCACCCGTTCCCGGACACACAAGCCCACACAAATGCGAAATGCTGTGTTGACGAACCAAACACTGAACACCATTCCCTGTGCTTCTCTTGTCCTCAACTACTCTTCTTCCTTTTACCCAACTTCAGTTACCCCTGTCCGTCATGCGTCAGTTATTGAGCGTTGGGCGCCTTTATTCAGGCCCCGACTCCAGCGTCCTTGTCGTGATTTGGACCGAGGACTCGCAGATCTACAAGGCCGAACACTCTACCCTCAAGATTCATGAAGTCAACGAGGACGTCCTAAACACGCTCAACGGAACACCTATTCCAAAGACCCACATACAACCTCCATGGACTCCTGATACTACCGCTGTCGCCGAAACCGTCCTCCCACAGGTTCATATCAAGACACAGCAAGGTCTTTGGCGCTATGATGGCTCGGCCTCCATTGCCGATGCAGTTAGAGAGGAGGTCAGAATTCTCGAAACCATATCTAGAAGCCCTCATCCAAACCTGTGCCACTACTACGGTTGTATACAAGAGGGTGATCGTATTGCCGGTATCGGACTTCAAAAGTACAAGTGCACGTTATTTGAGGCGATGTCTGGTAATGAAGAATCTCAGTAGGGGCCCTCATACACCCTTCTTTCACAATACTTACTGCAGATATAATCAGATCCTCAACACTCGATGTTGCCTCCGTCGCTGCGGGCATCCAGGCCGGGTTGGACCATCTCCACTCCCTTGGGCTTGCTCACAACGACATCAACCCACACAACATCATGCTCGATGATTCCGGAAACCCAGTTATTGTCGACTTCGACTCATGTGCATCGATCGGAGCTACAACATCAGCTGGAACGCCAGGATGGTCAAAATGGCCGGCTGCATCCGACCCAGAGAATGACACTCACGGGTTCAACCTTGTCATTAAATTTCTTAGAGGGGAGTACAATGGAGAGTTGGACGATGACGCGATGGGATGGTAAAAAGATCGACCGCGCGTCGAGTATGATCCACATCTGAACAAATAGAAATTGGAATGTAGAAGACCAGATCGGCAACGGATAAGCGCTCAAGCGCCTATCGCAGAGCACACGCTCACCATCAGTCCTTTAGGGGCCAGAAAAGCACCACATTTTTGTTTGGCCCTTAGTTCCACATCAATGAGTGAAGATCAAGTTCCGTGATTCTTTGTGATTCATTTGATGAGAGGTAGTCCTCGTGTGCCACTGATGAAAGAGCTAAAAAGAGGGGAGGAAAGCAACTCATGTATTTCCTTAGTCAAACTAGGTTCTAATCCGTATATATATTAAGCGCCCTTTGGAGTCCCCCGTCAGACTATTGGCATGTCGTTGTCATCAAATCTGCCATCATATTCTCCCCGTAAAAACTTGACTATCAATTCAAAGCCATAAGTGTCGTTGTCGATGGCGGCTACGGTTGGCCAATTTGTCCATCCCGGAGTGCCCCCGTATACCGGGGTACCTATCGGTGCACAGGAATCGAAGTCAATGATAACAGCGTTGCCGACATCATCGAGCATAATATTCGTGGGGTTGACGTCGTTGTGAGCAAGGCCGAATGAGTGAATATGGTTCAATCTGTCCTGTATCCCGTTAACCACCATTTCTATGTTGAAAGGGGGAGTCCTATAGTATACCCGCGGCCGTCAATGAGACATGATTAAAAGAGTGTGAACGGATAACATACTGGATATCTGAATCCTTGTTGGGCGAAATCACATCCAACAAGGTGCACCTGTATTTCTGAAGCACGATGCCTCGGATCAGATCGCCTTCACGAATGCATCCATAGTAGCAACAAATGTTAGGATGAGGCTTGGAGGAAATGAGCTCCATAATCCTGACTTCTTTTGCGACGCAGTCTGCAATCATTGAGGTGCCGTCGTAGCCCCAAACCTTCTGACATGTCTTTAAATATAAATCAGGGAGGAGGGGAGTGGGAGCCGCCTTGATTCCGTCTTTCCATGGGGGATAAATGTGATTATTCGGAACGAGGTCGCCTTGCAGGGTGTTGAGAAGCTCAGTATCGACTTGGTCCATTCTGCGGCTGGGGTCTTTTGCGAGATAAATTTTGGAATCTTCAGACCATATGACGAGAAGGAATACCGAGTCATCGGTAAATATGTCCACCGCGGTGATCAGCTCTCGCATGTTCTGCTGGGGGATGGGGTGGAGTGCAGGGGCTTTGTTTCAGCGCCTCCAAATCAATGACCTGACAATAAGATCACATGATATGGCTGATAATCTGATCAAGGGGCGAACTTGTGGGTCCGTTGCTGTCCGTTGACTCCGGGTCAAGTTGGGTAAATGGATCCGAGCTGCGAACTTGTTGGGGAAGGAGCTATCAGCCAGTTGCATATGATCCGAGAACTCAACGTCTGATCTGCGTAGAAGTGACGCCGAGGGGTTAGTCGTGGACCTACCGTGGAGGTTCGCACCTTTCAATTTGCTCGGAATTCAAGCTAGTGGCCAATACACGTGGGTTTCGCTCTGAAATTCTTCATTCGTTCATATATCCAAATATTATTTCTAGAGTTTCTTAATAGTTGAGGCCTTGAGGCCTGAGGCCCAATGACGTCGTGTTTGCTGCTGTGTAATGGGCGCTTATTCATTACTATTTGAAATGGAGAGCATGTGGTACCTCACCTCCTTGATCAGAAGCTGAACAGAGAGCCTTACAAACTCGCAAATTGAGATGTATCAATGCCCCGGCTCTTCGAAACCTCTTCTCTAGGATCACGAGTCTGTCTTGCAATCGCGAGGAAGTAGGGCTGTACATGTTTCCGGACACTCCACCGAAGCACATTCGCCAAACGTCCTATCAAAAAACCAACCCCCGGACGTAGGGCTTTCGAGGCCTGAAAAACCCAACCAAATGACGTGGTGCTTTAAGAACCCTTCAGCCGTTCGTCCTTTTCGTGATTGTGACGATGACTGCAAGTTCAACGGTGGCGTCCCAATTGGCAGTACAGCACTTGGTGAACAGCGAAGTATGCGGATATCTGAGAAAAATGCCCGCAAACGTGGCCTGCAATCGGAGTTAACATCTGAGTATTAGTGAATGGGAAAGTTTAGCAAGGCATTGCTGTTGGATATCAAACTCCTATCTAATCACTGATCGGTTAGCTCAGTGGTTAGAGCACCGGCGTACATGGCTGGAGGTCATTGGTTCAATTCCACTCCTGATCATTTCTTTTCCGAGGTCACGGTTTCTCAACAGTTGCAACTTCAAGAAGACCAGGACCCCCGATAATGCTGAAAGAGGTAAGGTATGAAATTCGGGGGTCGCGAAGGCTTTATGGGTTGACGAAATTTCCCTAAATTCCAGCCAAAAAAGGGGTTGATAGCGCACCCGACCTCCGAAGTGCGGCGAAATCGGGTTGACAACAATATCCGACCTTCAAAAAATCGCGAAAAATTGTGAAAAATTCTCCGCAGACTCCTGTGCGTACTTGCATTGATGTATTATATTTCCTCATCATCTCCAGTCTGTTTTTGTCGTGTTATAAGCAGCCGAGTGACAGCTGCAGCAATCTGTGCCCTCTGTGGCAACAATTTGGCATAAACCTCGTCGAAAAACTCAGGGTAAGTTCGAGAAAGGCAGAGAAACTGTAGCAAGAAGTGTATGATTCATGGAATAGGGAGGCTCGAAGGCCACTTTGACGAAAATGCGCGTTGACGACTCGGAGCCACAATCCACGGCACAGAGGCGAGCAAAAGCCAAGCCAAGCCTGGCCAAACGGTAGCACAATGTTCGTCCGTGGCCCACAGTGGCCCACGGTACCTTGTGGGTTGACAGTACTTACCCAACCTCCAGGATGCGGCCAGGGTGGCGGGTTGACACCTGCATCTGTGTCGAGGCATTTCAGATGGGCCGCTGTGGGTTGACATCAGCCAGGGGATATCTGAGCTACGCGGCTGACAGCCGCGAGTTTCGGGTTGACCAGTATCTTACCTTTTTCAGTATTATCGGGGGTCCTAGAAGACCACACGAAGGCGCAGGTTTTGACTTTCCGCCCCATGCACGTGATGCCTCAGGTCTTATGTAATGCTCGAGCAACCAACTCCGCTCGGCATGTTTTCGGCTGGCCCATCCAGTGGCGCATCGCTTAGTAGATTGTGGCCTCGTATAATAGAGAAAGAAAGGAAAATATGCCACTCACATCGCCCTTTCAACCTCCTTCCATCATCGCTCTGTCCCCCATTTCCACCCCCTCCCTAGCCTTGAAATATCACCTCCGAGCTCATGTCCTGCCTACTACCACCCTTCCTCAATTACCCCACCCTCGGAGGAATTGAGCTCCTCAAATGAACTGCCAGGCTCTGACACCGCGAACGATGGCCCAGATCCCAGTTGCGGACATGTAGACCCCTCCCTACTTCTCAGGTTCTGGCTGCATTGATGGGTCTGCAGGGTTTCCGAATCCCACATCCCGCAGCGTGATCCAAATTTAGCGCGTCAGCAGGGTTCATTGAACATGATCTTAGAACGGCTTGTGTGGCCAAACATGGCTGCCATTTGCTTTTG